GGAAAAAGCAAAACCACATGGGATTTTAGTTTCGCGAAAGTTAAAATTATTTTTTTTCTTTAAATTTAGGTGGCTTCATATTGAAGCACACCAGAATATTGTAGAAGCTGACTTTATGAAACTTTCACTTTAGTCTTTCACTTTAATTTTAATGTTTTTCACTAAATAAAAAATAATTTTTGCGAGAGCTGAATTTTTTTGTTTTTCACCCTTTCGATTCCGAGGGGCTTTTTCTCTCTTAGTCTCAAACACAAATACAAACTCAACCGGCTTTTAAATAGCAACACTCTCTCGGGTCGAAACGTCGAATGGATGACGAATGGAAAGAATCATTTTTTTGTTCAGTTGCAGCTGGTAATAACTGCTCAAATTCATATAATTGTAGATGTGAGGTTTACCTAATTGATTTAATCTGTCATGTAGCAGGTAGAACTATCATCTTACTATAAATTTATGTGAAGCATTTATTTACCCTGCTACGCCACTGTTTTCCTTACATTTTATTTTCTTTTCATAGACTGTTCAGACAAGCAGCGCTCAGTCGTTCATAAACTCTCTTCACCATCAGACGTTGGAAAAACGAAGCAGGACAGGGAGAAAAACTTTCAGCGTTTAGAGAAGAAAAAATTAATCAAAAAAAAGTATTTAAAACATTAAAAAAATCATTCGCGCCACAAAAAAGATTATTTCTGTATCGGTCTCGCCTGATGTTGTTTTTTTGCGAACTCTAAAAGGCAATCAAAGAATATTAAACGAGATTTGATTTTTCGTGCAATATATTAAAACTTGTTTGTGCATTCCTTCCAACTTCTGGAATATATATTTATTTTGTTAATACGCGTATAATTCTTCAAAATACTCACTACAAAAAGAGAGTGAAACTGCTTCCGAACATATATTTACTGAGCGAAAGAAATTTCGTGTACAGTAAGAAGTGATTAAAAAGAAAAGAACAAAAATAGAAAAGTGTTTCGTTAAGGTGGGTGTGTGTGATAAAGTGCATTAGCTTTTTTTAAAATATCTACATCCAAATATAATTCATATCCATGTTATCGCGACTTTGTAATAAATTTATTATTATTATAGTCATAGGTGTGTTCCTTGAAGGTATTGACACAAATTCAAAAAATGTCCGTTTTCATTGTAAATAAATATGTATAAGAAGTTGTCTTCCTACCTAGATTCTCTATCTTCGTACTAAAAATATTTCAAAAAAGTCTGGCGATAAAAGTACTCATGTTTTTGAAATCTCGCAAACTTATCATTCTCTGATTGTTCACTAAAGTGTTGGTTGTTAAGCACATGATGTTTTTTTATCAATTACTTCAAGGTGATTGAATTGTGATAAGAATTTAGTCAAACCTTTCAAGTGATTCGTGATTTTCGAGGAACCTCATTGACTTCGTCTTATCAATGAAAAAATTTTTTGTGGAGCTGAAATGTGGGTAAAGAAAAAATCAATAATATCCACAACGTCATCTGTGCCCTAACACAACAGAGAAAAGAGCGAGACGAAATTTATAGCTTATCTTTTCAATTATATACTCCACACTAAAATATTCCTGATAAAACTTGTACAAAATTCCTGATTCATTCATTTAGATAATTAGGTTGTCTTTACTTCCGAAACTAAATGAAAAACATTTCACTACGCGCTTTGTTCTGTGTCGTAGTATTTTTGGAGGCAAATCCCGTGCCATATTTTCCATTGATTTTCATTTCTCTCCTTCTCTCATTTGTTTGGATTTTGCGAAAAACATGTCATGGAATGAGAGCAGTGTAGCACATTTATTTTCTTACGTCAAGGACGTAGACAGAACGTTTCATTTCATTGAAAGTGAAATTTTTATTATTTTATGATAAAAGAGAAAATAGAGAAAAAAAAGCATTGACTCGAGGATTTAATTTTGTTTGCAGTGATATTATAGCAGAAGGAAATAACATGTCTGGCAACTCCTCAGGTAAGAAGATGATTCATAATCTAGAATATTCGATATCTCTACTTTGAACATGCAAAAAATTTTTATCGTTAACCATACTGAAAAAAATAAAAATCTTTTCTCGTCGTAATATAAATCAAGAGTCACGCTTGACATCACGAGCGACGAATTTTTTTTTCTTACGAATAAAGAAGTTAGACAAACTATTCGTTTCTAAATACTTGGCGTCTTTGTGCTATGCCAAATAATATACGGATATGAATATATGCTGAATATAAAAACAATATCTGGATATTAAGTTAGTTAGGTTTGTTTCCGACGATAAAAAAAGACGTAATAAATAAATAAGTTTGAAATATTTTAAGAAACACATTTCAATCATAATCTTTTATTTTCAAACACGTTACGCGTTACTGAAGATCGTAGATTTAAGATAAATTTAAAACACAAGATTCTGTCTCAGTTGTTGAGAAAAATCAATGGGAAATGACCAAGAAAATTTCGTAATGCGAAATATCAGAAAGCTTTAAAATTAGATGAAAATTTACGTCGTTTAGTGTGCTCGTCTGTACTCAGTTATAGTTGAAGAAAGCGATCTCACATTCTTTTTCGAGTGTCGTGATTTTCTTAGTTGTTTGGATGATTTTCCTCTACCCCACGCGCGACGTGTGTTATAAATTCTGTCTTGAGTTATGAGGCTCAATGCTGAAAGATCAGATCTCGTGATCGCCGTAAATAAGTGCGAAACCATTTTTTTCTCATTCCTTCGTTTCTAACAAACAATCATTAGCGAATGGAATATTTTTTCAATGCCATTCTAAAATTAAAATGTTCTTTGTTAATATGACTTTAAAAGGCTCGACCAAGTTGAAGGTAAAATCTTGATTTCAATATTTCCAAGAAAAAGAATATTAAAATAATATTTAAATAATTTCAAAGAGAATCAAACCTCATTTGATTTATACAATTCTTTAATTAATCACGTTCATTACGAATACGTTGATAACAAGTCATCGTCTATGAAGTCTTTTGGAAATTTTCCATAAATCTTGAAAACAACTGATGAGAAGAGAAAAAGATTCAAAGTCGTTGCTTGGAGGCTTGTCTTGACAGTTTTGTATTTTATTATTATTAATTTTTCGCCACATTAAATTTTTATTTGAAGAACTCTAATCAATACATTTAAAAATACTTTTTTTTTTGTTCTTCTTTTTCTTATCGGAAATGTTTACAAATCAAAGTTTATAAGAAAAACAATTTCTAATCTTCATTCAGCAAATAGAAGTAGAAAGATAAAGCGATCATGAACCTCTACGTTTAATCTTTTTTCTCGTAATTGCTATCAAGTTCGCGATCATATCTCATGGTTTTTGTTATCACATCAATTGATTGAACTTGTACTACATCATACTTTTATAATTCGATATCATTTATTAAAGAAAATTGATGCAAGAAGGAGAGAACGAAAAAATGATGATGATGATGAACTAAAACCATCACTTAGTCATCAATAAATAAATATTACGATAGCAGAATGTAAAGATTCACAAAGAATGTTGACACTATGTCATTTTAAAGCAGAAAGTTCAAAAATCTTCTCATGATCATAAATCGAACTTATGTTATGTGTTCAATGTCCTATCAGCAGTCTTCTTTTTTTAATTACTCTAATAACTTTCAATTGATATTGAACTGTAGCATGTAATAGGACAAAACCATGTTTGGAATTCCATTTATCGATGATTTATGAAGATTCCAAAGAGTTGAAAGGAAATTTTACTGCTAAGAATTTAATTATACTTGAACATGGTTGTGGTGACTATTTACATTGCAAGCTAACGGATTTTTCCAGTTTTGCTGAGAATCATTATTTTGACATGGGATTGAAGTACTAACATTCAACATTCAGTCACGTCATGTTTGTTGCTATGTTTGTTAATTTCATTAGCAACTCTTTAATATTCATATTTTCGTTCAATTTTACGAGATCTTTATTAAGGAGAGTTTGTAAATAGTTATGAAAGTCATAGATATTTCTCGAAATTCAACAAATTCGAACTTATTTGATAATTTCTAAATAAACTACGATTAATGCTTCATTTATTGACAACGGCAACCTAGAAATCTCGACAAACAACATTCTATCGGACGACTAGCGATGGTCATTCAATGCGAGATAGCCTCTTGCACTTCAGTAAATAAATTTGAAATTGATAGATGATAATTTAAATAGCTTTCGTCTATATGCTTATATATTTTCTCATTTATTTCATTTATTTTTATATTAATTAATGAGCAGAAGCGTGTGTCACTTAAAATTTATGTGAGTAAAAATAATAACACACGCGAAACTTAATTTTTCTACAAGAATAAGTCTAACAATAGGTCAATTTTCTATGCAACACAAAGTTTGGATGATACGAGATGTTACTAAGAACAATTGTGTGAAAAAAGATTAATTAATTTTTATGATATTTTTATTGACAAAATGGCCTTCGCAATATATTAACTTTAAATGAAGTACATATCCATCTAAATATATTCTTTTTATTATGGAAGTAGAACAATTTGATTTGATAAAGGGACATGTCTTGGTGGGTGTGTCAGGGTGTTTTATGCTTAGATGAGTTGCCATCATTAGAATTCATTTGATATTCCATGACCTTATTATGTCTTGCATTCAATTGCAAAAGCAAATGATTCTAATATTCAATCGCAATTCAGTTTATGAAAGCTGAGCTTGTTTGGTAATTTACAAACTGCGTCATAAGAGTTTTTCTCAAAAAAATAATAAATAAATTGTCTAACGAGTAACGTAAATATCAGAAAATTTTGATGTCACTTAAGAGACGGAAAACTTGTGAGAACAATAATGACGACTTGATCAATATTTCTTTTCAAATGTTTTGATGTTGCTTCGACAACAAATTTGCAGTCGCGACTTTTAAATCTTAAGAGATTTCGTTTTTTCCTCACCAAATATTGAGAACAGGCAATTCAATTTGAATCCACATAAGATTTTATGACTCAATCGATGTTGATTTAATATTCATAGCGAATCAATTGATTTCAATTATCTAACATATATGAGATGAAAAATAAAATGGTTAAGACAAGATGCTTTTTGATGAACGAAATCGCAAAATAGTAGACTCTAATCGTTTATTAATTGAGTAAAATTTGCTTTTTATTTTATTTTTGATTAGGATGGCTGACTTGCAGACAGGTTTTAAATATTATGGTGATTTTTGGGTTCATGTTGAACTACGCGCTTCGAGTCAATCTAACGATTGCTATTGGTAATAAATTTATTTTAATTGCGTCACGAGTTTGTTTTAATCACCTTGAATGTTAATTTTAGTGGAAATGATCGATCCAGCTGCATTAGGGGGACCAACAAATATTACCAATGTGGTAGCTGACAATATAACAACAACTCCATTACCATCAACAGAAGCGACAACTGTAAAATCAGTTTTGGGTGGTAACAGATACTTTTGGACTGAAAGTCAAAAACAGTTGATTCTTGGGAGTTTCTTCTGGGGTTATATATTGACGGAATTACCTGGAGGTCGTCTAGCTGAATTGATTGGTGGTCATCGTGTATTTGGTCACAGCATGTTATGGTCTAGTGTTGTTACATTGATCATTCCATTTGCTGCTAATTTGGGAGTTACTGCAATGGTCATATCGAGAGTTGTTTTAGGCTTTTTACTGGGAGCATCTTGGCCAGCAATTCATCCTATGACGGCTGTGTGGATCCCTCCAATGGATCGTTCAAAATTCATTTCAAACATGATGGCTTCAGCTCTTGGTGCTGCTATTACTATGCCAATTTGTGGTTATTTAATTTCATGGTTTAATTGGCCTAGCGTATTTTATGCAACTGGTGAGATAAAATTAAATTTAATCTCACAAATATTTGAATCATTTAATTATTACTTTTATTTTAATAGGTTCTATTGGTGTGTTGTGGTCGTTGTGCTGGTTCATTTTTGTTTTTGAAACCCCAGCAAAACATCCAAGAATTTCCGATGAAGAAAGAAGAGAAATTGAAGATGCTATCGGTAATTTATTAATTAATATTCTTGTCAGAGAGAATTATTTAATTTTTTTTTCAATCTATTTTAGGATCATCTACCTCAAAGAAACGACCATCATATGTGCCATGGAAATCAATTCTTTCAGCACCATGTGTATGGGCAATTATTCTTGTGCATGGTGCTAGTGTATTCGGTTACTTCCTTGTAGTAAATCAACTTCCTGGTTACATGAAAACAATTTTACATTATGATATTAAATCAAACGGTCTTTTGTCTTCATTACCATATTTTGGAAAGTATTTCATGTCAGTGACTGCATCTCACTTTGCTGACCATTTGAGAAAAACTGGAAAAGTTTCAACAACAGTTGCAAGAAAGGTTCTATTGTGATGAAATTATTTAAGTTAATATTTTTGTAATACTTTCTTAATGATATTTTAGGCATTTACAACATTTGCAGTCGCTCCACCTGGCTTAATGTTTATTTTGCTTGTTTTCTTTGGCTATGATAAATATTGGGCTGTTGCAATTTTCACAATCGCATTAACATTGAATGGGGCTGTAACTGCTGGATATCTAGGCAATGGATTGGATATTGCTCCAAACTTCTCAGGAACGATCTTTGGAATGGCTAATACTTTATCATCATTTGGTGGTTTTGTATCAGCATGGATGGTCGGAGAGTTAACAGAGAATAATGTAAAGACAAATGATTTTTTAAATTAGAATAAAATGTGTCAACTTATAAAAATTTATTTACAGAACACATACGGTCAATGGCAAATAATATTTGGAATCGTTGCTGCCACTTATTTGATTGGAAGTACATCATTCTTACTAATGGGAAGAGGTGAATTACAACCATGGAATAATCCACCAGAAAGAAATGGTTTCCCACTTCAAGATATACGACAGGAAGAAGGTGTACCATTGAAGAGAAATAATGCATCTTAACTGAGTTAATTGTTAAAGCTTTAGAAAAATTTGATTCATATCGATTTGGTACTTTTATGTAGTTGATTAGGACAGAATTGTGTTAGCCAGCAGATTGCCACTTTTTGGTGAATAAGTTATAATTGATATTCAGCAATTTACTGATAGAAAATGTTGATCTGTTAGCGACTTTACGAAAAAAGAAAAGAGATGACTTTTAAAAATTATTCTCAATATTTACAAAAAAAAAGAAATGAAACTTTGTTGGTAGATTATTAATAGAAATGCGAACGCATTATCTAAACAAATTAGAAAAAAAAGGTTTCTTGCACAACCGAACTGATCATGAAAAAAGGACAATACTTTATGAATAGAAAATATTTATAAATAATATTTCTTGATGATTGATGTTATTGTATGATGATCAATTTTAAAGTGTCAATAGAATTTAATTGAAATCAAACCTCTTCTACTTCATGAAAGCAAGATTCGCAAAATCTCAAGAAGCAAAACGCTGCTGTCAATTCAAATTTTTATTAGAATAATTTAATTGTAAATACATTGAAGATAAATAAAGTTTTATTTTTGAAATATAAAATGAGAACAATAATATCTGAAACGTTTAATTTATTTTTCTACAACTTTAGAATACAATCTTTCGTTTAAAAAAGTTTAATGGGAACATTTTTTGATGTTTCCGAGACACAGCAAAGACACATTTCAAAAATTAAATTGCCGTTAACATCCAATCTTAAGACTGGACAGATATTTGTAGAATGTAATAACATATTATGGTTCTTTCTTTTAGTTATTACGAAATCTCTGAAACTAAATATATCTATTGTGAGAATATCTTTATTTTAAAGGTAATGTTACAAATTGTAACATTGAATGCAGAGAAATGACATACTATTCTTAATCATTCTTTCGGTGCGTTAACATATTTTCTGTATAAATTATTCTTTGATATGTTATGCTTTTATTAGATTCTGAACATAACATATATGTATATCATATATCTGTCTAGAACAAAAATGGAAAACTTTGCCAAAAATATTCCAGTCGATGCTAAACCAACCCTTTTTTATTATGATAAAATGATAAAAAAACTGGAAGGGATAAAATATTTTCAGAAAAGTAAAAAAGGGTTGAAAATATAGAGATCGAAGCTTCTTGTTTTCATTTTTAAGTTAGACTTTGTTGAGAAAACATCGTTCTGTTTTTACTCATAAGTTATAGAATTAACATTTAAAAGGTAAAGTCATAGTAAGTTCAAATAAGTATCAAGTAACAAAATATGAAGCAAAAAGAGAATATTAGAAGAAATGTTTGCAGAAACTTATTGGATTATAAGAAGTAAATCCCGCAAGAGGTAAATTATGAAAGGGCATTAAAGACAAATTTTAAAATCTACTAACAACTCTCGCTTGAAGCAAGACAAAAGTCATTTGTCATAATTGTACCCTTGAAGAAGAAATTCTTCCCTTGACAAGTGGCCAGATTTTACATGCACGTATTCCACCAAAAAACATTATTTTCATATCTAAAAAATGCCATCATCAAGCTTGTACGACAAAAAAAAAGTCTATCAAGGATAGAAAAAAAGGGCATAAAAGTTCAAGAGCTATAACTTCGATTATATTTTATTTTCTCCACGTTTTTTCTTGTTGTTTTTCTTTGTATCATTCTGAATTTTCTTCGTTTTCACCCTTAAAAAAGAAGAAAAATAAGACATTTTTTAGTTTTTAGCTCGAAGGGATAAGCCGTGGCGAGGGGAGAAAGTCGACATAAAAGATATCTTTGCCATTTTTATGATTATGTATCATTATTATTGTCACACATGAATATCGTATTAGAATATGAAATGAATTTTCCTCCAATTTCGTTTCATCGTCCTTATTCAGATATATGTTGATGTAATTTTATATTCTTATGCAATTCCTTTGCTTCTTAGAGTACATACATATCTAATAATAAGGGATGATTTATATTTCTGATTTGTCTTATGTGCCTCGTTCACTTTGTTTTTTATTGTTAAAATGGTCAGAGATAAAGTCGTCTGTCGAAGATTACAAACGGATTATACTAGAATATCTATCGCTTCTACAATTTCGCAGCAATAGCTTTGTTAATTTCAATAAGCAAGCATTCATGTATTTAATGATATATTTAAGTAGAGCGAAAGATGATTTTTTAACTGACGCTTTCACGCTGCAGGACATCAATGATAAGTTTGTGACATAAACGAAACAATTATTATTAATTGACATATTTAGATGCGGCTGGCTTGTTCACCTCCACACACATGTCGTGGGTAGTGTGATGCTTAATAGCCTTTTTTATTGTCCCTCAAGGATAATATAGATTGTTCCAAATAGAAGAAAAGAAGAGAAGACACTGTCGATTTGAGTCGAGTGTTGAACAGAAGAAGTTAACGTCAAATAAGATACCGTTTGGTGCACAATAATAATGGTAATTAAGTGTCGATGTTTTTTGGGCAATCGTCTTGAGAGATTCATCGGTTTGAACCTTGAAACCGCTTCGATACGCGTTATGAAAGGTAATCCAGAAAGATATGCGAAGGGAAGATATGAGTTATGAGCTAAGAAACAGGAAACGCATATAAATTGCCGCATTTATTTCCTTTTCCCAAATTTATCCCATGGGCTGCCCACCACATACTTATTTATAAGAAAAAAAGAAAATTTCAAAATAATTTTCCACAATTTTCCTGCTGTCGAGTGGTAGGAAATCTTAGAATTTATGTCTAACGAATAAATTACAATTTAATCTTACTGAAACTGAAAATGGTTGCGAATTGTTGCTGGAATTTAAACGGATGAGAATGTAAAAAAGAGAGTATAATTAACTGTCAGATTTTACGGGAGCGATGTTTGAATTCTTATTTTCTAGTTGCGCTACGGCTCGATGCTCAATAGATGAAAATAAATTTTATTTGCAAGCGAGAAGCTCCACAATTTTGTACGATTTATTGTGAAATAAATAAAAATTATGGCCGTTTCCTAATAATTCGCCACAGTCGAGCAAAATATGGCAAAAAATAAATATATATAACAATAATAATAATATTTATTCGAGGATTTGGTTTGCTAAATTTATTGTCAAGCGAAAAGCATTTCGAAATGAGACTTTTTTATTGGTCAATATAGGAATTTTCATTTCTAAAAGTACGATTTGCACTGACAGATAACTTTTTTCTTTTTTGTTTTGAAAAGGCCCTTGGGGACGGTCCGTAAATTACATCATATTAGGACGAGTGTAAGCTCTTCAAATTGTTATCGAGGAATTTGAAGAGAATCCATTTTGTAAAATCCATCAATATTGTCATCTATCTTGTTGATATCGAGCTTCAGATTGTTGGTGACAGAATTTCATGATGGTCCTCTCATCAAAGTTCACCCTCGTCAATAATGCTGTGCTCGGTTTAAATTTGTCTCTTGTTAAACGTAATTAATTAGATGGAATTGCCATTCCACTTCAAAGATTACATGATTGCTTCTCCATATTTCATTTTCGGAGGCAGATATTTCGCTAAATGCCACAAGTCGAATGCTTCATGTATGTACATATAACTGAATAAATAAAATAAATTGAAAATAAATAAATAGCTACGTATTGAATTTAAAATTCCATCGGAAGGAATGTGCTCATTAGAATCATGAAATTGAAACGAATCGGAGCTTCCGTATTGGTCTCAATCAAAGTAGGAGTTTAGATACGAAAGCATCTTTTTGTCAGTCAATCTGAAATGTTATCCACCCTCAAGGAATTTTCCTTTTCTTCTTTAAGATCTATCTTGTAATTTTAATTAGTTTGATTTCTCAAGCATCCTTTTGCGTATCAATCGACATTTTAATTTGATTAAATTTTCAAGTGCTTCAACTTCAAAGATGACCATTTTCAGGATTTGACGTAGACATTTCAAGTTTGTTTTTAAGAAATCGATTTATATTACATTAGAGGAAAACCTAGTGGAAATGGCTGAACACATATTAGATCTTAATTTCACCATTCAACACATTTAAAACTTTAACTAAATTACAAAAACATTAAATCATTTTCCTTCATATTCGATGTCTAAACTGAAAGTAAATGGACAAAGTTCAAAACTTACATACAATGCATGTAAACGAAAATCCTTTTCGAGAGGGTCTATAAAACGTTTTTCAAATCGACAACAATAGAAGTAAATTTATAAAAAAAAGTACATCATTATAATAAAAAAAATATTTTCAAACATAATTTGATTTGTGCTCGATTCAGTTAAATTCAATTTAATGTTCTTCACATGATGTCAAATGTTGCGTGGCCAAAATGGAAAATTTATTACGATTTTTTTTGCGGGAATTTACAATGTTTATTTAAAAGAAGAGAAGAATTTTAGGGAAAAATCTTTTTCATTGATGTTGTCATTCACTGTTGAAATCGCTCTCGGGTGATGGAATAAATAGCACAGGAAAGAAAAACATTGTGGGGTTGATGTTGATATCATTTTCCTCTGCTGTAACTCATGTGTATATAGACATTTCTTTCTTTTCGAAAATATAACTTTTATTTAGATAGGTAGTAGATTTTATTGAAACTATTTCCTTGATTTTGCTTCACATGATAAATAAGCAAAGCTGTTTGAATATTTCGCGTTTGTATGATAAATTTCTTCATAAATTATTTATAAGCACGTCATTCTATCTCTTTTTTCATCAGTGCACAATAACGGAGTTTTGTCCTTAAGTTGCAATATCTTAGAAAGGTATACATTTACTTATAAAGAAGAAAATTATATTCTTCTAAATATAAGCATTGACATTACTCAAGTTTTCTTCAACTTATTTAATAAATATACAGATATATCCGATTCTATGGATATCTGATTAGTTACAAGAAAATGTGACAATTTTTTTCTACCCTATCTTCGAATCGAAAAGATATTCTCGAGATGATTCTTACTATTCACTCCAAACAACAAACGTGATGCACATGACATCTTATAATTATAAATAATGAATCATTATTTAATATAGCAACCCTTTCATGTATGTACCTAAGTTTTTATTAAAGCCGTTAAAGATTGCTTACTCAATAGAATCGTTTTTGAATCCATTAGAAGTCTAAGAAAAATGATTTCTTATAGCACTAACGCACTTCACAATAACATATCTGAATAAAGCATACATAATGGCATAAACCTTATCTTGTGCTCGACACACGATGGAAAAAAGGTGGTAAGAAGAGAATGGGATGTTAAATTATTAAGCACCCTAAAGTGTTGTGTTCTGCTTATCTAATGCCACAAAAAAGTGAAATAAGAAGGAAGAAATGCTTCCATTTCCATTCAGAACTCATTTTATGAAAGATAAATAATAATTGCGCTTTCGAATACATAATAAACATAAATAAAAATCATTTGCGATGTAGAAAAATGTAAGGGGTTAGAACATTGCATTTATCATCTGTGGAACAAAGAACATCTATTAGAGTAGCCGTAAAGGAATGAATATGACGTGTAAAACTACAAATATTAAGAGTTAGGGAGTAAAATTTAGAAGGGTGAAAACAGACGAATAGCGCATGCTAATAGCAACTTTCATTTTTACGTTTTTTAACAACCTCGTTGTTGTGAGTATTCAAATCATCAAATCAAATCGTTTTAAATTTTATAAAATGGCCCACGACAAATAAAAAAGTAATAACAAAGAATCCATTTCGATGCTAGAAATGAATCAGAATAAAACCCCATAAAGATGAAGTAAATTTGTGTTTGCTTCACAAAGCATCATCTGAAAACCCATCAATGTAACTTTTTTATCGCATTTTCTTTCCTCAATTTTCTTTCCCTGTTCCAGGGAAATTTTCTCTGAAAATCGAAAGATAAAAAAAATAACATTGAATAATTGATGAAAGGGACATGAGCTAAAGAATGTATAATACTTGAACTTTAAGGCGATTTTCTTGTTTTCATCTGTTGGGTAGAGAGAAAGAAAATGTTTTATTGAAGGTAAAAGAAATAGAAGAAAGTGCGTTTGAAACGAAAGAACTTCTGTAAAGTGTCGATTGTAAACATTCCTGGAAAGCCCTCCACCTTTCATGTCTAAAAGTTTCAGAATTAAATCTGAAAAATAAAACGCTGAAAAAGTAGCAAAAATTTATTGTTAAGTCGAGTTAGGAAAAATTCGAAGGGGTCAGCAAAAAGCGAAAACATTTCAAGTCCTTGTCGTTGCTTATCGTATTTGAACACACATAATCTTATATAGAATTGTATCCTTATTTTGTATGAATTTCGAATGAACATTTTCAATTCCATTTAATTTGATATGTGAGTATGTGCGTATGTTTGTTAAATTCAAAGACGAAAAGAAAATTTAGCAAAGGAAAAGAGATGGAGAGTATTTAGAGCGATGTGTGTACTTTGCAGGCTTATGTCGAGAATTTTCATTATTCGAATTTCCAATTTCTTGCTTCTCGTCTATTTGCGCAATGTTAAAATTCTGTGCGAATTTAATGAAAAAAGGTATCACTTTTTGATTCTCCTACTTTCTTTTTTTAGATTTCATTTCACAAGCTTCTTCTATAAGAAGATTCTTTTTTTCGGCTGAATTACATAAGATAAGGGAAAATGAAATTCAGCATTGGAGATTGGACGAGAGAAGCAATAGTCAATATAATATATTTAATTTTGGAGCAGAATAAATATTTTTCAGTCACAAGCAAATAACAAATATTGTCTCTCTACGTTTCATATTGAACAACATTTACAGAATATGATGGAAAATATATTCGAATGGAGGAAAATTTTTCTGTCATTGAATTGTGAAATTGAGAAAGAGACAGAGAGAGAGAAATAAATCTCCCGACCTTCAACATACTCTTCGTTTAGTTTGCACCGCACAATGAACCCAAGATTGATTTATTGTGCATCAGAAGAAATACAGGAGGAAGCATGCTTTGTGGAAGCAGTCGTACAACCATTTGTGATTTACTGCACAATTTTGTTGCTATCATCGAAAGCATGAAAATGTAAGGGAAGTTCTATTGATATCAACATTCAAATACAAAAGCGATGTAATTTGAAATTTATGTCTGCTGCATTCGACGTAAAGTTTTGATTATGTTGAATTAAAGTTAAATTAAAGTTGCTTATATATCAAGCAGCTCAACGCGATCAACATTCTTCATTCCATACACATAAATCCTACGTGATGCGATCTCGAGCCAGATATTTCATCCTTCGAAAAGCTCTAAAAAAATTTATTCAATTTTTAACTGTTTCAAATATTGTTGCAGACGGAAAAAACGAAAACAAAATAACAACCAGAAAATCATCCGAAAACACGCACACACAATGTTTGAGCGACAAAACGTGATTTATGATGACCATATTAAAATTTATTTTTATCGCGATCACGTATAATAAAAGTGCATATGGATTTTATAACATTAATGTCCACCTAAAAAATGTCCATATTTTGTGCATATCTACATACATACATGCATTGAGAAATAAAACAACTCAAAGAACTTTAATAACTGCAAATAGACGGCAGTGCTAAATAAAAAAATATCTAACATAAATCTCTCTCTCGCTTCCACTATGAATTGTAATAAAATTTACATGACTTTCCCTTTTTGTTCCTGGGTGACATTAATAATAGTTGTGAATGTTGAAACAAAGTCATGTGCTTGGTTGAACAACAACGGTGCAAAATAATGCATGCAGTAAGTTTCATGAATAATGTTTCGCATCCTTTAAGTTTGCAAGTTTTCACTTCTCAGTGACTCTGAAAAATTTCAATCTAAGAAACCAAAGAATTTTCCAGTCAATTACAATTGTGAAAAAAAATTGAAAATTAATTCTCATAAACATTTCTCAAATATATTNCTTCTTTTTTTTTTTTAGATTTCATTTCACAAGCTTCTTCTATAAGAAGATTCTTTTTTTCGGCTGAGTTACATAAGATAAGGGAAAATGAAATTCAGCATTGGAGATTGGACGAGAGAAGCAATAGTCAATATAATATATTTAATTTTGGAGCAGAATAAATATTTTTCAGTCACAAGCAAATAACAAATATTGTCTCTCTACGTTTCATATTGAACAACATTTACAGAATATGATGGAAAATATATTCGAATGGAGGAAAATTTTTCTGTCATTGAATTGTGAAATTGAGAAAGAGACAGAGAGAGAGAAATAAAAAAAGTAGAATCCTATAGCATTAATTTTCAAACATAAATCTTAAATGTATAAGATTGCAATTGTTAGTTTCAATGACTTAAGCAATTATTACAACAATAAACTTATTAAAAGTTTCAACTATGAATCTGAATTAGCAATATCACGAAATTTAGAATGGTAATGAAATATTTTAGTGTAGCTACTTATTTATGTATTATTTCATATCGTTGTTTATTGAATATCAAGAATCCGTCAACATAGCGAAACTAATTTCGTAAAGTACGTCGTAAAGAGAAGAAAATTTGAATGAAATAATTGAACGGGAGTCACAAGCATAACCAACATCGATGGTAACAAGAAAGAATTTTATGTCTTTTGTTATGTATTGTAATTTGAGTTTCCATTCTGATTCTGAAGATGGAATAATGTTATTTTTTCATTTTTCTAAGCAGAATTTTTTCTGCTGACATCGAATGAAATTGACATAATGGAAAACTTCATGCACATGGAAAATTCTCTTCATTCTTTATATTTTTCTTTTCTTATAATATGAAGAAGAAAAAAGTTGCACTACATTTGTCGTAAAATGCAAGAAATCGAGTTTCCTAGAGTTTTTAACTAAGAAACCAAAAAAGATTAGCCAATTTTTTTCCCCAAATTTATACCCTCTGCTAGGAAGACGAATCAGATCTGGAATTAAGTTGGAGTTACAACTTTGATACTCTTAAAACTCCATTTAAAATCTCTAAACTTTCTTCCCTTAATGAACTTTTTAAGATAAATGAGAATAAATTTAATTGCATATCATCGGAAAATTGTTAGACTCTTTTCCTTTATTTATTCATTTTTCATGAACATGAGTAAATATCTAAAGTTAAATTGGTAAATTGTCAATAAACCATACTGAATTTTCCATTTATAGAATTTTTACCACAATTTCTCTTTCTAAACTTTATTTTTCTTTTATAAACGTACATCAAGACGCACCCTCAGTGCTTGAAGTATCCCTCCTTTTATCAATTTGACCTTTCCTATACATGTAATCAAGTTTATGCTGTAAATAAAAATAAAATCATTTATCACTCGAGAAACAGGCGCAAAAAAATATAAAAAATTACATTTTTATTCAAGTCTTAAATCGCCTTTACACAAGATTTAAATTTTTTTCTGCTGCCATCGGATTTTTTCTCAAAGCGCTTTATGAGATGAGGGATGGAAAATGACGAGAAATCAGGGGTGGTTTTTACAGCAGAGCTGTTCTAATCAAATCATATACATTATACATGTTAGTCGTGAAGCATGACTTGGAATGTAAAAGAATATTTTTTTAAGAAATTGGGGTTTTGTCTTGGACATTGATGTAGACGATAAATGATGTCGTATTTGATTTTATATGATGTAAGAAAAATAAATTCTATAGAAATTTCCGGCAGTTTAAAATTCATGTTTTGATTTCTCATAATGATTATTTTTCTTTTTTATTTTAGATTAGCGAAATACAATTAATGATGGAAATGAAACACTGCAAGTTATGAACAACGAATCTCATTTTTAACAAACCGAAGGAATGAAAGGAGAGAAGAACAATAAGTAAACAAAATAATCTGCAGATCCAGTAAAAAGAAACAAATGTAAAAGTGTGAACACTGAAATTGTTCGATGATCTTCCAAATATGAATTTAAATTGCAATTGGAGTGGAGTATTGTTTATCAAGAATTACAGATTCAAAGTTCGGTTTTTAATATGGGTAATTATTTTATTTTTCACGCTTACCAACATGACACTTTCAAACAGTAACATAGCTGAAAGTTCTTTTTATATGATAAAGAGAAAAGTTGCGAGTTAGCATAAAGATTCCCGACTGTCCTTTGTAACGTACACCCTTTGATTGCGTTTAAAACATTTGCATGTTATTGAAACTTATATCATCATGAGAAATCGAATTCTTTTAACAAAAGAAACAAAGAAATTTTTTTATATTTAAAACAATGCTTCACCACATAAAGTAAACTTTAGTTGTAAATTTTCCAATATTTCACATAGCTACTTAAAGGCCGCATTTAATTGATCTTATTATGAATCTCATTCAGAAAATGCGAGCATTTATTTTAATGCTAAAGAAGTGGAAACAAGAATATATAAAATAAAACTAAATAAAATTACAATTTAAGTAAAAGAAAAGGTGAGAAAACAAGTGATTTAATCTTTCATCTTTCTTTTGTTGTGAACATTTTCCTTATATTGAGAAATCGTTTGAAGAATAAAAATAAAAATATTTCGTTAAGTGTGGAACATTGTCCAATTCATCCGAAATATCTTTTGAAGACCAAAACAGTTTATAATTCCTGTTCACAGCTGATATCTACTTAGCTGTGAAGCTACTTTTAATTTCATTGATAATTTTTAACTACAAATTTGTTTTCATTCATCAAATTTCCTCTCCACTATTTGAATAATTGATTGTTGAATAAAAACTTCCGGTTTAAATCAGTTGAAATGTTTAAGTAGTTTAATTGTTAATAAGCATCTCGTTAAAATTTGATTCTTATCTCAATATTCAATATATTTATTTATATAATGTTTGAATGATGAACTGTTAGAGGCGTTAACTTAATGTTGAATCAGACAATTTTTAAATGAAATTAAATTCTATAAAAGCAAATGTAAATAAATAACTAGAGGAATGAATGAAGTTCGAACCGATAATTGCTTCCGAAGAAATATTCTGCAATAAATCGTCAAATTTGAGAGATTATGATAAAGCTATAAAGAAGCGGCAGAAGAACGATAATTGTTCATTAAACATTAAACTAGCGAGCTAGCAAGGCGTTTGACGTTTGAGGAGGGAATGTGATGTCTGAGATTTTAATGCCTTTTCTACCTGGCAAAGATCAAAAAATTTGTTTTAGAGATCTTTACTTATATTTACGTGATCTAGGAATCATTCCTGGTCGCTCAACGAACAGGTTTTTTTCCTTTCTAATATTTTATTGTTTTAATACTTCGGAAGTTCCTCAAACTGATGCGATTTGGTTTTATTTTTCCTGCATCATTTTAATATCAAATTTTAATTTGCAATTCGCTTCTTCTTTCCATCTTCGGATTCATCATATACGCGAAACATGATAATCACGATGATTACGAGGTTTGTTGTTCAGCTTTCTTACTGTATGGAAATAAATTAGCTTAAATTGTGTTTTCTTCGATTTTAATATTTTTGCATGAAGTATTCTTGTCTTGTTTGAAAGCGCACAAAAGCCAAGATTAAATTATACAACGTGATCTCTCACAAAGTAGAAACTGAAACTCTAACCAGGCATTCGCTCTTTTGAATGTTCATTTTGTGGTTTCATTAATGCATAATTTTCCTTCGCCTTCGTTCTGGAATAAAAATGAATTGTTATTAGTCGGAGATTACTGTAATTTGAATATTCTGGTGCTTACCTAAAACGTCTTCTGAAGAGAGTGAAAATAAAATGATGAAATGATGAATGAATTTTAGCCATTTTATTCTGAATGGAACAAGAAAAATATTTTAAGCTACAAAAACATGTTATTATTATTCAACAAATAATTATATTATAACTTTACTTTACTCAGCTTTACCGCGTTAGTATTAATGGATCTTTGAGTTTCACGTGATTTTTTATTTCTTTTCTTTTTTTTCAGTTCTCTACTTCATTTCTAACCTTATGGTGAATAAATAAATGTATGATAATTTACAATTCTAAGTATAGTAATGAAGGTTAGATTGAGCTAATGTAAAAATAATTGTTTGTTCAAAAATTTAAATTTTATGTTCAACATCATTGGAGTGAGTTGTTGTAGATATATCAAACATTCTATCATTGACCATCTAAATAAGTAAGTAAATAAGTGAGAAGTACGGAAGATGTCTTGAAACTGATGGTCATAGAAGTTATTACAGATTATTATTATTCACCTCAAGCACTTTTAAAATTACTTTATTACATTCGATAGATGACTTGATGACTATTGTATGTCAATTGACTTGCCTCTGAACTCTTCTTTCAAGTAAAACGAGTCTTATCATATGCTCTTCACAAATAAAATGATATTATTACATAAATTCTTTTAATTTGAGATAAAATTAACTCACTCACCTACACGATCGGAGATTGTGTCTGAAATTACGGAAACACAATTCTATATTGGATGACACATGAAGTAACCTGAACTAAAATGTTCTAAAATAAGCAGAAAATTTCTGTGCTTGACGATAGCTTCAAAAATAAATATAGAAGTGCACGCGATGATTGTAGGCTTCATTGAAATTGAGTAGATACTAATAAGTCTCATTGTTTCTTTTTCCGATATATTTCTATTTTTAATTTCTTTATTATTATACTTAATAAAAATGTTCTATTCACAAATATTTCTCCTTAACGAAATTATTTCTTATAAATCTTGATATGATCATGAAGACAGAAGAATATAAGTTTAAAATTGAGGAAATAAAAAGATTTTTATGATGTTGGTATCTATACGAGAAATAATTGTGAAAAGAAGTTTTTAAAACAAATAGGTAAGATACAATTTAACTACTTAATGCTAATGGTACGAGGGAAATCGAATTCTGCAATAAAATGATCTTGATAAACTAATAATTGTGTCTTACATGTTATTAATTCACACAGCAAATGAGAAATTTTTAAAAAAAGTTTATTTTAATAAGTTGATGATGATAGCAGTGTAACATTCACAAACACTTATGTAGATAATATACATAAGTAAATAAATCAAAAGTATGTATTTATTATATCTACTTATGTTGTGATGATGAAAGGAAACTTGTGACTTGATTTCATACATTTTAAAATATATTGAAACAATGAACAAGTTTTTTTTAATACTTTAACACTGTTTTCAAAGCTGAAAGCTTTTTTATGAAAACAAGTGGAAGACAATACGGATTGAAACATTTAAAAAAATTATTGAATGAAAAATTATTTTGTAATTGATCAATTTAAGTTAATATTTTAAAAGTTGAGTTTTCCTTGAATGAAAATTCAAAACATATGTGAATGTCTACTACTGAGAACATTAAACAGGATTTAGCCGATGAAATGTTCGGGGGAGTCTGAAAATTACTTCAATTGTATAGTCAAATGTTTCTGGTGAAATTGCTGACTAGTTTTTAAATCGAAGTAATTTTCAGTTGACATATTCTTTGACGATGTTATTATTAAACTTCTCCATGTGCCTTACATATATAATAATCAAACAAATTATTAAAAACATACAGAAATTGTTCACAATTGTGCAAAAAAACAACAAATAGTTAATAGCAATAAAACCGAAAATTCAAACTAATTTAACTGGAATTTATTAATATCTGATTTCAGATTAATCATTTCAAAAGGGAAATTTCACGACTGAAAATATTTTCATTTGTGTTGCTAACATTTTAAATGAACATTTTATAAAAAGACGATAACATAGAGCTTCAAGTCAAACTTAAAATTTTTCATCTCATGATCTTGTTTTTGATCTTATCAATTAAAATCTATATTTCAGTAAATTCGATTAACTTCACATTGATATAATGATATGCTTTCTTAAGATATCAAAAGAAAAAGTTCAAGTATAAATAAATGAGTAGTAATTAATGAAACTGATAATTTACGTGCTTGTAGTTTGTTGAATAATCACTCAGATTCAAAGGAATATTATTACTCCAAGAATTTGATTCCGGTCAATCATATTTTGAAGAAGATGGTGAGAAATTAGGTGAAAGAGAATTCATTCCAAAGAGTCCCGAACTACTTCCGTTCAACGATTCTGTCGGACTTTCCGACTCATTAGGATTAATACGCTTTTCTTTCTGTCGACGATTACAATACCAAACCCTAACCACTTCCTTTTCCATGCCTAAACTATCTGCAAGATTTGCTATTTCTTCGCTTGTTGGTTTTGGATTCATGATGAATGCTCTTTCAAGAGATACACGAACATTTGTCTCTATTGATGTTCGTTTCTTTCGTCTTCGTCCAATTGTTTCAGGAGTTGTTAGTTGAGTTGTCAAACCACTGTTCCCAAAGATTCTGTTGAATTGACAATCTTAAAATTTTATTTAAACTTTAAATTTCATTTTAAAACTTACGCTGAATTTCCCATCAAACTCCCGTCAGCATCCAATAACCACTTTTGAAGTAAAGGTTTGAGTTTGCACATGTTCTTGAAGCTCAAATTTAATGCTTCAAATCGTGATATGGTTGTTTGTGAGAAATCATTTCCGTAGAGTTTTCCCATGGCTAATCCGACGTCACCTTGTGTAAATCCCAATTTGATTCGTCGTTGCTTAAATGTCTTTGAGAATTGTTCTAATTCTTCCAAGTCGGTGGTTTCTTCTGGTGAAGGTTCCATCGTTCTAGCAGCAGTTGTCATCGTTGAATGCTTCTGTTGTGGTGGATGAGTACCTGAATTGGGAGTCGAAGGTGTTAGAATTCCACTAACTGAGTGTGTATTGGAATTAGGTGGAGTTATGTGATTGTTAATGTCAACAACAGTTCTCGGTGTACTCTGATGGTTTGGTGGACTTTTTGGAGGACTATAAGGTGGACTTTTGTTTGCATTATGTTCATCTAATGATCGATTTATTTTGTTTGCACTCAATTCTTGTTGTTTTTGGAGAGCTTGGAGTTGTTGAGCAGCTTGTGCCATTGCTTGTTGAACTTGGCTTTGAATAAACAATTGAGCTGCTGCTTGAGCTTGAGAAGAATTTGTTCCTGGATTTGCACTTGCATGAAGCAGCATATAATTTTGAAGTTGTTGATGAAACGACGCTTGTTGTGCCTGCAATGCTTGCTGTAATGGCCCAAAATCGCCTTGTGAGTGATTACCAAATGCATTCAATCCCAGCTGATTTTGAAGAAATAATGGACCTAAAGGAATTTGACTTTGCATTGCAGCTAAAGCGATATTCATTTGGTTGTTAACATTGTTTTGTTCTGGAGGGGACGGAGATTGTCTTGATGAAGAATCGTTGATCTAAATACAAAATAAACGAAAAATTTATAAAACACTCCAATTGGTAGATACATATCAGGAAATGAAAACATTAAATAAATTCGCGTTAAACTTCCTGTTTGATGCATACTGAATACTGAAGTATTAAAGAATTCAATAAAAAATTGTTGGCACGCGCCCTCAAGCAAATTGATAAAAGTGAGAAGGAAAAAGAAGAAAAATAAAATGTCGAGAAGAACCGACAGTTTTCAAAGCAGATTTCTTATTGCACGATCTTCACCCCTTTTTCAGAAGTATTTATACAACCAGTTGCAAACAAACAGGCAAACAAGTAAACTCTTGAAATGGGTTTGAAAGAATTTTTTAAAAATCAAGATTAAGAAGAACTCACTAAATTCAATGCTGAAGAAAGATAGAGTTGATGTTGTGACGGCATTTGTGGTAAAGGTGGACTTGAGTTTGAGTTTTCACGCTTCTCTGATTGATTGCTGTCATCATCTGTAATGAGAAGAAGAATAATTTTATATGAAAAACTTTATGCAAACATCTTTAGATGGAATCAAATGTGTGATCATAAGAAGTTAATCGTTTGAGTCTGTGGAAGCTTAAAGGAACAAATTGATAATCTTTCATTCACTTTATGGTGATATTTCTGTCAACCCCCTCAATACCTCTTCAATAATATGTCGATAATGTTCTCTTATTTTTTTGTGAGAAAAAAGGGTTGAATTTTTCATGTTTTTTATTACATTTTTCCCTCTTTTCCAAGAGGCGAAAAGAACGAGTTGAGAAAAATCATAAAAAATCTGATATAATGCTGTAAACACATGTTATTATAATGTTAAAATTGATACTTATTATGTTCAACGATAGAGCTTTTAGGAATCAATTTATTCTCACTTGGTGATATCAAAATATGATTTATTATCGATGTATTCACAGTATGGAGAGGTAGTCAAGTTCAAAAGGAAAACATATTTTTTAAAATGTTTTGCACTTACCATGATAGTGATCAGGCGATAATCGATGAGATTTAGCATCTGGAAAGATCGTAAGAAAAAAACTTTTTGAATATTTTACTATTTTAAGGAACAATAAGATTATTATTAATATCAAAATAATTTAGCAAAGATCCTATTTATGCTTAAAACTATAAAAAGTCTCTTTTGAAAATCTTTCAAGCATTAAAAATCATTTCAAGTAATTGAAATTCTACCTGATCGACACAAAATGCAATATATAGATGTTTATCAAATATTCAGAAAATATGTTAAAATTTTTTAAAGTTTTAAGTTTCGGGTGGATGTTCTCGTGTATGAATTGAAATATCCATCAAAAAAAATGTTTTCCTTCTTTGAAATTTCAAAAAATATTCGACTGATTCCAATTCGTCAAATTTAAATCGATTATGGTGAGTTGTCAGGTATAAAAGTCATGTTTCACTCATTCAACGGAAGTTGCGTTCAATTAATTCTCTTGTGGTCGAATTCCTTATGAAATATTCAATTTTTAATCAAACGCGATACTCAATATACAATTCAAGCAATGTAATTGAAATTTTGAAATAAAAAATTAAAAAAAAAATCTTTTATTTCCAAATGTATATCGACGTCAATAAATAACTCTTCCAGCTCGTTTGCACATTACTTGCTTGTGAATGAAACCTACATTTTGATGGTGGCATTCTATGAACATCTTTTTCGTCAATCACAGTATTATTGTTATTTTCACGTTCCTGATCACAGTTTGAATGTTCATGAAACGTATGCATATTTGACAACACCATGCTTGGTTCTTTTAGTGCACTTTTGAATGATGAAAGCAAAAGCATTACATTAACACTTTCACAACTGATTCAAATATTTATTTAGATTTTTTTTTATTTGGCACACAATCCTTATGCGAGATAATTTGTTCTCTTATTATTCTAATCTATTTGCTGTTGCGTCCTTAATGATGCGTTTATCTCAAAAAACTAACAATCATTTTAATATCTCACTCTTAGCTGTCGGCTCTTTCCACTTGAAAATTACAGAGAATGTAAGAAACGGTGTGTGAAGAATAAGAAGAATAAATCGAAAGAAGCAAAATCATGTCAAAACGAATATGAGAGCTTTTTTTCCCCTACTTTTAATGCACTAACACTTTCACATTTACCAAAGGATATAAAGTTTTTTGAGAGAACAAGAGAGAGAGCACAAAAATCGTTTTTTATGTTTTAACTCCCGTCGCTCAAAGCATAGCAAAGCTGATATGAAAAATCATATAAAAATTACCTACATAATGAGATGTAAAAGGCGTGGTTATTTTACATTAAAAAAAAAGCAATATAAATTTTAAAGCATCTCCGAATACATCTCGAGGAATTCGTTTCTTCATCTCTTTCGTTCGGCTTTTCTTTCTCTAACTGAAGGTTATTTTTTATACTTCTGTAAAGTTTCTTGTTCTTAATTTGGATTTCTGAAGAACCGCGCGCTTTTTTCCTTTGATTTCATCCGATTGTTTGAATTTCAGTAGCGAAATCATTTTGAGTTTTTATATACACTTAATATCAAAATATTTGCTTTTAATTCTGAGAGACTTTGTCTGAGATATTTTTTCATCGCTCTTTTCGGTATATCCGTGAGATGAACTAAAAGTATTTTTTTTGCGCTAAAACTGGTTGAAACTAATAGAGTGTGTAAGAGAAGAGGGATTTTCATGTATCAAACTATACGTGTATGTTGAAATTATCGATTTTCTTTAACGAATGTAGTTTATGGTTATTTGCTAATGTTTCACGGGTAGAATCGTTAAAGTTCTGTTTGAGATTCTTTCCTTTAATTCCTACACGCTGTAGAGCTCAATTTCAAGTACAAATCTTTCTCTTCACGTTCAATAAACTTTCGTTTTCTAAGAAAGTCTGAAAATTTATCAATTTTAGATCGTGAGAAAAACTGTTGCCAAAATCTTCTTCACTATTGTTCAATATTTCAATAAATGCATAAAATTTACAAAAAACGACCCTTAGAATTTCACCTTAAAATCACTTTTTACTTCTTTTCATTTTTTACGCAATGAGAATTTATGTTCTATTTCAAACCTTTTGTAAAAATTTAACGCAAAAAATTGAACCTTTTTTCTAGTTTAGATTTTAAGATTTATAATCAATAGAATTGAGAAAAAAAAGTTGCAGTATTTGTTAGTACAATCAGTCTTAATCGTCATCTTACGCAATTTTTATGCTTGAAAATCCGTCATAGATACATAGGACATTTCGCAAGTTAGGTAGCTTTAAAATAAAAAAATGTTTTTTATCAAGTTTATTTGTATAATGTAAAAGAACTATAAAACCTTCTGTATTCATCACAATTCTTCTTTGTTTGAAAATCTACAGCAGACGCTACAGAAATTGCAAACAACCCTAGAAAACGAATCTGACATGTATTCATTTCGATGGTTATGAAAAATGCACAAAAAAATTTAGGTAAAAATAATACCTGTGATTATTGTGAATTGAATTCAAGGGATGCTTAAAAAAGGATGTTTGAAAAGGAAAAGAAAAAAATGCATGAAAAAGAAAATTTGTGCATCGTTTAAACTTTAAAGGTATCTACATAGATGAAATGAAGTCTTAGAATTACCTGTTCTAATTTATTTGAGTTTATTTTTTTGTATGTAAAAAATGATGTTTTCTGATGACTAAATGAAGATCAGAATTCTTTATAACAATTAATCTACGACTAATGTGATTTTGGGTCAGTTGAATGTCGAATGGTAGAAAACATAAATCAATGATAATGAAACGACAAAATTTCATTTCATTTTGAAGCAGAGTACTATAATTCTCATGGATTGAATGAATATATTAGAATCGTTTGACATTTTCTGATGAAACAAGACAATAAAAAAATTTGACTATAGTTGTAAAAGATTACATAACAAAAGTCAACTTTTACTTTCATTCGCATCCTTTTTGCATGCCTTAAGTGATGGCAAACCATATAGCAATTAAAGTTTACGACACTTTAAAATGATTTATGATGGCCAGAAGTCAGAAAAGAAAGAAGAGAATATGAGTAGACTAACCAATTCATGTCCTTGAGGAAAGACTTTCACTTCAAATCGAATCTGATTTATTCGTATTTGCTTAGCAAAGCAATTAATGAAACAAATGACTTTGAAAACACAATGCTAGGGAAATAAAGTGCCTACATCAAAATTCAAATAATTTGCCATTTATTTCTTATGCTCACATGTATGCTGCGCAGTTTAATTAATTCCTCCCTTTCTCGTTTCTTTCATATATTTATTTTTCGCTGTGTATTTATGCATGGGGGCAAATGTTATGATATTAAAATGATGAAAGCAGAGAAAGAAGAATAAAGACGAGAATAAAAATCAATAACTTCTTCGTTTGCAAGAATAAAATGCGAAGGCAAAGATGCATTTTTATTTATTTTTGTTTGCATTATGAAATCACCCCGACTTCGCATGAACGAGTCTACTTTATTCAAGATATTTTCCATTTGTTGTATACTTCAGATACAGGCATGAACAACATTGAATTGAATTGCATGCATGGAACAAATAAAATTAAATTAAAATTAATTGAGGTTGATGCTCAACGTTCATATTTGGGACTGTTAAGTATCAGTCACTATGAGATGTTCGTCTTCTCGTCTCTTTTTATTGTTATCGCGCTTCAAGCTTTTTCATCTAAAATTATGGCCTTTTAATTAATCTAAATAGCTTGAAATTTAATAGCAATGACATTATGCGTTGATCAAATAGATTTGAATTAATAAACAGCATTGTTTGTTTTATCTAATTTAAATTTGTAGGATTCGATTCTTTTAAACTCATGGCGTGGAAACATTTCAATAGTATAAGTTGCTCAACAGCAAAGCAGAACAATTATTTCGAATAATTAATTAAGAATTGTTATTTATGATTGTTTTTGTCGAAAGCAACATTTAATGTTTGTAACATTAGCAAACTTTCAACTATTCAATTCTCAAATTTCCAAAAACTTCTTTCTTCATAGTTAGTTCAAAATCTCGTAAATAAAGATTTGCAAAGGCTATGAAGAAGACAAAAAAAAAGCATTAAAAATGCATTCACCATTAGCACACAGATGTTAGTTTCCATGAACTAAAAGAAAGTGTTGGCGGTAATGGTGATTTTCTTTCAATAGAATAAAACGCTTGACCCCTGTCCATTCTTTGTCCATAGAGTTTTATTAATCATTGCCATGTGTCATTCTTGAATGTGTCGAATTACTCTATATACCAAATATTATACGAGTTTCATATAGAATAAGAGTAATTGTTATCATGAACGCATAGTAGCATAATGCAGACACAGCATGGGGTAAAAAGCTTTATTTCTGGTTTGCATGCAAAGACCTCCAATTACATTTCATCGCAGATACAAAACATTCCTTCGATTTTCTTTCAAAAAACTTTTCCTGTTAAATAATTTTACCGATGATTAAATATCAAATATTAAAGTGTTAAATGAGATTTTAAATGATTCAAAGCGATGAAAGAAAAGTTAACGCAACCCTTTGCGTGGAAGAAAAACATTGAAAATTTTTCCATGAATGACTTTTCTATATTCGACGTGAATCACATTACAGACTCGCCCCAAAATTGAAGTTTTCCACCAGCAAACTGCTTTTCTTTTTTCTTGAGATTTAGTGAAGGGTTAAATGTTATGTAGCATGAAAACATATGTGAGATGATAGATATATCCTTCGACTTTTTTATGATCTCAGGGAAGTAAATTTCAAGTGATTTTATTGGATTTAAATTGGTTTGCCTGTTGTTGATTTCTGTTTGGCTCCCACAAATAAAGAACCCGACTCGACGTCTTATCCAGCACAATTCAAATGTGTAAAAGGGGGCTAATCGGATGTTTAGTTATTCAATTTTTTCTCTTTTTTCTCTCGATAGTCGATATTTATTCAAACAAATGCTTACGGATTTGATTGTTGAAAATGTGAAAATGGAATTAGATCGTGAGGGTCACTTTTCTGTTAAACGAATGATTAATTGAAGTTGCTCCTTCACTTGATGGCTTGGGATTCACATTTACTGTCCATATCAAGTGGGATTAAAGTACTACACTTTAATAGTTTTGACAACGTTTGACTGAGAGTAATTTTAAAATAATTCAAATTTGTATACATCCAGCCATATTTAAAATCTTTTTTTATTTTAAATGTTCGTCCATTGAAATTTCCTTTTAAAAGTAATCGAGGGTTTTCCGCACATAAAGTCGCATTTTATCAGTTCGTAATCAAATCACATTAACTCGATTCATTTTACAGCTCAATTGATAAGGGTAAACATTTGTATAAAAATTTACACACAATCTGAACCCCTTTTCTTTTAAATTTCTATTTTTTTTTCTTTCTTTCCATTTTATTTCGACAACAATGCTCTGTTCTGTGTTATCAACGATTTTCTTCTCCCTTTATTTCGACCAACTATGAAAAAAGGAAGAAAGAAAATGGGACTTGAAGTAACTTCAAAAGAGAGTAAAATAGATTCGATTTTGATTCTCAAATGTTATTCAAATGCATAGGACATCTATCTAAGTAGAAAGAAATTCCTAAAATGTGAGTTAATCGTGATTTAAAAGGAGAAAATTCTTTGAAGTCTTCAATCTTTCTCGAGATAATTTGAGATGATGACTGATGGTGGAAAATTGTTGACTGCCATTAGGAGATGAAAAATTGTTCGCATACAAAATGAGTAAACCAGTTTGGACTTACCATTTTTGGCTTGTTGTTTTCGGTTTGCGAGCTCTTCTCGAACAGTTTTGGCAGAATTATGCTGATCAAAGTTTACACGACTTCCACGTTCTTTACAATGTGATCTTTCATTCATTCTACGAAGTCTATCGATGTACTGTTGATTTTGGGCTTTGTCTCGATGATTCATGAAAGCACGGAATGTTTTTTCATTAGCAGTCGTTGATCCAATCTGCGGTCTCATCCCAGAAAGCAAAGAAATTCCAGTTAATGATAATGGAAGCGCTGTTGACGTACATGTGTTGTTTTCAATGGGAGATAATTTTGGATGCTTAATATCTCTATCCAAATCATTCTCACTTAATCGACGCTTCTCAAAACGTTGCTGGTGCTTAAGCATCACATCTCGTAATGAAAATAGGCTGCTTCCATTATCGATTTGCGAGCTCATTTGAGGTGTTGAAGTTGATGTTCTCGGAATGGTTAATATCTGCTCATGTTGTTGAGTAGTTAAATGTAATTGTCGCCACGCCATCATTTCATTATCTGACAGTCCTTTTCCTGTTTACATAAACGACAAAGAAGCACAAAAAAAAGGCATGAAAACAATTAAGCACATAATAATTTTTAGTACGAATATCAGTTGACTAAATGACCGCATGTCGCAACCGGAGGGAATTTTTTTTCTTTCTTCCTTAAGGTAAATGCGTTCATTAAGACAAGTTGACTAAATCATCAAATACATGACAGACAACAATCTCAAGTGGAAGAAGAACTTTTACAACTTATTTTGAGCCATTGTTTTTTATTTCTTGGAGTTGGCATTGTTGGGGGCGTCGGGGGAGAAGCAAGAAGATGATAATAAAAGCTGACCCCCCTTTTGTGGAAACAACACCATAAATGCGATTCTCCTCTATGTACACATAAGCCAATATATTTATCAGAAATGAACAACAACAACAAGAGTACAAAACTATAGAAGGAAAAAAAAGTGAACCATATCACAACATCACGATGGTCAAGTGAATGAGCCGGTTAAAGAGAATGAAAAGGAAAAAGCAACTTTAATGAAAGAAATCTTTGTGGTGAGAAATAAAACGGAATGTTTTATGTGTCTGCTGCCGTCCTAAACAGATGATTTTGATTTTGTTGTTGTTGTTGTTGTGGTACGCTATGGACTATCGTGCACGCTCATGAGAATTGACTGTTTATATATTATTTGGATTTCCCTCAAATCTTGTCTTACGTCAAAATCAAAGTCTGAAGACAAATAGTGGCTCCCGTATTAGCTTCATTGTGTTATGTCGGAAAAAGTTAGTCTTCTTTTGAGCAAATAACTAGATATTTATTTGATTGAAATATGTTGAAATGGGATGAAGTTGTTTGAAAAAGTTTCCACTAATTGACATTAAAATTTACAAGAAATTTAATTCAATTAAAAGATTTGTTAATTGAATTTTTTCTTGACACTAACGAGAAAGCTTAAATAGAAGGTAAATATGATTTTGAGTCGCTTACAACAGTGAAACTTTGTATGCTTCTTCTATGCTTGCTTCTATATTTCTCTGAATTATGTTTCAATTTTTTTCCTAGCTTTCTTGTACCAAGAGATGACGAGGGTAAAGCTTAAGAATATGAAAAAAACGTGTGCGAGATTTTGTTATATTGATTTCATGTCTTTATATTTTTGTCTTCTAGAACATGAAAACATTCTATAAGTATAAGTACAGAAAGCACTATTCCAATCTTTCTTTTTCTACATTAACCTTTATATCATCAGCGAATATATTGTGTATTGCGAAATAAGACACATCTCACTGCATGTTATATTTTTTTCCTTCTTTTTGTTCTGTCTTTATGAGTTTTAACGAAACGAAAGTCTACCTTGTTGCCATACAGCATATTTCTATTGTTTCGTTTTTACATAAATACACACTCCTGAATGCCATGCGCAAATTGAAAATTTTATCGATCGCATAAAACACATAAAAACATAAAAGTATAAAAACCTCACGTATAGCACAAAAATTATTCTGAAACTTTCCTTAGAATAACTTGAAATGAGTTTTGAAACTAACCAGATAGTTCATTTTATAGCAATCATTTATCAGAATTGAGATTTGTAAAAGTTTATTAAATGCAAATTAAATTTGAAACCACCCCCTTCACACTTATCACTCCATTATAAAGTTCCCGGGCTGGTGTAAAGCTTATGTAAAGATTGAAAAATCTTTTTTATATGTTCACAGTTCACGCATCATATGAATGTGTGTAAATCAATGTTAGATACTCAGGCATGGAGAACTTTTTTCTGCCCTCATAATATATTCAAACTTGGTTGTTGGGGTTGGATTGGCTCAAAAGTTTAAACCAATAACGATTTTCACAAGGGACTTGATGTCGTGTTTTGTATATAAGCAGATTTTCCGGAAAGAAAAAAAAATTGTTGGAGAAAAGTTTTTCTATCGTTCTTGCTGTGTGATAACGGATGATGTTGCTTCATTCGTAATTTCATAACTCATATATGCACATATATGTATTTTTTATTACACTTTACATGCAAGAGATTTAACAATGAGAAATACTGAATCTTTCTCATATCGTTACCATTTAGAAACCATTCAACAAATATTAATTTGTTGCAAATAGTTTTGCTTTGTAAATCATTAAGAAACTAGATACGTATAAATTTTTGATGATAATTTTTTTACATCACTTAAAATATTTCCAAATTTAATAACGCTTAACGAATATTCAAGTGGTTAGAAAAAATAAGAAAAAAGTCTTTCGAAGCATATTTTGTGTTTTTTAAAAACAATATAAATTATTCATTTCAAATATTACGCTTAAAATTATGCTAATGTTGTTTCTCATTCAAAACGAGAGAGAAAGAAGAATGAAAAGTGTTTTCCCATCTTAATCAAAATATAAAATTCCTTTTATTCATATTTTATGATTTCAGATGAGTTGAGTGAAATTTTGAGATGACTAAAGCATAATGCTTTGAGTTATGGGATAATAGATACATATTTCCCTAATTATTATGGAAGTATGAAACAACAATTATAAAATAAATGTTGAAATTTTAAATAAATAAATATTCTGATCATAAATTTATCTACTATGTAGATGAAAATAACCTCCGCGCACATTAACTAAGTTACATAACAAAAAAATAAACATCTTCATTGGCAGCATAAATCATTGCTTAGTTCTTTTCAAACAGCATTTCATTAAATGTTGACTTCAAGTTTAATTAACGAAGGAAGTCATCATAATAAAAAGTATATTTTGATATGGTTATTCATTTTGCTTTGCTCATAAGTACATTTTGTGGCAAGGTTTTACGGACTGATAAGCATTTGAATTGGTAATTTTCTCTAAATAAATTGGTCATGTATGATTATAAACAACTTTGATCTCGGAAAGGTGATCTTCACACTATCCGATATCATTCGAAAGTCAAATAAAATTATTCATTTACGTTATGATTAATGTCATAACCAAAGACGTTCGTAATAAGATTTCTAACCGACTGAATATTCAGTGATAACAAGCGCGAAGGTAAAAAGCAATTTGAAATTGAAATCAAAGTTAATTCACAAGGCTTGCAGAGTTTTATGAGCCGTTTGGATTGGATTGGTACACTATGTAGATATGTATGTTCAATTAATAATTTCTTGGATGATAAAATTCTTCATTAAAAATTGAAAATGTATCAAAGAAGATTGCGCAAAAACAATATATGTAAAATATGGTTAATTTAATTGTTTAAACGTTACCAGCCCATCCAATCTGTGAAATATTTCACTCGCATGCATAACTGATTCAAGAAGATTTCACAAGGGAAAACTTAATAATGAGCAGTTGATTTTCTTAATTGATGCAGTAATGGAATCTTTTGAATATATTTTAATTAATAAAATGAAATGTAAATTTAAGCAGTTAAAAAGATTTTTATTCTGTTTGCATGTGCTGAAGTAATTGAAATAATTTGTTTACATTTACTGCCAGTATTCAAATTTATCTTCACGGTGTTCTCCAGAAATTTAATCTCTTTTATTTCATATTGACGTTACTGACAAAGGTAACCAGAAAAGTAAATGAATTTCATATAATCTTTTCCTTTCATCTCTCTTCAATATTGCTCAACTGCAGTCAATCGATCAGCTTGCACGTTTTTGACCATAATCGAAAGATAAATAAGAATAAAACTTAAAGAAAAAATTTTTTTTTGGTTGCCCTTGTAATGTGAATAATCGAGAAGGAAGGAAGAAAAATAATGTAATCATAAGAAGCCGAAGAACAAACGTGAGGAACATGCTTAGAGTTGAATGATTTCGCCAAGAATTATTGGTGTTTCTTTATGCAACTCTGCCTCTGTGGTGCATTAAAAATTATCATAATGTACATAATTTCAAATGGTTCCGTCCATACGGCAGACGAAAGTTGAAAGAAAAATAAAGCAAAGTAATTTTTTTCAATACACAATATGCAATGAAGGCAAGGAAGGCAAGGAAGGCATGTTAACAGTGAGAAACATGTAAGTATTCAAAATCAAAAGCAATATTAAATAAATAGAAGTAAGAGAAACTTGTACATGCAAAAAATGGAAATCAGAAATCCTGATAATGCACCTTAGCATCATCAGAATAAGAAAAGAAGGAAAAAAACTTGAAACATGTTTGAATCTCAAAAACAAATTAAAAATGAAACCTTCTTGAAATCGTTGCTGTTTTTTTTCTTTCACAGGCATCACATCACCATTTAATGTATGCAACATCAAAAAGAGCATCGATTTTATGTTTCTCAGAAAACGCAAAAAAGAGAAAAAATAAAACATCAAGCGCAAGACTGAGTGCGCCGAGGCAGCGCCATAAAACGAATAATAATAAATGATAATATGTAGGTATAAATAAATCGTGGAGATTTTGATCCATTCAATCTACAATTCTAGTAGCTCCTCCCTTAAGCGTATAATTTCCCATCCACACTGATACTTTATGCTTTATAAATCACCATCGGTAACTGATGAATTGCTTTTCTTATGCAAAATTCTGACAAACTTTTTTGCATTTTACCCCAAAAACGGAAAAAAATCATTCATTTAGCAACAAATTTGCTTAAACGTTGGCACGGTGATTGAGTAAATAATTGCTGACTAATCCCTAGTATTGTTACAATAAAGGAGCATATTGTAACAATACTAGGGATGCTGCGATGATTCTCATACAATTTAATATTCAAAAACTATAAAGGAAAGTCAGAACAGTGAAAGATAAATGATGAATCGTTATGTGCAAATGAAAAAATGAAATTATCTCATGACCTTGCTGCAGGGTAATTATCGCTCACTTTTGTATTGTACACATTATCATCGATGATATCTTTTAGCCTTGTTCTTCGAAGTAAATGGTTGTGTGCAGGAATTTTGTACGCAAAGAAAACTTATCGTGGTGCATATGAGTATTTATGTACGCATGTACATAAATATTTAAAACCAGAATAAGGTGCATTATCCATCTATGGCGGAACTTGTTTTGATAGATCAAAATCGTAATGAAATCATTTGATATGTTGAATGTAAATATCTAGTTCTTGTAAGCTAATTGTACAGCTATAAGAAAACTCGTTTTACTCTTTTCGATGTTGCACAAACGTCGAATAAATCTTTTTTCATGCAAAGCAAATGATGAACATGAACGAGCACAATGAATGATTAAGAAGAAGCAAAAAGTTCTCATCAAAATGCGCGCTTAAACTCATAAAGGTCTGATAAAGGGAGAGCAACAGCAAATGCAGCAACAAGCGAATATTCATAAAATTCTGACCTTTACGGGTTTGAATGGAAATCGAAGGCGTGATCAACTCTCCAAAATATATAGTTTTTGCATACGGGATGGGATATCTTTTAATTGGATTTTTGCAGGTGAACATGCAAGCACAATGTTTTTCTTTTAGAACGAACGTTTGCTTGCTGATCGTTGTTGATGCAAATTTTCTTATTTTTTTCCATATTCTCAAACGAATAGCCAAGAAGAGGCGGCTTTTCAGACCTTCGAAGAAGCGTGTGAATATCAAACAATTTCATATAACGAACATCAACACGAATCTATTAATAAAGAATATTAATTTTGAGATATTGTCTTAATGGGAGCTATTTAATAGATTTCAAGCCTTCACAGAAGCGATAAGAACAATGAATAAAATTTACAATTAAAACGTCATGCAAGGAACGTTTTGTTGGGTTAAGCAGTCACTCAGTATCACCTTCAAAGTGTTTTCAATAAATAGTTTCATGATATGCAAGCTTATTCTGAATTAAACATTTATCTTTGTTACCTTTCTCGTCTTTTTGGTCACGGTTCAGTGATGTGTCGTTATTTGTACTCCCGAAGAATTGATGATACAAAGGGTGCTTTGATGGTGCTGACGATTTAAATTTTGACATGGTAAAATCAAGTGGCTGTGGCTCTTCCGATAAATCACTGTCCGAAAAGTTTAAACTGTTAATTTGTTGTTGCGCAACCATCAGTATTGGCATAATTGGTTGTTCATTTAAAATTGTTTTTCAATATTAATTTCACAACACGCACTTTGCTGCAATTATTAAAACTCCAATGATCTTTTGTCCGTTTATGATGTCGTAATGTGATTCAAAACTCCAAATGTGTACTGTTGAAAGAAAGTTTAACTGTTACAAGAATCTTCGTTAACTAAGCATCGATTTAGGAAGGTGACATTCGAATCGAGACTCTACACTCATTTATGCTTATCTTTGTTTCGTTCCACTTTTCCGGTGAACACTTACAAAATGATATTTTGCAATTAATAAGAAAATAAAAAGAAAAAACTGAACTTCAATTAGTCTAACAGAATTTTAAAACGTTGTTGTATTGTTAACTTAATTTTTGGTTCACATGAAAAAAAAAACAGATTGTTGCCGTGTCGCGCACTTTATTTGATTGAACAAGAAAAAATTTTATTACCAAATTGAATTCTTTTATCAGTAATGTGGTGTGACTAGCTTTAAAATATTTTCAATGTAAATATTTGTCACTCAAAAAAATAAAAATTGATTTATCGCCAACTCTTGTCAATATGTACATATTTCTTTATCAATTTACATATTTCTTTTTATTATTTTGAACATTTGATCGGCGCAATGACTCTTCATTTCAATCAATTAATTTGGCTTGATAGTGGATCGAAGAAAGAATAATTTTTGCTACCTGGACATGGTCATTATTACAAATAATTTTATTCAACACGAATCACATGTCAAACAAGAAACCCAATGACTTGAACTTGATACACTCAATCTCAATCTCAACCAGATTCAACACGTGGAGTACAATATTAGCCTGTTAACCCAAAATAGAAATGTCTTCAATGAATTTTACTCTCATCAAAAAAAAAAGCAAGAAGGAAAAAGAAGCAAGAAAAACAAAAATTGTTTGCTCGTAAATCGTTCCTTTTACGCACAGACATAGTGTTTTTCTTTGCTATTTTCTTTGCTTATATGTCTGCTGTGCTGGCTCACAAAATTTTTCCATCCTAATAAAGCTTTTTCGTAATTAAAGTGGCGTATAAGATGGAAAGAAAGAAAGAAATTGGAAAGAAGATAGGACTACAAGTTGAGCATGAGCTTTAATATTATCGATTATTTTTCGGATGCTGTAGTCATTTTATTTTATCTAACAATCAGTCAATAAACTTGTTTCTCTCACTTTTTTTTTCTTAAACGGCTCATTAATTAATGAGATTGTAGACCGACTTTTATCGATTATTTAGAAATTGTCGAAAGAAAAATTCTTTGTTTTTACTTCTAGTAGACTGTTTCTAAGGAACTTCTCGCGACAAGTGAATTATTTTTAGTTTTGTGAACTCACTATACACTAATTATTATTTACGAGTTTCAATTAATTTTCGTTAATATCAGAGGCCCGATGCGTTTTCCACTGAACGTTGAAAGTAACTGAAAAAGTGCGACTTCATCCGTAAGTATTGAAAAGCGTCTAACAACTCCCGCTATGATTTTTTTTTGTTGTCTTGCTTAATACATATAGGTAGAGCCAGCGAAAAATGTAAAAAAAATGTATAGCAAGATAACATTTAAATAAAACTAACACAACTACGACTGGTTTTTGATATAAAATTTTGAGCTTATTTTCTTTTCGCCGATTTTATATATTTTTTGTGCGCGCTCGTCAAAATCGAGAATAAATTTACAATTTCATTATGAATTTACATTCTTTGTGTGTAGTACAATGTGGCGGCCGACAGAGAGAATTGAAAAGCGTTGTTCTTTGTGATGTTATTCTTCTTTCGCGAATACTAAACGACACAATGGACATGGAATACATTAGGTCTTGATAAATGATAAGACGACATTTACGACATTCATATGTGATTTCGTATTTATATTTTATTCTTACTCCGTTTCCATCATCAACTGAGAAGTGAGTGGGGATACAATAAAATACCCAATCAAATTTTGTATTTTTTATAATTTAATGCGCGATTTATGTGTGCGCACGTTTTTTTTTTCGGTACAAGAAAATATTATTCAAAGAAGAAAAAAACTGTTCACACACACACATGCATGGAATATATGAAACTCGGGAGCTTTGAGAGTTTTCCAAAGTTGAAAAAGAGAGTGAACGATGGATGTGAAAATAAAAATATCAAAAAAAGTTCAATTCAGAGCCATTTGTTGAAACGAGTTTTAAATGAAAAAAAATATTCATGTTAAATCATCGGAAAATGTTCGCATCGTCATGACTGATACCAATGGCTATGAACATTCTTGCAGGTTTAAGTGTAATCAAACGTTTAACATGACTAAGAAATTTCAATTTATATTCATATATTATTAAAAGAGAGATAAGATAAGTTTCGGGAATTTATTTTTCAATATTTCTTAATCTTGAATTCGAAATGATTCATGTCTCTGTGATCTTGAAGGAAATTTGATTATATTTTATCATTCAGGTGGGTTTCTATTATTTCCGAATTTAATGATAAGAAATGTGGAGTACTAAGCACGTAAACAATCAGGCGGATGTTTATAAAGTCCAAATGTAGTCTGCTGAGGTGCCAAATACCAGTCTCGGAAATGAACTTGAAATAAATGACAAAGTATCTGGTAAATACAGCATCATTTGCAGCAAAAATAAGAAAGAAAGCTTTTCACTGATTCTAGGTCAGAAGCGAATAATCGATTTTTATTAATACATAGACGTGTTCTCTTGATAAATATAAAAGAAGGAGTCAGTGAACTAAAGCTGAAAAATAAGAACACGAAATGATATTTAAGAGAACATTCGTTTTCACTCTATCAAACATTAGGAAAAACGAAAAGAATTCTGTTCAAAACATACAAAAAAAGGAGCTGATATTCTTTGTAACTATTTCCTATTCAATGAGATATTTTGGTTAATTACTTTTCTCCCTCGAAATCGAGAATGAATAAATATTATTCGTTGCTTCTTTTTCAACACGTTAATGAATAACGATTATAATAATAATAACTATTCAAGAATGATGTAGCTTTTCATCTTTCTGTTGAATGTCGGCCAAGAGTTGAGATCACATTTATGCTTATTAAATTTAAGTCGTTAATTTGCGACAATAAATCTCGAGCTTTATGATTTCATTTATTTTCTTCAATATCTTTATCAAAAATTATATTTCATTATTTTATATTTTTCTTCATTAGTAATTAATTGCACCTGTTGTATGTAAGAAATAAGCCTTAAATACATTACTCGATATCAAAAGGTACATGATAAGTTGAAAAGCATGTCGTCTATTTATTATCGCGAGAATATCATTAAGTGATTAGGAGCTGGAATTTTTTTAGAAAAACTCACTTTTTCCCAAAAGCAAAATAATTAATTGCTTCTCAAGTGTTTCTGGATATTTCTTTTATCAAAGAATGACAAGTTATTATTTCTCTCACGTAGAAACAAATTAAAAATTTGTGATTCACATTTTCTGAATAAAACTTCTTATCAAATTATGATATGAATGTGAAATAAAGTTAATTGACGCTGGCATTTGAATTCGATAACAAAATGTTTTGCGATATGAATCATTTTATGTTAGTAAAAGAAGACAAACAACTGATTCATCCGTGAGAATGCAAAATGATTCAAAATAACGTTAATTTTGGTTCCACGCCCGAATAGCCGAAAAAGAACTGAACTTAAAACAATGGTTATGAAAGTATAATCTTAATAATTTATGCAAACATGTTGTGCTTAAACTCACTCTAATTAAGCCAAAAAATAAAAAAGCGGCTTCATAATTAATTTGAATTGAATAATTGGGTGCTAAGAACCATAACATAGAAGAATAAATATTATGATTAACAGTCATATTTAAATTTCAGACCTTTCGCTTCGTTCATTTTTCCACAATTACCATAAAATTTTTATGCTTTGCTTGTTTTGCCAGCAAATAGAATTTTTTCTCGAGCGGGAAACTTTTGACATAGAATAATTGTAAATTCTAGATTATGAGTTGAGTGCTCATTAACGTGGTCAGATGACTGAGCATTCATATTTAAATCTTTTCAGAAAAGATGGAATGAAATAAAATTTTAATATGTGAATGAACGATTAATTGCAACTTTACGTTTGTACTATGTTGGACTTCTGCCGTGATGGATGATAAACAGTGAAATCATGATACGATTTAAGTAAAACAAAGTTGCGAAAATGGTTTTAATTTCTTACTATGTACATACTTCTGACACGACTAGTTATTTAATCTGAAGGTTTAATCTTACACGAAAATTCTGACTTTAATTGCAAAAACTTTGCATTTCATTTTCAACCTAGATACAAGTTATAAGTTCTTCAAGATTATATTGTAGGGTATTTCACTTCACATAAGTAGTATTAAGCAGATGGTGCGAAGGTGAATAAGGATTTAGAAATACATTTTAATCCATTGTTGAATACATTTCTTTAACAATTTAACTAGTCTAAGAAGGAATCAAACAATAAAGAACATTACACTGTATTGCAATGTATGCAACATAAGTAAGTGAATGTTGTATAAGTATTAATAAAAAAAAAAGGAATTGTCCCCTGAGGCTCACAATATCAAATATTAAACCCCTTCTTTCATCAGATATATTATATGTGTTGTGCTGATTTGTGGACAAAGTTTATCCAGGCCAATGGTTTAAAGGATTTTTCATTTTCAGAAAACGTCGTCTTGCGTAAAAATGCCAATACCAAGCACGTAAACAAATTGAATCATTACAACCAAATGAATTTGATTCATCCTCAGGCATTTAATTTCTTTTTCCTTGGATATCTTTTTAAAGAGAAATTTTTAAAAGAAAAAACTATTTTAACATGAGTATGCAGTTGATCTTTAATACCAATTTTACATGCCAGTAATCATCAATATTTTAATAATGTTTCATTTAAATTCAAGAACCACATTTTACCATAATAAACACACATCGATAAAACCCTGAAATGGAAATGTTCTTCATGAATTGATGGTCAATAGTGAGCAATAAGAAATATATTTAACCTAAAGGGGTTGCTTTATCTCTAACAGACAGAAATTTTCATATGTAAACAAACATTATCAAGACTTTGCAGCCTCTTGAGGAGAAAAGGATGAGAGTGGAATGAATTTGAAATTTCGATTACCTTACAATATCAAGTCTTTCGTTTTTGACCCGTGAATCAAGGGAGTGAAAACAAAGATGCTGTTAACATATATGGTCGATATTGTTTTCTTCTTCAAGCCAATATTGGCTCCATTCGCTTGAAAAAAAGGCAATTTTCAATTTATGTGAATTTAAATAAAAACTTTTATGAAAGGTCACTCAAGTGAAATAATAAGAAAGCATAAAATTTGAGGCCTGCAAGAGTCTTTCATCTTATCATCAACGAACGAAACATGTTGAAGAAACAATTTCTTCGTCGTTTTATTCATGACCGTAAAAAACGAAATTCATTCATGTTTATTGTTTTCTTTCAATTTCGGATTTTATTCAGTAGCAAACTTTTCAAAATGATTGTGCGACATTTAAATATCAAAAGATTCCGTTATATCGGCGAAAATTTCCATCAAAAAAGGTTGAAAAGAGATGTTCTGTCAGTGATGTAACATGCATTAGAAGAAAATTTTCAGTTCCAATGATTTTTGAATTTAAACAGAATTTACTAAATTTAGCATGTTCAAAATTAATTTGACATCATAAATGAACGATCCCCTCTTGCATAACGAATTCCTCATCAAATGGAAATGAAAATTGAAAGCAAATAAACGTGTTCGAGAAAGAGTTTAAATGGACTTGACAAATATTGCATTTAAACTTCCTTCGCCTTCAAATGAACGAAGGAAGAAATTTTATTTGCAAAACGACATTTGAGAATGAAGGATATCTAAACTGTGTGTTTCTTTGCTTTCTTAGATTTATATCTATCGATTTTATAATTGACTAACAAAGACAAATGTTTGCAAAAACTTTTCTTGTCTAGTTTTACATAAATTTTTATAAAGTTTTCGATTTCAGAATTCTAAAGACTGCAAGACAATAATCTAGTTGATGACAATGATTTTCGCATTGATATTCTAACACCTTGAAACCATAAATTACAGAATTATTTCTCTCTTAATTTACTTGCCATCTCCTGCTGATTCCTTTCTTCTCTCTCTGTGTTTTCGAATTAAAATGCAGTTTATTATCGATCGTCCAAATGGAATATGGCACACGACAAATAAATAAATTGAACGATATATGGACAGGGGTCAACAATGCACACTTTGTGTTCAAATCTTTTCCACCAACACCCTTCTACCTAACTCCTAATTCGGATAGAAACACATCTGCACCGAAGAAGAGAGAAAAAAAAGTTGATTTTGCGTTACGCATTTGGATTTTGGTCACGACGATTCGATTCCATTTACTCATTAAAGTGTGAACTCAATTGAAAAGTTTTCGTTTTGGAATCTTCTCGTCAAAAAAAGGTCTTGTTCTTTACGACAGATTAACATGCGAATTTGTCATAAATTATCGAAGTATTTCTCCTTATAAACTATTGATTTTTCCATCAAATTTATGATCGCTGAACCACATACTGTCCATTCGCATGCCACATTTAGAGAGGGAAATTTCTCTTTATAGAGAGGTATTTGTGTAATTTATGTTGATTTTCTCATATATGCGGGGGTGGAAAGAAGACTGAATATTTAAATCGTCGTAGAAACAGCACATGTCATCAGCATCAACGGAACAATATTTATGAATCTAACTTAATCCTAAAAGAAAACTTTTGTGACATCTCTGACATACAACGCCAACACGATCAAACTCAATATTTTATATAGTAGAAAGTTTCACATAAAAATGGACAATATCTTATGCAAATAATACCAATAATGTCTTTGGCAGTTTGTTTTTTTATATTCACTTTATCCCATCCATTGCCCAGTCAACCTGAAGACGAAGTCATCCATTCGTTAGTCTCAAGAGGCAAATAAATTCTCCAACATCCACAATTTTACGAGTTTGATAAATAAGTTTTTTTTTCACCAAAGTCTTCGTTTCATCTCTTTTAGGTTCAATCGGATAGCGCCCTCTTGAAATTCAATATTATTTATACTCAGTGAAATGTCCAGTGTTCTTACATTTATTCATTTTGCAGCATTAAGTGAACTCAATTTTCTAGCATACAAGAAATGTAAATCCATCGTCTCTGTTTGCAATAAAACGACCCTTGGTCACCCACACATTGACACATGTGAATGCACCCTTCTTTGTTCAAAAGAATGAGAGCAAATAGATGTTTCTTAGTATCGTAAATGGAAGGTAATCAACATGAATAAATATTCATTTTATTCCGAGAGAACATTTCTTATTTATAACATTTTCAGTGAGATCGTTTCGTAGCTAAGTAGGGGTCAAGACAATTCCATCTGCAATGAATGAAATCGACTTAACATTAAATTGGAAATTGAAACGACATTCCATAATCATTCCTTCTCTTGGTGGCTTCTTCTTAAGTTTTTTCAGCGTCTTTTGTTACTTCGCACGAGACAGACAAACTTGAAGCACACTTTCTTGACTTTTGTTTGCGGAAAAGGTATTTCCTTCTATCTTTACCCTTTTTCTCCTTCTTTTTTTATTTCATTTTTAAAAAAGGAAAGAAATTCCTCAACCCTTACATCATCGTCATAATCATCAATAAATAAACCTACTTTCGATTAAAGAGGCTTCTCATCATGCTTTGACACTTCAGTTAAATTTTTAAGCTGATTCAACAACTTTCATTCGACTTTAAACTCACGTCATACGTAACTGACTCTTGATATTTCACGGTTTGATGGTTCGGGAACGAATTTATGTTTAATTTAATTTTCACTTTCTTCCCCTTCGTATTTAAATATTGAAATGTTCATGATAACTACTGTGAAAATTACCTTTTTCTATTTGCTTACCTGTTGATGTTATAATTTGAATGCATATTATAATTTAATTCTTTTTTTATGTCACCGATATGAGAGGAACCTGTTGACTCTGAAAAAGTGTAAATTAACCCTAAAGCCAATTTCTCATGACAAAAGGAAGGAAGGAACTCAATCAAAAATGTTGTAAAAAGTAGTTAATGTTATGTAAATCAACCCCATAATTCAACAGTTCATTTTTTAACCGCATTCATCATCATAAAAAAAGGGTTGAGTGTTGTAGAATTACATAATTATGTTGAAATATCTACGCATGTTACATACAATGTTAGATGAATAAAAAACTATGAAAAGGGCTGTTGGTTGAGTCTTTCAATCTTCAAGGGGAGTTGATCAAGAAAATTTTATTTATTTTTATTAACTCGTTCAATCCCTTCTTGTCGTCACTTGTATTCAAATTGGTTATGTAAATGTTTATATTGTGTAGCTTCAAAATCAAAGGGTTTCAAAAATCATTTTTTATCCAATAGAAAAGGGCTGAGTTAATACTAGTGAATAGTATCATGATAAACAAGAGAAGACGGAGAATAAAGAGGCGATGCTGTAATTGAATGGAATTGACATCTCTGTCTTTGAGTCGTAAAATTTTATTTCCATATTAAAATGGCTGACCACACATGGGTAACTTAAATATTCATGATGATTTGCATGTTTGAAAGAGATCCATGAATAAGATATGATTACGAAATCGATTTTATTTTTCTTTTTATTACCATCTGAATATGGGAGAATTCATGCAAAACAGTTTGCTATATTCGAATGTAGATATCCTTCAAAACCAACTTGAAAAAGGATAAGAAAAAAAGAAAGAAAACGAATTTTATGGACTGTGATTTTCAGCATTGGTTTGCAATTTGAATAAAATATGATTTTAGAATTCGTAATCAGTATTGATCTGAAGAATTTAAAAGACTTCACTTTAAGTCCAAAAATCGAGAATATTTATGAAGTTCATAATTTAAAGATTCATTTTTTTTGGACAAAACACTTAGCACATTTTATTTCTATGTTTTCTTTTCTTTTTATCTCATTTTCACTACAATTTACTAGATGTATGTCTTATTTAGAAGAAATGCTTATCATCATCATGTAAAATAATTTCATTCTATAAAATGCTTCAATTAATCCATTTTTTTAGTTAGTATCTGTTTATAAATTACCACTGTTCGAATCTGTATCACAGTCATTGTAGTATGATGACATTGCGGCGGTTGTGCTTCTGTTATTTTATCTCAACTTTTTAATTTTATTTGAAACTTACTTAAAAAGTCTTTCGGCGAACAGGTCATTCATGTTTCATTGATGATGTGTATTGTGATGCTAGCTCGAACATACTCGATCCATTTCCCAACTCGTTATCGGGACTCTCAGGGTTGCCAGGATTAGTACGTTTCTCCTTTTGTCGTCGATTGCAAAACCAAACTCGAACAACTTCTTTCTCAATACACAAATTATCAGCTAGATTAGTTATTTCTTGGCTTGTAGGCTTGGAGTTGATGAAGAAAGCTTTTTCCAAAGCTACTCGTACTGATGTTTCAATAGAAGTCCGTTTTTTTCGTCGACGTCCGATTGCTTCGGGGGTAGTTAAAGGACTGCTTAAGGTGCTTGGCCCGAACATTCTGTGAGAAATGAAAGTAAAATCTTCATTTTTTTAAAATAAAAATGCTTTCATTCTTTGATCTTACCCTCCTGGATTATTCATACTTCGATCAGCATCTTCCAGCCATTTCTGTAGTAACGGCTTCAGTTTGCACATGTTCTTGAAGCTCAAATTTAATGCTTCAAATCGTGATATGGTTGTTTGTGAGAAATCATTTCCGTAGAGTTTTCCCATGGCTAATCCGACGTCACCCTGTGTAAATCCCAATTTGATTCGTCGTTGCTTGAATGTCTTAGCAAACTGTTCTAATTCTTCCAAGTCGGTGGTTTCTTCTGGTGAAGGTTCCATCGTTCTAGCAGCAGTTGTCATCGTTGAATGCTTCTGTTGTGGTGGATGAGGACCTGAATTGGGAGTCGATGGGGTTAGTATTCCACCAACAGAAATTTGTGTGGTGTTAGCATTTGGTGGTGTCGTTCGATTACTTCCCAATAGTGGACTTTGTGAAGGGCTATGAATAGGACTGTTGTTAATATTTGATGCTTCACTTTGAGAATAACTTCGCTTTAAATTATTCTTTTGCAAAGTTTGAAGTTGTTGAGCTGCTTGTGCCATTGCTTGCTGAACTTGACTTTGAATCAATAATTGTGCAGCTGCTTGCGCTTGTGTTGGATTCGCGCCCGTATTTGCACTTGCATGAAGCAGCATATAATTTTGTAGTTGTTGTTGGAATGACGCTTGTTGTGCTTGCAATGCTTGTTGCAATGAACCCATATCAGCTGATGGTAGTCCAGCAAGTGCATTCATTCCAAACTGATTTTGAAGGAAGAATGAACTTAATGGAATTTGACTTTGCAAGGCCGCTAATGCTGCCATGTTCATTGGATTGTTTGGAGTTTCTGGAACTGGTGGGGATGGAGTATGTCTTGATGAGTCTGTGATCTGTTGTAAGAGAAAAAGAAGGTGAAAAATATTTACAAATTAATATGACATTCTTTATGAATGAAATATTTTGGTGCCATCATAAAACTTACCAAATTGAGTGGTCGCATGTGCTCTTGTTTTGGCATTGACAGACTTGGATTGGAATTTTCTTCACGATAGCTTCCATCATCGGTGCTTTCTTCGTCTGTAACGAAACGAAAAATAACATAAATCTCATATGAGTTATCAAACATCGTTCGAAATGAGCCGTCTGCTCTTGACCTACGATACGTTAAAGCCCCGTACGAAAATTGATTAATTTTTATAAACTGTTACATTGCATCTGCTTATTTTTTTTTCTTTCTCCCTCTATCTCCTTTCTTTCTCCAATCATGTTTAATGCAAAGAGTCATTTCAACAATTTTTCACCCTTTAGCCAAATTTACTTTGGGTATTTGTTACTAAAAATTCCATTTTGGAAACAATGTTGCAAATCATAAATTTTCCAACTATTAAAATAATTTTTATAATGATTTCATAAATTGCATCTGATACATGTTCAATAGCACGACACACAATTTTTCATGATCGCTCATTGATCAAAAATAAAAAAAGAAAGAATAGAAAAAAAAACATCGCGTCATTTTAACTTTAGGGGTGGCTGATAGGATTGCGTTTTCTTTTTTAACCGGAGGGTTGCGTCAATCTGCATGCTGCCGGTATTGAAATTGTAACTTTAAAATGCATGAAGATATAATAAAGTTTCTAAAATGGTGGATATTTACATGAACACAAATGAAATCACGTCATGCTGTTGTGAATTAAGATTCGATGCTTCAACTTTCTAAAGAACTTATTTTTTAAAGAAAGTTTTTCTACAAGTCAATTAGTAATTTTGAATAACACTTGGCACGCTATGACGTATTTTAAGGTCGTCTTTATAATTTGCGAGGAAATTTCTCAAACTAATATCACTCATGATATAAACCTTGGTGCAGGGAAAACCTCCAATCCATCAATTTATAAAAATCATATTTGAAAAGGCGTGCGAAAATTATTTCACCCTTTTAATATCAAACAATCTTTTAATGAGATCAATCATTTGCTTTCTTTCATTTCCATCTTAAGTAAGTTACCAAATCGCTTTTTAATAGTTACAAACGATGATGTTTAATAGTTTTGTAAAGTTGGAATCGAGGATTTTACATTGATTAACCAACTGTTTCATTATTTCTAAAACTTGTTTATTAACCGTAATGTTTGCGAAGTGATTACAACGGAAATGGCTTGTATTTAAACATTTTATGGCTAAAAGTACCGCTTACGATTTTTTTAATTCTACAAAGGGACAATAAGATCATTTCCGTTTCCAAATTCTCCATTTTTTCTATATTTTTCGAATCATTCATAACTTTGTGAATGTTTTCGTAAGATGACAATAAATATTTTGCAGTTATTCTTTTAACAATATAAATTAAATATGTAGCATAAAATCAACCCACAAAAAATCTCTCAATTTACATTTCCATTTAAAAAAAAGTCACGTCGAAATTTAAATTTCCTTTTTTCTCGCACTGAACCCTCGAGCGTGTGTGTTTATTAAACCGTAGCTTTACATAGGTTTGAATTTTTCTGATAAACTTCTGGAAATCCTAGTTATGAAAACTTGTAAATTCCTTTTACCAGATATTCAAACTGGACAAGTCAAATCAGTTGAACATTATGCAAGACACGTTTCAAAGAATCATTTTCTGCATCAAATGGGTCTCATATGCTTCGATTTTTAAAATGAAACGAACAACTTTTGATGCATATTCATGAGGAAAAGCGAATAGAAATTTATTTTCTTATTTTTCTCCATCTGAACTTAATTTGTAGAGTTTCAAACTGAAATCCTATTATGGTAATGGCAGTGAAAGGTTGAGAACTTGTCTAGTGTTTAAATACGATGAGCTGATTATTATCCCTTTACCTACTTAAACGAATAAGGAAATTGGGTGTCTTGATAAATCGTCCTTGTCCCAAACACTAGAGACGATGAATTTTTAAAAGCGCCCTCAATGTTTGATTTTATTTCAATCTTGAAGAGATTTACTCGTTTAGGGGTTGTTGATAGGATTCTTCTTCATTTTTTATTTTATTTTTTTATTCTTCAACGAAGTATCACAAGCCAAAAGGGTTACACAACCGGCATAAAGGAAGCTATTTATAAGTTTTATTTCTTTTTAAACATATTTAACACAAGGAAGTGTGCTTGTCTCGTGTACCAGTCAGTCTTCGGGTGCTGCCAACTCAATAAACATTCGATTTATAATATTTGATTGTTATGTTAAAAGGGAATTAAAGTTTTTTCTTATTTTTTTCGCTTTCATTCAGAGGTGTTTCAATTTCTTTTTTCAACATTATCTTTCCATCTTATAAAGTTCCACGAGCTATTAAGTATGTTTGAAGATTTATGGGACAGCAGTCGTGCGATGTTGAATGGGGGAATTGATTTTAATCGATCTGATCTCTTTTTAATGACTTACCGTTTGATCGTACGGGCGATGGAGACTTTGATGATCGTTTTAGTGGAATGTCTGTAACGAAATTTTAAGAAAAAAAAAGAAATGAGAATTGTAGATCGCTTGGGGAAACTTAAATTCAAGTTTTTATTACAATATTTATACGTTTTACGTTGGGTTGAATTAAATCGCATAAATTTGTTTATTCAAATAATTTTAATGCTTTCACGTTCAGAGCAAACATTTGACCATCTGATGTCCTTTTAATATTTAATGTAAGGGTCGACTAAAGACATTTTCCTTACATATTTATGATATTAAGCGTCACATTTTGTCACAGTTGTTAATATAATCGAAAAGATATTTTTATATCGTTCTCATTATAGTGATTAGGAAGCCAGAAAGGTGCTTTGACGTGTAAGAACAAGAAAAGGAAATAATTAAGGAAAATGTGTCTTTTGTCATTCAAATGCGTATAATTTTAAAATTTTTCGGTTTTAAATGTTTCATTTTATCCTCGAGAAAGAGAAACCTGGAAAATATCCATAAATTATGCATCACTAATGATTTGGCATTTTTTCTCTCTTTTGCCTTCTTGTGTGTGCATTTTTTTCAGGTTTCACAATGCACATCCTACACACGTCGTCAAAATCTAACAAAGGTAGATTCTTCTTCTTATTTTATTTCTTTTTTTGTGAAATAATTTTTTTTTTGGTAAAATAAGGGATGAAATGATATTTCTTTCGTTACCTAAAAAAGACGAATAGATCGAAAGACCATTTGTTTAAAATGGATATAAAAGGTGGATGGGAAATATTTTACACAAGAAAATAAAAGAAGACGAGAAGAATTTCATGGAAATCAGATGGTGAGATGCATATTTGCAGATTGCTGACGCCAACAAAGGTTGCACTCTCGAGACAAAGGACTAATAAACACGACAAAGTTATCAACACATTAAAGTTTACACATACATCTTGATGGCGTCCGAAGAATCTCATTCTTGATCGGATTGTTATTATTTTTTTCGCGTTCGTTTACTTCATTCCACGATCGAACTTTTGAAAAAACCATGTTTGAATTGGTCGAATCATTTGCTGACAACAATAACATTACACTAATTCACTTGCACTTAATTCTTATTATGTTGTGATTTTTTTTGTATGATATTCTGAATTGAATTTAAAACAAAAATAAGTTTTTTGCATTTATCCAATTAATAGTAAAATTTATTCAAAATTAATTCTCAAGTCGTTTCATTGAATGATAAGTTGCGACTATTACGCTTCAAATATTCACAATGACTAACGTTCTGAAAACGGAAAAAATATGAAAATATCTAAGCAGTAGTGAGCCTAGACATGATGAAAAGAGAGCGCATTTTTTGTATTCGAAAGCTCTTCTCAAATGTTGAATTGAAAGAAGAAAAAGAAACATGAAAAAATTTCCCCTTCATGTGTGCGTCGTATGGAGAGAGAAGCGAGAAAGAAGGGAAGGGATTTTGGTATCACTGTTGATATTTCTTTTCGTTTTTATAAGTATTCCGAGTGGAAAGCTAAAAAATCTGAAGCAGCGGAATATGAAAAAATAAAAAATAAAAATTTAATACATAAAGTTGTATGTAAAAACGAAGGCGTGGTTTTACACTATGCAAGTCAAAAAGCTTTTTTATTCTTTTTTATGTTTTTTTCTTCTTCTCAAGACTCAAGTATTGTTTCGAACAACATAAGAATAGAAAAAGAAGAAAAAAAATTCATATCATAAAATTTTCATATAAAAATATTGTTTTCAGCAATTTTTTGTTGTTGCTTGCTAGCTTTTGCTCGATAAATACTTATGTGGATGGAAGCAACTATGAAAATGTTTTCTTCTTTAATGTTATTATTATGCTTCAAACGTATTTAATCAAAATAATTTTCCTCTTTCATTATTTCTTTGTCTCATCTTTGCTTTTTTTTTCGTGTGATATGATATGCCGAGATGATTGAGAAAAAACAGCGTCTCAACTTTAGTTTTAGAGATTGCACAAATGATTACTACCAACAACAACTACAGAGATGTAACGAAGTAAAACGAGAGAAGCGGGAAAAATATTTCGATGAGAATTTAAGTGTGAGAGGAGGCGATGATAAGTGTCTGCTAAATATAATGCTGCTGTCATGACAACGATGCTGTCAATGGTTAATGAATTGATTTTTATGTTAATTTTTATTGAATAGAAATTTTCTGCCTTATGTTATACTTATTAGCTAAGAGTTGCACTCTAATCAGATAGAATTTAATTACAATTATTAAGTCTTTCATCAGAACGAAGATATCGATTATTATTTTCATCCTAAACTTTCTATTAATTCTTTCTTCCATGCATTTAGATACCGACCCAGATTAGTCGATCATAAGTAAAACATTCACCTCTTTGCAAACTAAACATAATCTTTTATCCTTAGAAATCCTTTTACAAATCAATCATCCGTAACAAAAATCGATTTTTTCTCGTTTGGGTTACTTGTATCACGAATGCAATTTTTCCTTAAAAAAACTTCGTGAGAAAATTCTGTAAGATCCGTTGAGATTTCAATAAATGCATAAAAGACAAAAAATTTCCCTTGCATTTGCGCAAACACTACCCTCATCCCCTAAAAATTCTTTTACTTAATTTATTGAATTTTTTTTACATAAAAAATAGGTAAACATAAAATCTGTACAAAAAAATAATCTTTGTAATCGTTTGCACTGATGAACAGAAAATTTTTCATTCGTTGCACCATCACAGCTTTGCCGTGAATTGTATATTTTTTCAGAGTGTCGTAAATATTGCAAACCTTACTCAATTTTTCTCCGCTTTTATATTATTTTACCGAAAAAATAAATTTCTTTGTAAAATAATCATAAATAACAGAAACCTGCATTTCAGTCTTTTTTTATAAAAAATTACTTTTTATGTTTCCAGAATCTTAGGGATGGTTATTAAGGACGATGGTTCTTCGGGATCTATCAAACACGCAATTTATTTTCGCTTTTTTCTTACATTTAATTTCTCAGGTATATAAATTGACAAGAAGAGAATTTACCCAAAAAAAAACTGCACAAAAATATTTCAATGTGTAACAACACTACCTGATGTTCTGTCAATTCTCAACGAGCATTTTAATGACAGCTAGAAGTTGAATATAAACGAAATTACGATTTGATCTGAACGATTTTTTTCCTCCTTCTCTTCTTCTTCTTTCAATTCTTCTACGGCTTGAGCAATTATGAATTTCTTGTGAACATTAAAGGAATCTTTTTCATGGAAGTAATCTTGAAGTAATCAAAATTTACATGATTTTGCAGTAGCTACTAGATGGGTTGTATATTGGGGTAATAAAAACTCGTCCGTTTTGCTGCGTTGTAAAAATTAATAACCCCTTAAAAAAGTAAACGCAATCTTCCGAGAAAATGTTTAAAAAATATTCTATTTATGTTACTTATGCTTTTAACTGAAATTTGCACATATGAAAATCTTACAAAAGCAAGCATTTTTTAACAACAACTTTTCCTTTCACTTATCTACCCTTAAAAATATATTTTTATGACCATGTCAAAATGAGTTGACTTTGGGATAACGTTTTTTACCTAGGAATCGGTCGGTAAAAAACCCTCTTTAAAAAAAATTAAATTACTCGGACATTTGCGAAAATTACCTTTTCTAATTTGTGGTTTGAAATTCACCTTATTTTATATCGACCGTCATCATAATTGAAGGGAACCTTGCATTTGAGAAATTACCGAAAATTCACTCATCGAGAGGTCAATTGATTTGAATAAACTTAGGGGTCAGAAAGATATGGGAAAGCATAATTCACAAATAAAATTTATTTTCAAAATGAATTTATAACTAGGGGAGATTTATTTTTTTGTAAGTGCAGGTCTTGCTGATTTGCAGGTCTTTTATCATCTTTCTCTCTCTTTTTCACATTCTTTTTGGCTTTCAATGTCCATCAGACAAAAAATATTTACGAATATCATGTGGATTGTTATTGATTGCAATAGGGGTTGTAAGTTCAATTTGAATGTTAAAATACTTTTTTGTTTGTTGTCAATAAAATAAATATATTTAATTAAATGAATAATGAGAAGTTGTGACTCATGTCGTTCCTTACCTGGCTTTGGAATTTTGCTACGACTCGCTTCAAGCTCTTCCCTAACTGTTCTTCCAGTAGTCTGACTTTCAGATTTGACATTTCTGAAGCAATTAGCGGCAGTTTCATTTCTATTCTCTCGACGCAATGTTTCAGACTTCTCAATCAAATATGGAGATTCCATTTCATGTTTCTCCATATGATACTTTGGCGACAGCTTTATCGATGAATTCGGCGATAATGAAGTTGATATGATTTGAGACTTCGACCTATCATTCTCTTCGACATGTTCTTGTTTGCTTTCATTGTGTTGTTGCTGCTGTTGCTGTAGTTGATGATATTGATGCAACTGATATTGTTGTTGTTGATGTTGCATCATTTCTCTTAATGTCAACAGGCAATTATTATTAATTAGCGACGATGTCAAAGATGGACTTGCGACTGATGATGATACATTCTTTGGATTATTGAGTGATTGTGCACCTTCGGGTAATTGCATCGCCGGAAATTGATGGTGACGAGTCATTTCATTGTAATGTCGTTCTGGAAAATAAAAGAATAAAAAGAAAATGTAAAGAAAATGTCATTTTCATTCTTACAGACATAACATTTGTTTGGTAAGATAGACATTGATGATGAGAAGAGAAGAAGAAAGATAGAAATGGAGAGAGATAGAGAGAGAGAAGGAGAAATAAGTATGAAGAAAGAAAGAATCTGTGTTCATTGTAATTAGGGGTAAGTTTTCTTCATCATTCTCTTTCTCTCTCTCCATCACAACTCTCCTTACATTGTCCATGTCTATTTTTCCCTTCTTTGTACATCTTCATTTTCACACATTTCTTCTAAAAGAGAAGCCAAAAATAAACCTTCGAAAATACATCTCGATCCATAGAGACATATTAAGCAAGAGAAACAATGGTCAATGACACTTCGCAAAATTTTCTGCACTTTCATATGTGTTCAGTTTTCATGCTCCGGGAGCAAAAGAAAAGCTATGAAGAAAAGGAATAAGAAGGAAAACAGCAATGTTATAGCCGTCTGATGAACGTTATGCTTACGATATGTACACATATGTAGAACGATTTTTATTGCATCGATTGCCTTGCTGTTGTTGTGCTTAGCTGCTGATTCTGACTCCTCCAGAATAATTCTTCGTATTTGAATTTCTCTTCGAGCATATTATTCATGTTTTATGAGCTTATCGACCATTATTATGGCATCTTCGATTACTCTTGCTTCTGCTTCTTTTGTTTGCTTTCATGCCTTGTTCTTCGTACGTTTTTAATGACTATCTGAGCGATATTTTCTCTTATAGATTTCATAAATCGTGTCTTGTGTAGCGAGCCGCAAATAAATAATAATCGTAATCGTATTTTCGGTAGGGCTTTGCTTATGTGCAGAGCATCGTAACAGTAAAATTTTCGCCAACGATAAAAGGTAAAAGTTGCCAATTCAAATGTCGTCATTAGTCATAGAATGTGCGCTATTATGCACAACATGTACGGGATTTTCTGTTTGTGGAAGGCATGCGCATAAATAAAGAAATTTAATGCTTTTGTTATTTAAATCAATAGAAGTATAGCACGTAAAATCTCTCACTCTCTCCCACACATTGTCCTTTCATTTTCATACAAAAGAAAAACGAGTTTTAATGATTGAATATATTAGAAGAATAAATAAAATAAACTCCATTCTTTTCTCAATTCAACGATACGTTTCAACGTGTGACACCAATCAAAATTAAATTTAAATTTCTCCTTCATTATGTAAATCGTAAATTGAAAACGGAAAAGGGCTGTGATTCGTAAAATGGTGTTTATATAAACCCTTTTTTCTTCAACGAAGGGGTTGGTTTTACGTGCTGTTAGGCCAATACAATGTCTCGGAATGCGAATCGAAATAAAAAAGTTTTAAAATGAAGATGAGCAGGATTTTCTCACCCACAATGTGGTGTGATAGCACAGCAAGAAACTTGAAAATTTGAAAAACATTTGGAAACATTTTCAAACGCGCCAATCATTTGTTGAAACATTGTCTCGCGCTAAAATTTGATGCGTTTACTGGATTTATGCTGAAGAACCCTCAAAGCAAACACAATCATTCCAGACTCCTTTAAAAATGTTTGTCTCGTGAACAAGAAAGAGAGATTTTTTAAAACTGCGTGTTCCTAATGTCAATGAATGCAGCAAGCCTATTGTTTGGCAAATGTGTTTGAAAATATGTTTCGATGACGGTAAGGGTTGGTTAATTTATTTTCATACCTTCGTCGTTTCTATTTTGTAACCCCAGTCATTTCAAAATGCAACTGAAAATTCATCTTTGCGATTGATATTCTTAGTTACCTTTTTTTTATCAATTTTTAATGTTTAACTGAAATCTAATGGAATTTTAAATCATATCGCTAATCACGGATTATCGTTTCGATGTTAAACTTTAATCAGATATGTGGAATGATATGAAACTTCTTTTAGTTTAAAACAGATCATCAGAACTTAAAACATGTGCAAAACCAGGACACTAAACAGCATAAATGCAACATAAAACTATCAATAAATTTTCAAATCTCATTTTTCGTAATTTCGAATTGAAAGCGTCAGAAAAAACATCTGCATCTAGAAATTGTTTAGTTTTAAGTCGTCCAAAAATGAGATAGATATAAAGTTTATGGAAAAATTGGCTTTTGTGTGCTCGGTTGACTGCATTACGATACTTATTGGTTTTATTGTCTCATTTTTGCCACCTACAATAACAATTTTTATATAATAAAAGTTTCAACAAAAAGATGTCATAGAGCGAGGTCGACAATTGATTCATTTTCAAAAGCCATTTGAGAATTTTGAACTCTCGATTCTTTAGCTCTTAAATAAGGCATCATCACTATGGTTTGAATAGATGCATGCATGAAACAATTTGATTAAATCAAAGCTTTTGTGCAAAAATTAATGGACTGTTTAATGGTGATTTCTATCCAGCAATCTTCAAATAAATATTCGACAGAAATCTAAATTTATCAATTCTTAGATCAATCAATGAATCTTTTGAGTTCTATCCAATTCTTATTTTTTTACCTACAAACTGACGCACTTCCTTTACCTCAAGAAAAATAATATAAAAGCAGTAAAAGAAGAAGAATGAAGCCTTTAAAAGAGATTCGATTTCATTTATAATTTGCTCAAAGAACACGTCGACCAAAAATATAAAAGCAACGTCTTTAGAATATCCTTTTTTTATTCCTTACACCTTTGAGATATATTTTTTATTTAAGCTGAAAGTAAAACTTTTCGTTTTCATTTTAGGACTAAGAATGCAAAGGAAGCACACTTTCGGTTATAACATATAATCTTTTTACTCATAGTTTAACCCTTTACGCATGTTTCTGTTTATAAAATGCTCATTGTGAAGACATTTGAAAAGCAAATGTAATAAGGAGGAATCGTTTGTCAAGGCAATATTTCATTCTTAAAATGATCGCGTGTCTTATTGAAAATTGTAGTTTCCACGCGTTTATTTAATTAGAGTGACAAAAAAAAGTAGCAGCAGATGACAACCATTATGGCTTTAACTAGTTTATGGATCAAGATTCATGTTTTATTTTTCTTGACTTTTTTTAATTTGTTTTATAAAAAAATATGCTGGTCGTTCGTTTTTTAACCTAATGGAAGCACTTTATTATAAACTGATGACGCGGTCACAACAATGTCGAGTTAATTTTGAATTTAGGAGTTTAAAATTTTTTTATATCGCGTTATTGCTCTCTGGATTTATGGTAGAATGTAGATAAAAAATTATTGTGTCAGGGAATTCGATGAGGTGATTGTTCGATATTATTCGCACCCTAGTTGAAGATTTTAACGAATTTCAATTCACATTTAAATGAGCATATTTTTTAAGGTAAAAAGATTTCCCTAGTTTTTATGGAACAACCCTAAAGTAATCTCTAAAAAATATTGTTTCTCATCAGTAATCTTTAATTTTTTTATTGAAGTTTTTTTCTGTAATAAAATGCGACAGTTAACGATTTTTTGTGGAAAATTTTCTCAAGATATTTCTTGAAGGGATGCTAAGATTAACGGAATTTAAGACATAAAATTCTCGAAAACTTTTATCGACGCTCCTTTTTTCTTTAAAACTTTTAAAAACGAACTTCGAGCCATAACTTAGTATCAAATAACTTTAAATAAAGTAAAGAAACATGAATATTCAAATTTCACTTTAAATTTAACGTAAATAATTAGCACACGCAATGCACTATTGCTGTAAGTTGCAACAGTTTGCTAGTGAGTTGATGCAAATTCTTGTATTCTGTTTGACTGTAATAAAAAATGATATGCACTAATTACTTGCTTTTTTTTCACTTAACCAACAGTAAAAATTAACAATATTTACATAAAATCACACATTGAAAGGTATTTGCATGATGCAAATAATTTTCATCGCATCATAATCAAATTTAATTACTCTTTTTTATTGCAGTCACATGGTATATTAATTGCTTGACATGATGCATTAATTTAGAAAATGTGGCACCTTCAAAAAATAAATTTCAAAACATAAAAACGAAACATAAAATAAAAACAAAACTTCCAATGTTAATTTATGATCCCGAACGATTCGCAATGAAACAATGAAGACCTGTTGCTTTTTCACTTCACCTCACCAAAAAGTAAAAAAAAAACTTTGATTGGTATCAGAATAATTATTCAAATTTACTTAAAATGCTCATGCGTTCCTATTTAATACCTCGAAAAAATTATTAACATACTTTTCGTTTACGGCAATCTATCAAAATCTAATAAAATTTTAGTTTTTGATTATTTCCTGTTTTTGTATTTAGAAAGAAAAAATGTGTATAAATGTTAAAAAACAGTGAGGGAAAAATATTCAAATCATAATTGTATGAACACTTGCTTAACAAGATAATGAGCTTTAATGTGCTCTTTGCACAACAGTTACTGACTGGATATTTAATTAACAACTTACGAGGTTAGAGAATCAAGTTTAGACATTTCATATCTTCTTCTATTTAATCTTTAAACAAAATTATGAAAAGTAGTTTGTTAGGAGAAAATGTTGAGCATAAAAAGCGATTTGAATAATGATGTTGAATTTAAAGTATCTAGAATTTAAACTCACAAGAACTACATTAACTAAGGAACTGGGAAATGAAGAAAAACAAAAGAATTAAATATGAAATTCATAAAAATTCAAATGTTTATCATTTTTCTTTAAGCATTTCGCTTTTTGATGAATTGGCGTTCATGCTTTTTGATTTTTAATGGGCATCTCTTGAGATTCGCCAAAAATTAATCTTCAAATATTTACATGCAAATATGACTTTTAACGAGTTTAATTAATTCTTGAGGTGGTTTTCTTTTTTCGCAAGCGGAAAGTTTTATTTAGAACATAAAAAGGTAAATAGTCTAATTAAGCAGCATAGTTTATGTCACTGAACTCAGATTTGAAGCACTTAAGATATTTACGCTTTAAAGTTTAAACTCCAACCTATAGTTTTTAAGAAATCAACATGAAAGAGCAAAAAATTTTGACCGCTGTTGAGTGTACATACAACCAAATGTGAAGCAAATTATAAATGCGGCTTGAGGCGAGTTTTAAAATCGAGCAAATTTGATCAAGTCTTCATTAGGTTTTAATGAGCGACAATTTTTTTTTATTTCTTAAATTTATATACACAAAGAGAAATTCAGAAGGGAAAGATTACAAGAAAAAATCTTTACAGAATAATTTCTTATTTTACGATGTAATGAAGCATGAACTTGATTTTGAATATTATGCTACAACTAAGAATTAAAATTTGATTAAGACATTAGAGAAAGACTTGAAGCAAGTAAATCCATCAAATAATCAACAACGTATCTACCATTAAAATCGAATTAGACTATGAATCTCACAGAGATGAAGAGTTATAAATTTGTTCTAAAAAATCTTATAAGACGAACATTCGGGAGACTCCGATTTGTATGTTAACTACATTAGAATCTAATAAGATTTTAATTTAACAAGATTCTATGTTAAAGCTTATACTCATAAGTATTTGTTTATGTTGGAATTACAAAGATGATGATGACCTTATACATGAAACTGCTATATTTGTCAAAATATTTGAATAATCTGTCACATCAAAGTAACAGCTTACAGCAACACATTGTGTAATCAAATAAAACAATCAGGTAGACATAAAGAAAGCAAAAACAAAAACTAATGAGCAATTTAACTTCCGTTGGAAAAAAAGTTTATAAATTATGAATATTATAATTGACGTGCGAGTAACGTAATTAAAATGCAAAATAATGATGAAGCATGTTCGTGAATTTTCGGTGCATAAGCAGAGAATGCGATAATCAATTATAGTTTGCATCTTCACATTGCCGTATAAATATGAGTGTTGTGTGTGATTTTATATGCAATAGAAATGACATTTTATCGTGCAAATGTTAATTGTGCATTGAGCATGCAAATTACGTTTTAAAAGAAACGAAAGAACTCAATGCAATGTTATGCAATGAATAATCTTTTCAAATATGTACAACAAATGAAAATTACATAACGGGCGAAGTAAGCAAGACTACATACAACATCATTGCCATGAAGTAAAGAAATGACAGCTCATTTAAATACAATTATAATTAGGTAGCTTCATGACAATTACGGCATCACTTTTTGAGGTAATTAATTCGGAAAACTGAAGTATAATGCATTCGAAGTTTAAAATATAGATATGGTCATTCAAATATCCACAATAAATTTGAATATTTCATGTTGAATGAAAAGTTAAAAAGGAGAACGAAAACGTGAGATAAAGTGTAAAGTTTAGCCGACAACATTTTTACTACCTTTCTTTGCCGGTAACTCTAACGGATCATATTTGACCGCCAAGATCAAAATGAAATAAGGAAACGAATAGTGAGGGTTTAACCGATGTTGCATCGGTGGGAAAAATTGATAAATTTTGGGTATGAATAAAGTCAACAAATTGAAAGTTATCGTCTCCGTTGTAGCATCGGTCTAATGTTGTGACAATCTACGTTTGTCGCATGTTTCTCATAGTTTATTTCACAACATGAACATGTCACCAATTCACGATTGACAAGTCTCGCTATGTTTGTGCAAAGGTTGAAGATGAATTGCCACGAAATTTAAAAAAGTGAACGACGGCGAGTCTTGAATTCGAAGAAACATGCTAAAATGATACTTAGTAGTTATGTCTTGGAGAAAATTCTTTCTTTTTACGTAACATTAAAAGCATTCACTTTTCTTTAGCAAACATTTCAGCGCAACTTCTTTTGTACCGAAAATTGTTGGTCGTCTTCAAAAACTTTTTTTCCTTAAACCTTGCCTTGCGTTTTTTTGTTTTCAGCACTCTGCAAGCTCTTTTGCTTTGATTTGCTTGTGAGGAATGATTTTATACATAAAAATATTTTTCAGCGGTCTCACATCAAAAGCATATAAAATAAACATTTTTCATTGCATATATTGATTGAATGTCAAAGCTTTTGGAATTCATCTTTTTTTGTCGCTACTGATCGCTCTCGAGACTTCAACATTTTTTCTGTCTTTCTCATCTTGCGATCATTCTTTTGTTCATATTATTCAGTTTCTTCATTTTAAAATTCACCTTTTTACATAAAGTTAATCATTGAGTTGAAGAAAAATATTCGCCATCCTCAGTAGATTACCTCGAATCATTCAAAAGATTTCAATTTAAGAGTTCTCAGTAGAAATTAGTATGAAAGAAACAAAATTGACGTAGCATGTAATTTGAATATGAGTCTTCACGAAAACCCTCTAATTAAACATCAATTTAAAGCGTTCTTAACGGGGTTCAAGCGTGATGGGAAGGAGAATAAATTCAATGTGACTTTAACAAAAAATTGACTTAATTGAGTGACTCTTCATTTGTCGATATTGTATGCTAGTTCTCGTTTTTTTTCTTCCTCTCTTACTTATTCAAATTAACTTCATCCAAGAGAACGGATGATGTTTCATACGATGAGGTATATTCAGACAATTTTCGGTTCCATAAGCCCAATCAATGACTTAAAGTAGCAATTATAAATACATTAGGAACACTTTTAAAACTCTCTTTCATTTCATGATCCAACAACCAACTCACACAATTCTTATGTTAAAAGGGAACTGCTTTCGGTGCGAGTTAACTTCATAAGTTTAAATTTGATTATTCTGTAAAGAAAGCAATTTTATCTCTCCTTTTGGGTCGTCTCTCGTAAAATGCTTCACTGTTGTAGAAGATGATCGAACGAAAAATCAAAGAAAGGCAAATACACTTATAAAAGAGAGACGCAACATGAAATAATATAAAAAAAATTAAATTATCTGAATCTCGAAATTGTATCTCAATGTATAAAATAAAATAAAAATGAATGATAATTGGTTGACTTTGTATCGTTATACCGTGACTGTAAAAGTCTTATTTATTCTTTTTCGAGATTTGATTTGATCAAAGCGTTACAGTTTTATTGCTGTCTCTGATAATTAATGTTTGCAAAGATAAATTTATGATTGTTTTTCATCTTTTCATCGGTGAAACTCTTATTTTTGGGTGGAGGCATGAAGACATGAGTGAAAGATTAAGATATTAAAATGTTCCCCAAAGCATGATGCTTCCGAAACACAATTGTAAACTCAATAATGAATGAGAATTTGATACGGCTGTTAGGTAAATAAAATCGAGAACGATATTCATACCTGATTATTATAAATGGCACTCATAAGAACAAACAATTGTTACGCAAGCTTCTTGCCTTGATTGCATGCCCAATTAACTATGATTTTGTCATGTTTACACACAAAAGACACTAAAGAGAGTTTGAGTTTTCCACTCGAGAGATATCATAAAAAATATTACAAAGTACATCATCAGTGATGATAATTTGATTATGAACATAGAAACAAATTAAAACTACAAAATTATTTCAATCAAAAACTTTCATCATTCACGATACATGTCTTTATAAAATTTTCAATTGTCAAATGTAAAATTTATTTGATGTTTTCATCAGAAAATACTAAAAGGAACAAACATTTTCACACTCTTTTGATAAATTCCATCACTAACGAAAAATTGTTGAATTCGATTATGAACAACAACATAAATGTCTACGTAGAAATAATTATAATTTTTAATTTGAATAAAACACTTGTGAAGTAATAATATCATGTTGTGCTGCGTGTGTTGATATTCAAGAGCAATGTAATAACTGGCGGAAGTCAAAATTCATTTCAATATTCGTGTAGATATATTTACAAAATAAATTCTTCTTTTATAATAGCTCAATTCTGTACGCCATGAGCAGACGCGAGAATTCATCAACACACAGCGAGAACAGAAAATCTCAATCAGCAATGAAAAAAGAATAAAAATTATAAAAATGTTAATTCGTGAGAAATTAGTGCTAGTTATTTGGCAGCAACAGGTACACAAACTCATCGATATCTTCTCAAAGCTTCTTCTTTAATTAGTTTTTTTTGCAAGCATGCAAATAATTACGATAAAGGCTTGCGTTCAAAAATGCTTTTGTTACTTGTTAGGTAACATGCATAACGCTCGCTTATTTATTTAATGAACTGAAATGAAAGATTGGAGAAAAAAAAGAAACTTTCACAAAATTTCTACCAAACTAGTAAACAAATTTGAGGGAAATTATTAGACAATGTGAAAGTAAAAGATGAAGTAATCTTAATCTGATCAATTTCAAATCTAATGATTATCTTAAACATGTTTTAAAGAAACATATTTTAAATCGAAATTCTTACTCTTAATTTTCATAACATTAAGAGCGAATAGTGAATAATTTCTAAAGACTTGAATACACAAAGACACTCTTTCGACGCTGATAATGCGACTTATTGAATTCATTGACACTTTCCAAGAATTTCCTTGCTCATAAAACTCTTAAAAGCTTTCTTATCGACTACCATCGTTTATCTCCCAATTATTTTCTTGTGCAAAATGTATGGATAAAATGAGATTTAATGCATAAAAGTAAGGAAACAACAAGCAAAAAGGTAAAATAATTGCTGGTCGAATGGCTTGGTTGGTGATCAGCCAAAAAATATAGATTATCGCGATAATACGAGTAACATTTTCATAGTGCACAAAATAAGCGTCGTTTTGCTTTAAACCTTTACTTCGTCGCTTCAAAGAAACGTGGACTCTGTTCCCAGGTTCATGTGCTGTTTAATAAAAAAAAGCATGTAAGAAACAATGAATAAAAAAAAATAAAAATAACTCAACCTTGCCCCAAGATATTCATATTTAACGCAATAACATCCTGGTGCAGTGATTTGATTTTCTTTGTCTCAAATGCATTTAAAAAGCAAAAGAAGTGAAGAAAATACCGTTTCTTGTCAAAATTCAAAAGATTTTGTTTTTGGTGTTCTAACTTCCTATTTAATATCAATTCAATAATCGTTTAGTTCACGAAATATTCTTGGTAGAACAAAGGAAAAGTTTGAAAATTATAAGATTAAAATGTTTACAGGCGCCAAAATCAACGAAAAAGGTCAAAAGAGATTTTACGATGAAGATCCAAATATGTTTACCTGAAAACATATTAGTTGCACATTTCTCATATTAAGTATGTCGTGATATTCCCAAAATGAAAACGGTGAAGTCAATAAAGAAATATTTTTGAAAGTTTATTAGAATTTCAGGATGAAAACGCAACTTCCTGCCTTCAACCTATTAGTTGTAACTAAGTTTGTTTTCAGGTCTTTTTAATTGAAAGTGTCGAAAACAAGCTTGTACAACAAATTGTCGACTTTTGAAATCAATTAACAAAAACAACTTGTCAAAAAATAAAATTGAAAGTGATAAGCATTATTTTCACAGCCGGAAACGAGATGTTAATGTGTAATTACTTTAAATTGTAATCTTAATTAGGGTAATGCCAATAAGTAAATAAGTATAAGTTAGGACGAGACAATTTATTGATTATGTCAATTACTTACCATTTTCTTCATTAAGATTATCATAAGAATGAGCCTCATCTTGACCACCGTTATTGATCGAGCCGCACTTAGACATGATATTATATATACTAAATAACTGATGTTGATCGTAAAAGAGTTTCTGCTGGTCAAGTGCCACGACTCTATTTAAACTTCTTGGAGTCACCAGAAGCGGCATAATAAAAACATCAAGTTTCACTTCATTTCATCATTCCCAATCACGATAAAATATATTTCCAACACTTCTCAACAAATGGTTCACTGTGCATTTGTTTTTTTAAACGTTATCAATAATAGAACTTTATTTATGGGTTTCAAAACGAAAATAAAAATTATCTTTTTCCTTCTTTTATACTGATAATTAAATACCTAATCCGATTATTAAGTCTGAAATTTTTATTTATGATGTGGCTGAGTCTATTGCATTCCAAAAAATTGTTCTGCCAAGGAACTGCATCTGTAAGTGGAGAAATGAAAGAAGAATTAATCAGCAAGTAAATAAAGTCACAGTGATATATCGTTAAGCGCCATCGTCAAACAAATTTCTAGTTTCCAGTATCATGTTGCAATGAACGTGCGCCGCATGCTTAATTGAATATGGGATAGTTTTTTCCTTCAAGTTTTCCATTGAGATATTAAATGCATACATATGATATATATCTTTGACTTATCTCGTTTTGTGTTTGGTTTTAACATTACTAAATCATTTTTTATGATGAAATTAATTAAGCAACTCAATGTTATGAAATTATAATTTATTTAGAAATGCGTTATCTACTTAGAATAGTCGTAAATGGTAGCAGCCAAATAAATGTAGTGGCAAAACTAAAGCAACAGAGCATAAATATTCAAGATATGATCGGAAACTTAGTTAATTCGATCGGTGCCGGTACTTCGAGAATCTGTTGAAAAGAAGTAGTCTTGCGATCACAGCAGGTAAAATTGTTAACCGCGATCATTGCGCCCACAGCGGCAATAAACTAATTTTTGAATGACTTCTTAAGAAAACCTTTTTTTTTTCTCTCATAATCTTTCTCTTCTCTTCCTTCTGCCTCCTTTGGATGTTTGGCGCGGTAGCAAAACAAACCACGATGATACAAAAATTAGTTCACCTCTCGTGCATTGACGAAATATTTTTATGAATGGGGATAAGCAACCACGGCTCCATGATGAACGAATATTCGTAAAAACAAATTTGAATATAATTTGATTTCTGGAAGTCATTTTTCTTATTTTTATTCCGTCTCTTCTCGTCTCTTTTCATGGGATGCTTCTGTCTGTTGATGTCGATACTGAAAGTTTTCATGCCTTCATTCAATCGAGAGCTCAACTCACCGGTGATTTTTAATTTGGAAACGATTGGAAGCATTTCATTATTCAAATTTTGATCGCGTAGATCGGAATTCTTTGCCGTGTCAAATTTGTAATTATCATTAAGCTTTAATGATCGTCGAAAAATAAGAAAAAAAAAAAGAAACAATTTTTTTCCTAACACCTTAGATTCTTCTATCACAAAGCTTAGACGATGTTGTTTAGTTTTCTTTTCATGTTGTTTAGTTCACACGTTCGCATAATACATTGATTGATTATTTCACTGTTCATCAGTGAGTGTGTGAAGAAGTAATTTAAATAATTTGGTTACGGAAAGAGCCGAGAAATAATGTTGCGCTACAGCTGAATGAACTACTGTTTGTTCATTCAAGAAATCTTCGAATTTTCAACGATTAATTATAGCTAGATGAGGCTTCTTCTTTTCTTTATATTCCTTATATTTTTCTTTTTCCCTCAAATACTCTATGTGTAGATGAAAGAAACTGTATAATCGATTACTTGCTTACTTGTTGATTATTCTTGGGCAATTCATTGATTTCATAGCGGCATCCATTGATTATTATTATTGTTTTAGCTAGGGCTTGATGCTGTTCATTCCGATAATTTTTAATTATAATCATTATTTCCAGGGTGTTCTCAGCAGTTAATCAATAAACCTGCAATTTAATCAACTTTTGTTTTCTTCCCAATTTTGATTTTACTTTAAATTTCTTTTTTGAAGTTTGTGGATGTCGAGTGATCCGACGGAACGTTCAAAATTTCATAATTTTTTTATTATTTTCTTCTTTCACGGTTAACAATTCAATTCAGTGTTAGCTGTTATCATAAAAAAATAAGTTGAATCAGGTGTCAAGAATGAACCAAATTTAATGTCAGAAAAAAATAATGAAATTGAGACAAGTAGAAATCAAACAAGTAAAGAGATAAACAAGTTATCGCATTTCAAAGTTTGATTTAAATAAAAAAATTATTTACAAATATTGACTCAAAAGCATTGGAAAATGAGGTGATTCTGATAAGATATTGACGTTTACAGATAAGAATTGATATTTCGTAAAAAGAAACTTCATTATGAACACTCAAAAGTTTTAAGGTTTGCCGATTTATTTCGTTTGCAGTATTTTTATTCTCATTCTTATAAGAACTCAGATGGAAAAGCTTCAGAAACTTTATCAAAGCTACTTACATGCAATATTTGGCAGATTTTTCTATGTTTTCTTTTATATTATAAATATTCCACTATCTCATTATTTTATTATTCTTTAATTTCACAAAGTCTTGATTATAAATTATTATTCGTATTATTAATCATTTTACACACCACGTTAAGTATACACGAGTTTTAATCGACCATGCGTCTATATTGAAACTTTCGGAACAACTAAAAAAGATTTCGTATAAGAATCGTGTTGAAATCGTCGAACAAAAACTTTGCTTCAGTGTTTTTCATTTTGCTCTTTGCACACTGTTCATTGTCCACACAATCTTGAAATTTCATATAAATTTAAGTCACACATGTAAGTTTAAATACGTGAACAAGTCGTATACTTTGAAAACAATAAATTACAATCTTATTTTGAATTTAAATTTACATTTCTTTCTTTATTGGGCGAGAAAGAAAAAAATAAAATACAAAAGAATATAAATTTTTATTACGCTTTCTTCACGAATAAAATTTACCAACACACTGGAGATGGCGTGGAGAATCAAAGATTGTATGTGCTGCTGTGCCGTGGATGAGTTTGAAAAAGCTCTCGCTGAATCGCCACAAGAAATAAAGTGGGGATGATAAAAATGAGCATGATCCAATCGTGAAATGAAAATGTCTGGTACTTGCGCATTGAGATCAATATAAAACATTGATTTGAATGTGTAAGTGGGAAAAGCTTAATATGAAAGTAAAATATGAGAGAGAATCGAGTTAAATGTCAAGAGAGTTTATTTGGAGCTTTATTATGCTTATGAAACAATGTTTTAAATTACATTGAGTTTTACACTTCTTCAATAATTGAATGAATGGAAACTTACAGATGACGTAATTAAACCAATCTTATGTTAGATTTGTCAATAAATCTAAATTTTTACATTTTTTCAATTCTCTCACAAACAGCTTCCTTATCTCATCAATTAGCAAAAAGCTTGGCAAAAAGAGAATCTCTTAATCATTTGTTTTAGTCGTTTTCGAAGTTCACTGACATTAATGAATGTTTTGACTCGGAGCAGGAAAAAATCGATTAAAAGTCTTCATCTGACCTAGAAAAGCAATTGACGATATAGACATATTGATAGCCAATATTCGTCTTCATACTACGATTCATTGACACATCATTAAAAAAAATAAAATAACATTTTCTCATGCTACACGTTTAAAAGTATGCATACATAAATGATTAAGTAACTGGAAATGGCGATGCTTATAAATAATTACTCATTTGTAATGAAATCATTTCAATAGGCGAGTCGCAACCTTATTTGTTATGTTTTGAAATGATCTTATCATTAATTAGACGAATGCTAAACAAAAAAAAAATTAAAATACTTTCAAAAGCAGTAGCATTGGATGCATTGCATATGTAAGTAGCAGCTACTGTTGTTCGTATGTTTGAGCGCATGTCCTTAGAAAAGCATAAAATTATATTAATTTTATGTATACATTTATGCGAACATTACTTGATTACCATAAACATTTTCTCGTTTTACAACTTGAATCTCAGCTTCCATCTTTGCTGCGCTTTTCTGCGAAATCTTTTTTTTTTCTTTAAAGCACAATCTAAGATCATTTGAGTCTACAAAAGAGTGAATTATTTAACTAGACGATTTCTAAGCTTTCATATAAATTCTAAAATGTTTGCAATTCAAAGTTTCAATCATACGTCTCTTAAAATCTAATTTACTTATCCCATGTGCAATGAGAACATTGCTTTGTTCTTTTGCGATGCGACTATGATTAATATTAATCACCATTTAAGTTAAAGAAGCCAAATCAAGTGCATAGCAGGGGAAAAGAAAATGTGCATAAGTGAAATGAATTGTATATGAATAATAAAGTTCACAGAAGATTCTTTGAAGACAATTATTACGACTTAACTGCATTTTTCTTATAGCAAAGCACATCTTCATGTTTGTGTTTCCATTGTTTGTGACTTTTTACACAAGTCAGTTAGTATGTATAAGCAGCAATTACAAATAGTCATTCAATTTCTTACCAAGTAATTTTTTTTCATACACAAAACCGTTTTTGGTTGCAAACAAATTTCTCGATTGATTCAATAAAATTCCTTAATCGATGGTGAATAAAGTGCCATTTAAAGCTGAGTAGGTACTTTCAATCTACCTCATTCAACTCTTCTCATCATCAGACAACGATACCAACAAATGCATTCATGCATTGCCATCTGACACATTTAAAAAAAGAGTGGAAAATTTTAATATTCCCACAAATGCAAAATATTTCGTCTCTTATATTATTTGTTTAAATATTTATGTGATTCTACTTACTTTTGAGTTCAAAGAAAGAAAGCAAAAGGAAATAAAATTCTTCGGAAGCAATTTAAGTCTCAACGAACTTTTCAATTATTTTAACGCCGCTGTATAGGAACATTTAAATTGGAATATTTAGCTTCTCATGACATGCTAATGATTTAAGCCCTTCTTCAAACTCAATGATCAAGAAGATGCGGCGGCGTTCTTTGTATTTGATTAATTAATTCACAAGATTGACGCCTGGAAACCTACTTGCATAACTATTTGATATATTGTGTCATTCATAGTTGTTAAATTAAGTTAAATGAAATTTATGCATGATAACTTTTATTACAGAAATTATTTTATTTTACTCTTTTTGCAAATCATCAGATACATACATTACTCGAATAAAAGTCTCAATGTCGTCCTTCATTCGCCCTCTCAATATCAACATTTCTTTACCCGTTTTTTGTATTGAAAAATGTTGTGCAAGTTTTTGTCTCATTTTCAAAAAATGTCGCAATATTTAATTATATGATGAATAAGCAAGCGACAAAGAAAAACTTTTTTACAGACTTGCATAACTGATCATGATTATGCCGAAAATGAGAATCGAAATCAAAAGATGGACAAAAAATTGCTACATTCAATAGGCGACTCTAATATAATAAAATAAAATTCAAGCATCATTTCAGTTTTTCAACATAAGAAAAACCAATCGAAAAATTTATTGGCCATGAAGGAGCCATTACGGTGTATGTTGTTTTCTTATGAATATTACATAGTAAATAAACCAGAGATACGGAATCGACATGAAAAATTTGAAAAGAAATGCAAAAATTATTCAACAGTAATGAAATTTTAAAAGTTCATCATTAATATTGCATTCCTCCATTGGTTAATTTAAGTTTAATCGTTTTTATGATTTCTTAACACGAGAAACTATTTGTGTTCTTGAATAACGAAAGGTATTATTACTGATATAATAATTCATGTATTTATGATATTATAATTAGGTACATGTCGATAATAATCTTACTTAATTTGAATAAATTTTTTTTTTTAACATTAAGTTCCTTTCTTCTTTAGTGAGATATTTACAACATAAATTAATGAGTTTATTTAAATTTATTTAATCAAATTTAATTTTCTTCTTTTATCCACCCACTTAAACACGAAATAAAGAATACCTACTTGTGAATTGGAAGCAAAATTCTTACAGTTGTTTAGTGATAACTCTGATCAGACATGCAAATTTTGTTGTTGTTGATCATGACAAACGAGACCGCCAAAATAAGGAAAAAAGTTTGAATTTCGGTCTTTTTTTATTGTTGAAATATTTTCTTTCCATCACATTCGCAACTGTTTCCTTGAAAGACAAAAGATTTAAGAATTTCCGCTAGAAGTTTAAGCTCATTTAAATCTTTTAAACGGTAGCTGTTTTTGGAATGTCTTTAAGATGAATTCTATTGTCTGTTTTGTAAAGAAAATTTAAAAAAATGAATACAAATTAATTCAGAAGTTGGAGAAATTCTTTGATTCACTGGTGGATGGCGCAAAGTATCATAGCAAGTCTTTTATGATGCACCGATATCAAAAGGTACAATGAAACACTAAAGAATTTTAGATCGATAACTACATAATCTGAAGATAGCGGGAAAAACGCGATATATTTTTAACAAATTGTCAATTACACACTTTTATTGAAAAAAATAAATAAATAAAATCAGAAGAGCTATCAAAATAACATTTTCAACTCGCATAAATCATTATATAAAATAAATTTATGATTCATCAAATGATTTAGAATTTTAAACCGCGTGAGAAAAAGATTTATCGCGAATGCATTTATTTGTACAAACATTGAATCGTATTCTCATATACGAATGCGATGATTATTCTTCAAAATTCAATTGTTGAAACCATAAAGTTATAAAAAAATTGAAAATTAGATAACAGTTGTGACTTATGATAAATAATTAATTTAACAATGACCATTACATGCCCAAATTTGTCAACCACATTTGAGTCGGTGCTGGAAAAATAACAAATAAAATTATGTAATTGACAGTCGCTTCCCCTTAAGCTTACAGCTGTTGTTATGCGCGTAAATGTCATTTAAGTGAGAGAATTTTTTTTCAAAAAAACTTTATTTATGCTCATTCAAATCAACAGGGGATATTCTGAAGTCAATAAAGATCTTTTTGTTTATTGCTTAATTATTTAATTGAATTCAATTTAGTCATCTGAATTAAAATCATGAGATGTAATTAATTGAATTAAAAATCGATAAAGAAGCTAATAAAACAATATTGAAGTTGCAATTTATACTGTTTTAAAAAAAAGCGATAAGAATGGGATTTACAATGAGATATGATGGACAATTTGTTTTAATCGCCAGAAGTTATCGAAATTCATGATCATGGATAATTCTAATTTAAGTTAACACTTTATATAGATACAATAGAAAATCGCAACCTTTTCAAGAGGAATATATTATGCTGAAAACATTCTCGTCATTTTCCACTCTTCAATTGATGTCTTCTGTCGTTTTTATTCCTCGTCTGAGATACAAACGTATGCTATTCAACGGGAATATTTTTTTCCTCTTATTTAATTCATATCACATCGGTCACTTCAAAGACCATTCACAAATAATTGCTTTTGAGTTTTATTCTCCGCTCAATTACGATCTTGAAAGTCTTACTTTTTGCCTTCTCATGTTCCCCCCAATACAATACTGAGTAATGTAATTTTACTACTATCAGTAAGACACTGTTTAAACTTGAATAAATTAAAAAGAAAAAATGATTCAATAAAATGTCTGAAGTTTACATTTAAACGAGTTCAGCTTGATGTGGAGATCTGCAAACATATTCAATTGAAATATTTTAAATGTTATGTAGTCGCTGAAAAAATCGTGAATGATCATTTATTTACATTTATTAAAAGTGAATCGATTCGAATGTCTAATGAAACGTTTTAATGCCCAAAAAAAACAACACAGAAAAATATTTATAAACGCAAACGTCTGAATAAGAAAAAATAAAATAAAAAGTGAACTGAATCTAATTAAACTTAAATATATTTCATTCGGTTAATAAGTTTGTGAAACTCAGCAGTTGGATATCATTGAGATGCTTCACACACCAATCAATGCGAATTAATTTATGCGATAGGCATACATAAGATACTCGTTCAAAAGGCTGTAATTAAATATTTCTTTCCAAAGTTTATATTTGCATTTCAGGCGCCTATGATAATTAAGTCCTTGCAGAGAACGAGAAAACCTCTTTTTTGACTAATGATATATTTTTATGAATGCGTTTTCATGGGAATTATGCAATGCTTAAAATTTATTTTCGCTGTCCAATTATTTAATTATAGTTGCACGATAACATCATAAGATAAGTCGAGAGATGAGTTATAACCACATCTCCGCATTTTTGTTTATTCAAGTCTTCCCGATTTTTTTCAATCTTTTCTTAACTGAGTGCAAGTTAAACACTTTGAAAGAACTTTTTGACTGATACTTTAAAAATCATAAAAAATGTTGTTATGGTTTTTTTTGTTAGTTCACTTTATGCTTCAAATATTATTTACACCATATACTTTTATAATGACACACCTTCTGATTTTCTCAATTAAGAAAGAATCACATTTCAAATTGAAACAATGACTGACAGGAGATATCACACGTTTTAAGTAAACTTCTTATTTTTTTTCTGTTTGTTTCAGTAATGTACGCCAATATACGCGTAAATAAGTATAAGTAATGGAGTATTTTGAAGCATTAAAAATAAATATATTTTTGATGAGTTCAAAATGGCATTGTATTAATGGTTAATGGAGTTTTGTTTGAATAATAAAGCAGATACATCTATATTGCGTTAAAAGGGGCGTTACAGCAACAATTTGGATCCAATTAATTGTCATTTTCTATCCTTTCCTTAAATAGAAAGTTCTTTAATGACATCATAGTGCAAAATCCTTTCGAAATAAAAATGTGTACATAATTATGATTGATTACAATAAAGGGTTATTAATTAGGGTAAATCGAAATAAGTTGATATGAGTTAAGATGACAGAGGAATTTTGAGGGACAAATATAAAATCTTACTAAGTAGATATTTTGTGCTAAATTGTAACTTACTTCCATTAAGCACTGTTCATCCTTTTATTTATAGAAGAGATCTTCATTAACTTTTCATTTTGTTTTTGGAATCGAATGTATTCTTGGATCACGAGTAGATAAAAGTATGTTTTGTTTTCGTTTCGTAAATAGAAATTTCAGAATGAAACTATTTTTAAAAAGGATTTTTTTTGTATTTGTTTATTAATAAAGATCTATTTAGAAACTTAATATATAAAAAGAATAGAACAGACAGTAGGAAGCAAAATATGAGTTTCTTTTTTGATAAAAATAACTTTATTTCATTATTGTATTTAACAATTCATTCAGGAAGATGAAAAAATAAAACATTGGTACTTAAACGAAAATTGAAAATATCTAGGTAAAAAGAAAACGTTAAAATGGAATAATATTTGAACAATAGAAATAGATATAAAAAAAAAACTTCAACTAACTAAAATATCATTTTAGTACATTCTAAAAATTCAACTTTCGATTTGTATTCACACTTTGGTTTAATGCNCAACAAAAAAACGTTTTTAAAAAAAAGTTCATCGAAGCATTCAATTGTTGATAATTGTTAACTGCTAAGAACTGAAACAGCGAAAGCTCAAATTCAAGATTTAATATTTAAAGCGTCATCGAATCTTTTGAAAGTGCAACTGAAACACGAGATGTGTTTGAGCATAAAAAAAGAGTCTTAAAAGCACGATTCAGAGTTAATGTTTAAGAAAAGTGTCGAAGTGAACTCATAGCAATGCATAAACAATTTATTTGCTGTCGTAAAATTCTTTCCTTGAGATGAATAAGTTCAATCTTCATGAATTTATTTTATACAAGTTTGTGAAATATGGCGTCAGAGGTCGTTAGACGATGAGACTGATGTGACTGACTGAATGAATAAATAATTGATCGTCTTGTCATATATCCGGCATGATTGCGAATTCACTCTTTTCTCTCTCGCTTCTTTATTTTCCACATATTGTAACGAATGCTCCTTCAGTGTTGTTGTTATTCGTTAAACAAACACAAACCGCAATGAGAAGCAAAGTTGAGTTCTTGAATGGATATTTTCAGTATTTCGCCATTTGTCTTCAACAGTTTACATTCGTCTCGTCTCCGTTACGCAATTTCATGCTTCAATGATTACCATTAGTGAATCTGACAAAACATTTGATTCTCGACACTCACAAGCAATCTGAATTGACTCGGAAAATTTTATTGTCTTTGATTATTTACTTGCGAAGAGGAAGACGACGAAAAAATTGTCAAGAGATTTATTGATAAATTAAAGAAAGAAACAAACGTGACTTTATTTCTCATCCGTTCTTTTGGGTTGTGTGTGGAATGTCTGATGTGCGAAACGATAAAAAAGGGAAGATCAAATGATTAATTCATCATTCATTTCTCGAACGGTGACCAAAGGTCAAATAATTTGTTCTCAATCATCTGTCCGCTCTCATCTACATTCGGTAGCAAATTCAAGTGAGTTTTTTTTATCTTACTAAAGTGAGAAGAGGCAATAATCGACAATCATAAAAAGCATAACAAGACTAAAGAAGCCGAAGAATTTACAGTTTTGAGAAAGCAACTGGATTTTAACAATTAAACAACATTTTTTATCGCCATCTGGCGATGTTTTAACTGCTTGTGATTAGATCCCTCGAGCCGCTTCAAGATTTTTTTTGCATTTCTTTTCCATAACAGATGATTGGAATTGTTAGCGTTGAGCGTTGACTAATCAAAAGAACTTTCATCTTTGTTTATTTCATGTGGCTTCCACTTTACTCAGTTGCACTGATTCATATTCAAATGATAAAGATGAGAAATTGAGGTTTTTAGTTTGAATTTATGTTTATCTCAAATTTATTCTCAACACTAAGCTAAAGCGACTTAATTTTGTGTTTTGGATTTAACTAAAAAATAACTTCAACTAACTAAAATATCATTTTAGTACATTCTAAAAATTCAACTTTCGATTTGTATTCACACTTTGGTTTAATGCATTGAGTCTGTTGAGAATTTCACTATCATTACACGAAGTTTGTGCTGAGTCTATGTTTGGGGTGAATATGAAGTTTAGATTATTACTGAGTTGTTTATTTGTTGCGCTTAAGGTAACTCTCTCGTCATGATTTGTGTTAATTATAATTGAACTGCAAGGATTAAAAATTATTATGGAAATCAATGTCTCATATATTTTTTATACCTTTTTGATGTAATTTTTTTTTCTTGTTTAATGATTGGAACTTTAAAAGGATTATTGATGTGATTATTTCGTACATGCTCTTCTAAAGCTGAGAAATTTTCAAACATAATTCCATCCTCAAGACAAATGTGATAAGGGAAATCAGGATGAGTTTCGTTATAATGATAATATAAAGCTGGCAAGTTGTAAAACATCTTAGAGCACACCAAACATCTGTTTAACAAATTTTCATAATAGATAAATATTGGGAATAAAAAGAGAAGAAAAAACTTACGCATATCTTAAGTATTTAAAATGTTTCTCGGTAACATGATGAATGAATCCAGTAAAATCAAACATAATTTTTTTCTGCATGCAGACGGAAGTTGAGCACGAGAACATTCGTGTCACATTGTCCTTGTGTTCCTTTTTATGGTTTTGAAAGCCAAAAGGGTCTAAAGGTTCCTCTTTACATTTCTTATATGAACATTTTATTTTTATATCATTCCATTTGGAAAATTTTGAAGAATAATCCTCTGTTATTGATCCGTCTGATGCCATTGCAGAGGCAGACACTGAAAGGTTAAAACGACTGCTCTTGGAAGATAAATTAAGAACTTCGTTGAAATATTCCAGATATTTCTGTTTCGTCCAAGGTTCTGTCATAATATTCTTTAGTGATTCCTACAAATAACAAGATTTTGTTTAAATACTGATTAATTAAAATATCTGAAATCTTACTGTTCTGTTTTTAACTGGTGTTGAAAGTTTCATTCGCTTTGGGGATGGAGTGTAAACATTTGACAATTTTAAAAGTGGTTTGACCGGCAAAATTTCTTCATCATCAGAGGGAACAAATTCAATATTAAGTATTTCAAGAACAACCGAGCACTTTCTTTTATCTTCTTTGTATGATGTTTTCGATTTAAACGCATGTTACTTTTTTTTTTTTCTTGAACTTTCTGTACGTTTTGTTTCTTCACGATCATCAAACAACGAAGAGCTGGAAAAGTAATCGTTATCTGATTCTGAAGTATCTTGATCGCAGAACTCAGTATTTAAAGGAATTTCTTGAAGTTTTTTTATATCTGATGATATTTCTGTAATATTCTCATTTTTTTGCAATCCATTATCAATATTTTCATTAAAATCAATAAGTGGACATTGTATTTGAGTATCTTCACTTCCTAGATCTGATGTTATTTCTAATGACCCGTTCTGATAAGAGTTAACATCATTTTGATCGTCTTTATTGACTTGAAAGTTTTCTTTCGGCACACCAAATGTTGACAAAGTTTGCAAATATGTTGATGAAAATTCTTCTGCTTGTTTCAATCTTCTTTGCAATTTATCTTGATTTAATTGAATGTCTTCTATAAATTTAGTGAAGTCTTCAAATTTATCAATACATTTTCTGCAAATTTGTTGTGACAGTAATTGATTCGAGTCAAGCTTTATTTTGTGAATACATTTTAGAAAAGCTTGAAATGTGATACTTCCATATCTTGTATCCAGTTTTATTACCAACTCGCTGGTTTTACTTCCACAGAGCCTACATTCTTCTGTTAAAGAATGAAGCAACTCCATAGTAAATTTTCTATATAATTAGGATGCAATTTTAGGATATCTTATTCAACAAACTTTTCTATCAAACGTAAATAAACAAAAGACGCTTCTTTTAAGCACTCAAATTTGGATTACGCTGATTTTCTCTCAGAGGATTAAACAGATTCCGTCTCTCAGAAGTTGAGAAATAATTGTACACTCTCCACCTGAAACTAGCTTAGAAGAGACGAGTTTCGGGTGGAGTGTGTGATAGAGGCAATACATCACTGAAATGGTAAACAAAATAAAATTACAAATTTTATTACAAATCTTAAAGAACTTATCATTATGTTTCATTTGATTTAAATCTATTTATTTTAGGGAAACAACAAACAAAAGGGTAAAAAGGTGGCTTTGCAGAAATATGCTCAGGTATGAGATCGTTGAAATAATTTCGTAAAACGTGTTTATATTTTTCAATCCTTCATCGAAATAAAATTTGATATAAAAGCTTATTATTTATTTATTTATCAGCTCAAACGAATGATAAGTCTTAAGGACAACAGACTTAAGGAAGCAGATCGTGTCAAAAAGACAGAAAAAGAGGATTCATCTAAACCTAAACTGATTGAGAAACCACAGCAATCTTCAGCTCTATTTTTCAGTTATAATACACAATTAGGACCACCATTTCATATAATTCTAGGTAAATGTTTCTCAAATTCGTCGGATAAGAGCAAACACTTAACATTCAATTATTTTTAGATACCAACTTTATAAATTTTAGTATCAAGAATAAATTGGATATCATCAAATGTATGATGGATTGTTTATATGCAAAGTGCATTCCCTATATCACTGAGTAAGTTAAACATGTTAAATTGCATAAGCTTAAAAACTAAAAGAAAAATACATTCAGATGTGTTCGAGGAGAGTTAGAAAAGATGGGACAGAAATATAAGCTTGCTCTGAAGATAATCAAAGACGACAGGTTTGAGCGATTATCGTGTATGCACAAAGGAACTTACGCTGACGATTGCATCGTCAATAGAGTGACACAACACAAATGCTATATTGTAGCAACAAATGATAAAGAACTGAAAAGAAGAATTCGTAAAATTCCTGGTGTGCCTATTATGAGCGTTTCTATTAATCGTTATCAAATCGAAAGAATGCCAGACGCATTCGAACCAACAACTAAAAAATGATTTTATTTGTTTCTTTTTTTTATTAAATATTTTTCATTTTAAGCAAGAAAAATTATTGTTTGAGTGAAGCAAATTAATGATAATACGAAATATTGTGTTAGCAAAACAATTTGTGAATAAAAAGATGATATTTAAATGAAAAAAAATACGTGTTCAAGTTGCAGAGTTGTTAGTAAATGACGATGTTTGATCGTTTTAGAGAATTCATTAATAGAAAGGAAATTATGTTATGGTATTAATGATGTCGTCAATCTTCAAGATCGAACGAACAGTTTCCGATGCGAGAGTAATTGAAGAAGTTGAGACGAGAAGTGGTTGAACGACATTCTCTGCTAAAATGTCAGTGATGGCTCCTTTACGAACGTTGATTCCAGCATTCTTCTCGCCTTGAGCATGTCGACTTCGCAATTCAGTGACGGTAGAAATTGGATTTAATCCAGCATTCTCAGCTAAGGTCGAAGGTATGACTTCGAGAGCATCAGCGAATGCTCGGAAGCAATAAGCGTCAACCCCCTCGAGACTTTGAGCATGAGATGCCAATTGCAAAGCCATTTCAATTTCTGGCGCACCTCCACCAGCAATAAGTGCTCGATTCTTAACGAGACAACGAACAACACACAAAGCATCATGAAGTGAACGATCTGCTTCTTCCAATATAAGCTTATTTGAGCCACGACAAATAATGCTTGCGGTACGTCCTTGATTCTGAATTCCAGTGATTTTAACAAACTTATTAATTCCACTGCTGATTTCTTCAGCTAAATCAGCACTGACAACATGTTCAGGAACAAAGTGATCTAATGATGCAATGGGACGACATCCCAATGTTTTACAAACAAAATCAATATCTTCACGTTCAACGTCTTTCACAACCATGACTTTGATCTTGTCAAGGAAGTGATGAGCTAAATCAGAAACAGCATCACGTAAAATTGATTTCTGTACAAGTAAAACATTACATCCACTCTTCTTGATTTGCTTGACAATGTTTAAAATGTAAGCTCGTTCTTCTTTTAAGACTCGATCCATAGCAGCATAGTCAGAAACAACGACATTATGATCCATGTCAGTTTTTGGTGGTGAAATGCAAAATTGAATGAGTGCAATCTTTGCTTTTTCAATTCGTTTTGGTCCGTTGGTTCCTGAAGATTTCTGTGTGAATACCAAACCTTCGACGAGTTCTGTATCTTCGATAGTTCCACCCAAGCTTTGAATGATTTTAATGTTCTTGAGATCAACTGATTTTTCCGTTCCACGATCTTCAGCAACTTTTAAAACAGCATCAACAGCAATCGGAGCCAACAAACTGCTCTGTTGTGAAACAACTTTCGAGTTCAGAGATGTCGAAGCACTTTTGATTAAACTCTCCCGATCTGTCAATTCAATTGGTTTTGACATTTCTGTTAAAATCTCAACAGCTTTGCGAGCACATCTTTGGAAAGCATCAGAGATTGCTGTTGGATGAATGCCTTTTTGAAGAAGTTTCTGAACCGCATCAAGTAAAGCTCCAGCAATTACAACAACTGATGTAGTTCCATCACCAGCTTCAACATCTTGAGCACGTGACAATTCTACCAACATCTTAGCAGCTGGATGGATGACGTTCATTTGCTTTAAGATTGTTGCTCCATCATTTGTGATTGTGACTTCACCATTACCGGCTTGAATCTGGAAAGAAAAATTTATTAGTAAATGAGTTAGAATCAGAATGTTATCATTATTACTTACCATTTTATCCATACCACGAGGACCTAAGCTTGTACGGATGGCATCGGAAACAGCTGTAAAAAGAGAATTTTATTAAAGAACTTTCGCGAAGTGTAACCCCAAATGTTAATTAATTCATATTTTTTATCAATTATAAACATCAATTAGAGATATATTATAAGGAAAACAATTTTATCATAACTAAAATATTCGATTTCAAATGAGATCAGAAGTAATTAAAATCTGAATGATTCATATATTACGCAAATTCAAAACTGGAAAAAAATCTTACATATTGCCGAGTTGATATTACTCTGACGGATATCTGCAGGCTTGCTTTTATCTTTAAATGCTTGTGCTTGTCTTCCACCACCCGATACGGTTTTTGGTCCTGATTTTGCAGTCATTTTTATGTGATTTTATTTAAATAACTTGAGAAAACTTGGATCACGTTTCTATCTTCTTAAATAAAGTGGGCTTTGAACTTGTTTGCATCTTTGATGCGTTTAATTTTCTGCATCATTGAAAGAAGCGAAGCAATCGTTGGCAAAATATTTCAATTTGACGAAAATTCGAAGAAAACTGCGATTAAAATGGCCAGCATTGTAACCAAATCAACGGCACTCGTAAACTGTAAGTATTTATATTAAATGTCATCCTATTGGAATACAATCGTTTTGGAATATTCAATATTTATTTCAATATTTAGAAAAATTATTGAAAAATTTTCATTACATAATTTTTAATGAAAATATTAATCTATTGTTATTCATGATGATATCTTTTATTTTAGCAATGGTAACTGCTGCCAAGCCAAAGTTTGGAGTTTTCTTGCGTTATGCTAAAGTTGAACTTACGCCACCTTCACCAAGTGACATTCCCGCAATCAGAAATGGAATCGTGAAGTTAATGTCAGGAGCCAAAACAGGTGCTTGGAAGAACTTGACAGTTCGTGAAGCATGGCTCAACACATTAATTGGAATGGAAGTTTGCTTCTGGTTCTATGTTGGTGAATGTATCGGAAAGAGACACTTTGTTGGCTACGAAGTTTAAAAATATCTCCATAAAATTTAATTAGTTTCTTTGCAACTTTAAAAATGAGAAGTGTCCAATAAAAATATTAAATGGAATTTCCAGCCAAAGAAACTCTTTTAATTAGTTAAACATCTAAATGAACTGAAGACTAAAAGATTTCGTTTGAATTTATTCGAAAGGATTCAAGAGCAACAAAAACACTAAAGAGTTGTTCAACAATTCATTTTTTGTCAGTTTATCTTAGAACTATTGTGGCATGCTTGACATCAGAGATGCTAACGATAATCCCATCTTCTTTGTTACATTCAACTGTGCTTGTGCTGCATCCTTTAATGAGAAAATGTGAATAAGCTCCATTTCTGATTTTGCCAACTTCATTGCTTTCTCGAAAAGACTTATAGCTCGTTCAAGGTTTCCTAGTAGAAATTAAAAGAAATTGATTGAAATATCGAATATCTTTGAAAGAATTTTCAAACAAACCTCTTTGAACCTCTGATGTTAGAATTATTAAAGTTTTAAAGAAAAGAAAAATTTGGTTATTAAATGAAAGTTTAGAATTTTATTTAATTATAGGTACTTACCAACAGTACCAAGTGTTTCATAAGCAAATTCACATTTATCATCAACTTCAATAGCTTTCTCCAACATTTTCAATGCTTCATTCATATTACCTTTCCATTGTAAATTTAAAAGTCCTCGATGAACATAAAGTCCAGCTGGTATTAAGAAATATTAAATAAAAAGTCGTGATTTAAATTGAACTTCAGTTCACTCACCATTTCCAGGCTCAATTTTCATCGCTTTTTCAAAATAATCGTCCGAAAGCTCAAACTGTTGCTGGTCTGATAAGATTTGCGCAAAAAGACTGTAAACTTCAATACAAGATGGAAATTGTTTGATGGCTTCACTAAATTCTTCAACTTTAGCGAAAAGTTTTGTGTTATCTTGATCATTTACTGCCTGACGATATTCAGAATATAATTTGTGAACGTATGTAAGGGGATTTTTCGGTGCAAGTTTTGTGGCTTTCGAGAAATCAGCAACAGCGTTTTGTAATTCTTCAACTAGTAAATAAACTTGTCCGCGATGATGATAAATGTCAGGATTTTCAGGATCGATTTCAATTGCCTTTTCAAAGTCTTCGAATGAAAGGTTCTTTTCATCAGTTTGCATATGTAAGCTGGCACGTTTTGTAAGTGCATTTGATCTCAACTTAGCATCAGCTTCTTTATTCTTAATGATGGTATTCAAATCTTTAAGAGACAATTCGTATTGTCCTGAAAGAAGGTAGAAAGTACCACGTAGAAGGATTGCCTCTAATTTATATTCCGAGTCATCTTCACAAGTCTCAATTTCCTCAGTGCACGCATTGATGACTTCATTGTAGTTTGCATCTTTAAAAGCTTTGATAGCACGAACAAAACCTTTCGGTTCTGAACTTGTGACAACAACTTTATGAACAGGATCTTGAGAGAATGATTTGAAATAATTTACGACGAAATGTTTTGAAGGCTCGACTGGTTCTTTTGTTAACATTGCCTCCTTAGCATGTTTCATTCCCAAGTCCTTCAGAATTCTGTCAGCAAATATCAATGAATTGTTGTTTTGGAAGCCTTCAAGGATAGCCACAGCTGTTACATCTTCTAAGCAAAGTTCCAATTGTTTCAAATTTTCATAAGCTCGACATCGTCTGTGAAGAGCTTTAATATAACGAGGATTTAATTCCAATGCTTTTGTACAATCCTGCTCAACTGAGGTCCACTTTTTAAGTTGTTCGTAAGCTGCTGCACGATTCTGATAAAATTGTGATAAATCAATATCTTTGTCTTTTGGACAAACGTCGATAGCTTGATTGTAGAATTTGATGGCTTCGTCATACTTTCCATTTTTAAAGCATTCATTTCCAGATTCCTTATGCTTTACAGCTTGTTCAAACGGTGACAGGTCCTTTTTCTTTGCCGGTTCGTCTTTTAAAGCTGCTGATTTCTTGACACCATTTGCAGCAGATAATGTTGTATCACCATCGATTGAAATTGATTTCACTCCTTTTTTCAATTTTTTGTCGGCTTTTTCATCGACATCATCGACACTTTCTTCGATAGCTGTTTGTTGTTTTCTCCAATAGAAGTATCCAAGACCAATAGCAAGAGGCGTTCCAAGTAATATTGCAAGTTGCCATCGAGGAAAAGGACTGCCAGTGCTTTCCATCTTTTTTTGTTATCTTAATTCCCTTTACGATTCAAAGTTTTTATTTTTTTCTTATCAGTTTCCTTTGATCACAAGACCAATTAACAATTTCTTTAATAAATCACCCTTCACCACCCCCTCATTCAAATGAAATTCCTAAAAATCAACAAATAACTTTAATAACTTTCATTGAGCTAAATGCGTGCCAACAATGAATAATTTTCTGGGAGCAATAAGGAAAGTAGAAGAGAAAAATTGAATAACAATTTAGCATCAAATTTTGCTTCTTTTATTCTTCAATGATGCTGAAATTTTTCACCCAAACTTGTTCATAAACGATGTAACAATATTTTTCATGTCATAAAAGATTTGTTAATTATGCTCGAAAAATTCCACAGCTTATATTTTTATCAGACACGAATAAATGAAAAAATTCTTTGAAAATCATCATAATTATGGAATGTGTCAGAATGATAAAACAGACCCTAGCCACCATTTTTTTCTGCAAGAGCTCTTGTGTTTTCCTGTTGTGAAAAAAATCAAAAGCTGCGGTGATTGTTGATTTGAAATTGGAAAAGAGTTATGCAAAATGTTATTAACAAGAAATTCTATTGAATGAAATAGTTTTTAACTGAAACTGTTCGATCGTATGTGTTGATTTAACAGTGCATCATATTTCGTATTTGATATCTTCAGTGAAAAATTACTTCTTCGCAGATTTTACTCTTTCTTCCTCGTCGCAAACAAAATCAACTGACGTTTATGGGAAAGAAAATTCAATTTTGTAGCGCGCGAAATCAGTTAATTGCATAAAAATGAGTGAAATGAAATTATTTAAATAATTGTTTGCATCGATTGCGTGCAATTGAAATGTTGCTTGAAATTTGAAGCTTTTATTTGAAATATATCAACTGATTTGAGTGTACAATTGGAGGGAGAGTCAATTTTTATGTATTGAAAAAAGAAAATATAAGATAAATAAAATGAATATAAGCGCGAAAAATGATGCAGGCTCATCGGCTTGGGAGCAATTAGCAGCTTCACCAAATCATGAACATCCAATTCGTCAGCAACCACAACCACCTCCTCCACCGTCTGCTGTGAAACAACCGCCTCCAACAGATTTAAAACCACCTGAGTATGGAGAAGAATTGCATCCGGAATTGGTTAATATTTCTGAATTTTTTTCTAAATTTAATTATAAAAAAATTTATATTTTACATAGGTAAGACAAGGTTGGAAGAAGTTTTGGTCAAAGAGAGAGAATCGTCCTTATTATTGGAACAAAACTACAAATGAATCGCTTTGGGAAACGCCAATGCTTAATAAATTTGATCCTTTAACTGATCCACTACAGCTAAGCAATCCAAATGGTCAAAATAGTCCTCATTCTCCTTTACCAGGGCCATCAAAACAGCCGCCCAAGCCGCCTTTGAAAAGAAATTTAAGTCAACAAGGTGGCCAACAAACGCCTCAACAAAATCAAAGTTCACAACCGCCAATGAAGAAATTTGTATTGGCGGGTCCATGGGATTTAGAAGTTCAGTCAAATGTTTATATTTACAATCGACCACCATCCCATCTTCTTCATCCAAATCCTGAAATCGAATATATGCGCGGCGTAGCAGCTCTCAAATTATTTCAAACATATGAGAATTTATGTCAACAAAGAGAGTCAATAAAAGCTCCGAAAGGTTCATTTAACAGATGGTTAATGGAAAGGAAAGTTATAGATAGAGGATATGATCCAATTCTTCCCAGCCAATGCAACACAGAGGTTTCGCCTTCAATGTATAGAGAAATAATCCACGATATTCCGATAAAACTTGTTAAACCTAAATTCACAAGCGATGCAAGAAAACAACTTTCAAGATATGCTGAAGCTGCTGTTCATATCATCGAGAATAGGTGAAAAGCTCTCAATTGAAAATTTAAAGTTATTTTAAATTCAAAAAAATATTCTTTAACAGGCCAGCACCAGCGGAAAGCAAAAAAATTGTTAAATGGAATGCTGAGGAAACTTTTGAATGGTTGAGACGAACTGTTGGATCAAGTTATGAGGACTTTCAAGATAGGTAAGAAAATAAATGAATGAAATCTCTGATTGACCTTTGAACTCAGAATTTTTAATCATCTTTTTTCTTAACTTCTGTCATATTTCTTAGGTTGGATCATTTGAAGCGACAATGTGAACCGCATTTAATAGATACAGTCAAAGGGAGTGTTGAGGCACTTTGCACAAAAATCTACACTTTGTCAGCAGAGCATGTGAAGAAAATTCGTGATCGACACGTTCAATTATTGAAAGAAAATGGACTTAACGATCCAACACCAGCCGTTCCTCCTGGTCATAGAAAAGAAGAAATTTGTTCTCCTATACAATTTGCACTGCCTCCGATTCGTCTCCCTGTCGTTGATTATCAATTCGAAAGGGATCACATAAATGTAAAGTACACTTATCCGACAGCGCAAGCACCTGACACACATACTCTCAACATGACACATTTACAGAAACTTGTAAGTAAACTTCATTTAGTAAAGTTAACATAATGTAACGTAACGTAAACGTAATTATTCCAGGAACAACTTTATCGCTATAATTGCGATGACAATTTTTCCCTCTTCATCCCACGTCTTTATTGCATGTTGAAGCGTTATTCAACATTCCTAGGAAATTATTCACCAGTACAACAAGAGTCAGAAGAATCACAAACATCTATACCTGCATCTGTCTTTAATTGTTTAAATGTTCATTTTGGTGTTACATTTGAATGCTTTGCATCTCCGCTTAATTGTTACTTTCGTCAATATTGTTCAGCATTTGGCGATACTGATTCTTATTTTGGATCAAGAGGGTGAGTTTTTTGACCATAACTTTTTTTCTACTTATCATAAAAATAAATGAAAAATGTAACATTTTTAATATTAATTTCAGGCCATTCTTAGATTTCTTCCCAACGAGAGGATCATTTCAAGCCAATCCGCCATACTGTGAAGAGCTTATTGATGCAACACTTCAACATATTGATCGATTGCTATCAGATTCTAGTTATCCTTTGAGTTTCATTGTTTTTCTTCCGGATTATAAAGATAAGCCACTAAAGTGTCTATCAAGGATTGAAGATAGTCCTTATAAGCGCAAACTTCTTGTTGTACCTGCTATGGAGCATGAATATCGTCATGGTTACCAGCATGTTCTTCAAAAGTGAGTTACCCCTTCTAACAGAGAATGTCAATGAACGAACTAATAAATAATTTTTCATTTCCAGATCAGAAATAAACGTGAAAAGTGTTACAGCTACATTAGTAGTGTGGCTGCAAAACGAGAATGGATTCAACATGTATAAGCCAAGTGATGCAGCGATTGATGCTTTTCTTGAGTCATATAGACCTGGTCGCGACAAAAACAGCGACTCATTGAGTGTTGATAATGCAATAACAGCAACGTCTAACAATAATAATAGCGAAGTTAATAAGGCAACATAATAGGATCAATCCATGGAAAAGGGCGATTATTTAAACATAAGTTTCGTTAAATTAAAAAAGTCACAAACTTTGGCCATAAAAATGTTTGTAAATCAGCGATTTTTTTTTTCTTTCATTGATGTACAAAATGTTTTTCAATTTCCGATTAAGAAATATTTCTATTGCACTTCAATAATTCAATAGTGAATTAAATTCATATTATATTAGATATAAAGAACACAGAACAAAATCAAAAATTTAAAGAAATTTAATTTTGTCATTTTTGATGATTAATTTTTAAAACAAGTGAGTGTTAAGGGATAGTTGAATTGTGAAGTAAATTATGCATGGAAAAGAAGAAAAAAAAATCTAATTTAAGCTAATCAAGTGCAAATAACAAATTTAAGATTTTGATGTTCTAAATGAGAAAAAATATAATTTTTTTGGGATATATTTGTAAAATCCAAATTTTATGATCCGAAATCATATTTCAATGTACTATTAGCAACTCTTATATGCTTAGACGAATAAAATTATGTCTCATAAAAGATATCCATTCTTTGATGCTTTCAGACTTTAACTTAAAATGATAGCAACTTTGTTGATATCGTTTCTCCCTGAAAACTTAAATTTATCTCGTGGCTTCTAAAATGTTCAACACAATTTTTAACACTTTCATTATTTATTTTAATCAGAAAGATTTTATTTTCTTCAATTAATGTAGTTCACAAGCTTAATCTTCTTCTTGAACCACAGTGGTTTTTTCAGACACGTAAAGACCATCCAAAAACTTACGGATATCCTTGTCCTTAACGGTTGTTGATTGCTGAATAAGAGCAGCAGAAAGTGAAACGGCTTCAATGTCGTTACCTTCCAAGATCAATTCGTCTTTTTGTTTTGGTGAATTGACGACAGTGACTCCGGCCTGCATACGAACGCGACGGATATGCTTCTCGCCTAAGAAATTTCTGATTTCAATTAAAGAATTGTTTTCACTGATGACACAGTTAATGGGGAAATGAGCATGTACAGCACGCATTTTGTATTGGAATCCCTTAGTGACACCTACAAAAAAGATTTTATTTAATATTTGACAATCATGAGTAAACAACAAGTACATTTTACCTTTAATCATATTTTCGATATGACTGCATACGGTTCTCACAGCAGCAATTTCTTTCTTTGAACCAAACCATTTTTCGACGAGGACCTTCTTACGATTCAACATTCTGATGTCCATAGCAAGATGACGGAAATCGCGAGTAAGTTTTCCTCTTGGTCCACGAATTGTAACCACACGGGCGTCAACCTTAGCGGAGACGCCTTTAGGAATCTTAACAGCTTGATTCGTGTTGATTGTTCTCATCCTAAAAAAAGGAGAACAGAAAAAAAATATTAAATATTGACATAAGTTTTAGGTTAAAGAAAAAACAATTTCGTTTTTCTTCCTTAAATAAGAGTTTTATGAGTAAACTTTGTGATTTTCATAGAGACCCTATATTTATTAAAATTTTCATATTTAATTTAATTACAAATATCTTTTGGGAATGGTTTATTTTTAATAATTTTACCTTGCAAAACGTTCTCTTGACGAGGGATGCAGAAAAAAGGAGGAAGAAACGCGGGGCTTTCAAGTTGAAAGATGCTAAACTCAAAAAAAGTGTTCCATGTGAACTTTAATTTTATAAATTGATCGATAGTACGTGAAAGAAGTCTTAAAATAATTATTTTTTATAATATTGTTTAGTACAAGTGATAACGTGTGATAACAGTTTAGAAGATTATGCTGAGTGATGGAGCATAATTGTTTGTGCAAGTAATTTTCCTCTGATAGAAAATGGATTCTTTCTTTTTCTTTCTCGAGTACAAGCGAAAAAATGAATTTAGGTAAATATACAAGTTTTATTGAAAATTTCAAAGCTTACACCCATTGAATAGAAGCTTCGTTCATTTGTTCTCGTTTTTTTATCGCCAATTAGGAATATCAAATGAAATTTTGATTGGAATTTTAGCATTTTAAAATATATAATTTTTTTTTCTCATAATCTTCTAATTTTTTGAACTATTAAGCTTTTATTTAACTTCAAACAAATCGATAAAGTATGATGAATTGTAAGCTTGTGAACAGCAGTAAGTTTATCATCTAAAACTCTAGAAATTTTCTGCATTCACATTGTACGCAAGGTAGAAAATAAATTGTTCAACAAGAGAGTTAAATGTTCCTCTATGTCTTGAAGAAATGAACTAAGTACAAGCCTCCGGGCATAAATCCATCGACAAGAGCAACAAGCAAGTAGAGAGAAAAGAAAAAAATATATATTAGAAAGATTTATGCGAAATAATCATAAAAACTTGATTTTTTTATGAGAAATATCAAGGACATTTTATGATTTTAGCATTTTTTTTATTATATCTTGACGGTCATCTTACAGCAAACGAGATTCAAAAGTAGTATTTGACTTCCTCATTCGTTTATCAGTTTTTTCAAATGAATTTATTGTCCTAAACTAATTTTATTCCAATTGTGAAGAAAGGAAATCATCAGCGCATATAATTCTTATAAGTTACACCTTTTGCTTCAAAGTGCCCTTGAAAAACGAGAGGAAGAAGGATTAAAAAAATAAATAACCTTCATCAACGATTCTTTTCATTTCTCTCCTTTGATATAGAAACAATTTTGAAGAGATCTTATATGTGAAAATTACTTGATGAATACAAAGTCATCGAAGGAAGATGTATAAGAAATTGCTGTGAATGTGTTACGAAAAAGGAGAAAAGAAAAATAATATGAACTGGAAAGAATCATAGATTAAAAGGGAAAAGCAAAGGAGATACTAAAGTGATTCCTTGCCGGAGAGTTCACAAAATCGAGTGTGAAAAAAATATACATAAAAAGAAATTAATCAAAAGAAAGTGAAAAGAAAAGAAAAAGGCAGCGAATAAGTGTTTAAATAATTTATGGTCTCGTCAAATACTCTCACAAATATTAAGATGACTAACGCAATCAAAGGGCTTGTAAGCAAAAAGAAGAAAAGATATAAAGAAGATGGATTCAACTTAGATTTGTCCTGTAAGTATTGATTTTCAACTAAATTTTCTATTTTAATCTTTTATCGTCCTTACATATTTGAACAGTTGAAGTCATACATTTAATTTTCACATTTTCACAGATATTTGCGATAATATAATTGCTATGGGATTTCCGGCAAAGAATTTGGAAGGTGTTTACAGGTGAGTTAAACTTTCCACATGATGTCATGTTGTGGTTTTCCTTTTAAGCCTTACAAATATCGTTTCAACCTCCTTTTTCCTACAGAAATCATATTGACGATGTTATAAATTTTTTGACAAAGAAGCATAACAACAATTACAAAATCTATAACTTATGTGAGGAAAAGAAGTATCAATATGATTTTAATAAGTTTCAGGTAATTAAAATGCTTTCTAATCACAAATTTTACATTAATTAAAAATATATTTTATTGAAATAAATTAAAGCAATGTGCATCATTTCCATTCTACGATCATAATCCACCAAATATCGAACTTATAACATCATTCTGCAACGACGTTCATAAATGGTTATGTGAAAATGAAAAAAATGTAGCAGCGATACATTGTAAGGCGGGCAAAGGCAGGACTGGTAAGTTTCATTCGCGAAAAATTCCAACAACAGATTTTACGAATGAACATTTTTGATTAATTCGTTCAATTCACAAAGCCCCGATATGTATTTGCTACAATGTTGCAAACTGGTTTTTGCTCCTTAGCGAGCAAATTGTTTGTATCGCAGACACAAATGAACAATGATGGCAAAAAATAAAATTTTTCCTCGCTCTCTTGTTCTACTCTTTTGATACAAAGTATTTTGAAAATCGGATTGTAATTTTTTTGTCTTTCGCGTTGTTTCTACCTCTTTTTTTTTGTTCTCAATTTTATAATATTTTATTTTCATGTCTCGACAAGCTTGCCCTAAAATGTCTAAATGCAAATGTCAAGCAAAATTCTCTTCAATTTCAAATATATAATCATGACAATTTTCAACAGGCACAATGATATGTTGTTATCTACTGCATTGTGGACAGTTTGAAACTGCTGCTGATGCTTTAAGCTTTTATGGACAAAAGCGGACAACTGATAAGAAAGGAGTGACAATACCATCCCAACGAAGATACGTAGAATATTACTCGTCGCTGTTAAGGTTAAACAAGCCATACACTAAAGTAGCAATGAACGTGAGTTAAATTAATCATTCAACAAACATTTTTATGTCATTTTTGGTCTTCATTTCCAGATTTGCGAAATAAAACTGTACAATCTTCCGTCGATTCGAACATTTGGAACGCTGACTTATTCGATCATTGCTTCAGGTTCAAAGGTGAATTTTAACAAAAAATAACTGCAAACATCTTAAAATAATTCTTGTTTTGTTTAGATTCATTCGGACCAATTAACAGATTTAAAACGAATTGACAATTATGTGTCAATAAAGCTTGATCGTTGCATGTTGCTGGTGGGCGATATAAAGATCGAATTTTCCTGTACTCAAATTATGAAGCACAAACAAAAACTCTTCCATTACTGGTTTAACACATTTTTCGTGAACGAAATACCAAATTGTAAGTAAACTAAATATTATTATAATTCAGAAAGTTTTAAATCCTTCTCTTATTTTTGTTTACTTATTTAATGACAGCTGATGCTGATGGTAATGTGATATTTGAACTTGGCAAATTGGAAATTGATGATGCGCACAAAGACAAACAGAAAATGTTCAGTGAAAATTTTAAGGTAAATTTAATTCTTTTTAATAAGCTTTAGAAGAAAATACTTTAATCCGAACATAAGGGAAAACAATGACGTAGCTTTTGAAAGCTCCCTACAAAATTTGTGAAAAGCTTTTTGAAAATAATAGAAAAATTTATTATTCTTCAGATCGAAACAATTTTCCAACGTATTCCACAAGGAATTAATCACATAAATCGACTTCAACAACATCACAATTCAAATGGCATGCATAACAACGTTCATCCGCGTGATTCAAGCTTTAGACTTAGCAATTACATCAACAATAATGCTTCGAGTAATATTAACAACAACATAAATCAGCAAACTTCGAATCATCATCATAATGTGGCAGAGCCACAATTGCAACAATCACAAAGTTCTGATTGTGCTTTACTGAGGAGTAATAATTCATCTGTTCAACGATATCAATCAAGCGATAACGATAATGCACAAAGACGAAGTGAAAATTATCAAACAACATCAGAGGGATCGACAAGTCCTGAGTCATCTTCAGAGTCTTCTACAGAAGAATGGGAAAGTGGTAAGTGACGATCGAAAAAACAATTTAAACAACTTTAATTCGCTTTCTTCAGTTTCTTTGCTTGTATTTTTTTGCAACTTCGCTTCTCTATTAGTTTGACAAAAACTTCTGTTATAAATTTATTCATATTCAATCGAAAGTAGTCTTTTCTTAGTGATGTTTCATCTTCGCATTACTTTCTTCAACGAAATAAACAATAACATTTAAGTGATCATAGTAAAAGCTTCTGTTTTCATCTCATTCATTCCATCATCTGCAACATTTCATTCTTATCATCATCATCATCATCAACAACATAAAAAATGCTCAGAAAGTTGTCACAACTATACATATCATAATTACTTTGATCGACCACAAAATCACAACATTTCATAAACAGTAATTAATTGGAACGATAACAAAAGTTAAAAAAGAAGAAAAATCGGAAATTGGTCTTGGTGTCAATTCAAAAATGTTTTCATTTTAATTTTTGTATTTCAAACATTTTTTATTTAGCATTTAAAGCTGAAGATGATGATGATCTTTTCTCAAACGGACCACAAATTCAACTTATATCCTCAAATAAAACAGCAACCAAAAACCAACAAAGAGCTGATAGAAGTACAGCGATAGCTGATAATTCTGAAGGCTTCTCTTCTGACAATTTCTCACAACAAAAACGACGTTCGATTTACGATAACGCATTAGAAGATGATAATGATTCTGAAATGGCTTCATTGGATGGTGTGAGTGATCATGAAGATAATGAGAACAGTATAAATAGCTTGCAAAATGCTAGTAGTAACAACTTTGCCCGCACGTTTTTCAATAACACAAGAAGACGTATGTCGAGTGGTTTAGTGATGTCTTATCATTTTTTAAAGGGCGGGAGTGGCAAACGAAGAGACTCCACTTAAAAAATTTCTTTGAATGCTTTTTTTTCTTTAAATAATTTAAATTACTTTTTTCCCTTCGTTTATTTAATTAGATATCTAACACAACCAAAATCTTTTGTTTTTAAATGGTTATTCAGAGTTTAAAATTTTCTCGTAATTTTAATACAAAAAAAATTAATTTCTTTCACATTTATGTTCAAAAAAACACAAAAAAAAACAAGAACGAATTATTGGTAGATAACAAAACACAAGAGAAATGAAAATATTTGTTTGAAACTTTTTGTAGGCTGTGACTAAAAATATTTATTAAGATTTAATTTTTTTTTTGTTTCTGATAGATTTTTAGTGTAAAATTAATTATTATTTCATGTTTTACAAGAGGAACGCTTACATAAGTTTGTCTTTAAAAAGAAGAGGAAGAAAATTTATATTTTACATAAAATTTACGTTCGTTAAATCAAATATTGGATGGAAAATATTCTTATATAGATATGTTAACAATGAAAATTTCTAGATATTGGTATTGATATGTATGTTGAAGTTCTCACAAAAATTTATAAAAACTTCTTCTTTGTTTTGCTTGAAAAACCTGTTTGATTCGGCGTTGTTTTTATGAGCTTGCAATTAAATTTATTATAATTAAAAAAAGTAACAATATCTAATTTTAATGATAATAATTTTGAGAGAATGCTTCTTTTATTAAGTACAACATACATTTATGTATATTTAAACATGTCCATGTGGTGTTTAACTTTATTTCAAATAATCTTATAATTATTAATTTTAAACTCGTTCATCATAAGTTTAATTATTATTACCTATTATTTTTTTTCTTGCATTAATGCATTGAGATTCTATTAAAAACAATAAGATTTATATCTAAAATGTTTTTATTCTCTTCTCTTTTTTTCTTATATTGAATCAATGAAAATATTTTCATTGTTGGACAACAAACCAATATATGTTATCTTCTCCCCTTCTTATAATTCAACACTGAAAGAAAGTTTAGTGCGCTATCGTCTCCTATCAGAACCAGAGTTGACAAGTCTTCTTAAGACAACTTTATCGAATGGTTCATTGCAATCGTCGAATAGTCTTAAAGCTAAAGGCGAACCTTCTCTAAATGAGACTTCTTCAGAATGCATCGATTCACATGATAATCTTAGAAATGAACCGATGTCATCACGACAACTTGCTACTGATAATAACGATAATATTTCACATAATAGAGAAAATAATAATTTAATGGAAACCTCCTGAATTGAAATGTCTACACCATAATTTACATACCTTGTCTGTGAAACATGCTGAGAAGAACTGGAGAAACTTCTTTAAAGGCTTTTAAAAACGACCATCAAAAAACATAACGAAAAGGAAATTGTATAAAAAAAGCATCACAATAATTCATAAATAATCTTTTTTTGATATGTGAGAATGGATAGGGACCGTCCATAATTTTTATAACGTTGACAAATGAAAGCTGAATTGAATATGCTTTATGGACACTCAAAATTTATATCTAAAACAAAAATTTAAAAAAAATGAAAAGAAGGAATTTTGGGAATTTGGGTGATGAATTTCAGAAAGAATGAAGAGATGACTTGACGTTAGTCTTAAATTATAAAATGAATTAATTCTCCTTGCAATGCAAGCTTTTGAAAGTTATGATGAAATGTGAAGGGAAAAGAAAAAGCTTTCAGTCTGAACACATAAACAGCATTTCATCTTCTTAAACTTTTTTTTCTTGTTGATTGGAGGTTGTTGATCAGTTTTATTCTGTGGTCATTTATCGTGAATCGTGATGTTATAAATTCAATAATATTTTCAACTTTGATATCTATTTAGAAAAAAAAAACATTAAAAAGAAAACAGAAAAGTCTTCAATGTGTCAAAATTATTTATTGCTTCAATTCTTCTTCTGCTTAAAAATTAGAAGCTTCTTGCATGATCGGTGAAGGAAATTGTTTAATTTATTTAAATCTATTCTGTCTCTTCTATCCTCTCTGTTATTAGCTACCTATAAACTTATTTCTAATTAACAAAATTCTGTAATGGTCTATTCCAAAAAAACTCTTCAATAATTTAAAAAAACTTCGATGAGCTTCTTAAAAGAAAGAAAGAAAAAAATCACAACAAAAAAATTAATTGTATATTTCAGGTGAATCGACTTACTTGTGACTAGACAAAGGCTTTTTAAATTTTATTTTTAAATAATAATCTTCCATAGTTTTTAACCTGTTCGTTCTCTTTGTCAATTATCTAAGTTTGAGAAGAATATCAAAGAAAAAATTAAGTGAAGAAAAGCTGAGAGAACAAAATACGATAAAAATGCCATAAAGAAATGAATTCATCAGCATTAAAGGAAAGTTCCTTGAGTTTCTCAACTTAAGTTATACTTATCTTGACTTCATTGTTTCAGATGGAAAAGGAGTACAAAAGTAAAATTCATCAATGTTTTTTTTACTAGAAAGTTAATGTTTTTTTTTAAATATGTTTGATAATGATAATGATTGAATATTTCTGATAAGAAAATAAATGTTTTAGTCAGTGTTGCGAGAATATAACGAAAGTTATCATTTTAAGACACTATCAATGATGTTCTAATGAAATGATTTCTTTTCAATTAAATCATATATTTTGTTTGTTTTAAATTGAATACTTTCGTTAATTCATTACATTGCACTGTTTTATTATAACCGACAAAATAATGCATTGCAATAATAAAAAAAGAAATGAAAAGAACGTTGAAGCTCCCTAAATTGCGTCATCCTTACAAATCCTTTGTTACCAATTTGGTTCATTGTTTGATTTTATTTCATGGGTCATTAATTAATCTCACATAAAACATACAAAACGTGCAAAAACAAAAAAATAAAACAGAAAAGAGAGAAACCTTTATTATTGAATGAATATTTTACGATGCAAAGCACGACTCAACTTTAAGTTTCCTTTCAAATAAATATTTCTGAAATGAAAATAAATTTTGTAATTAAGGCTTAGTTCGTATTGGAGAGATTTGAAAATAAAATAATAAAACGAAATGAGAGAAATATTGTTTCAAGATGAAAAATAGAATATCTAAATAAAAAATAAAATTAACCATCAATTGGAGGTATGAATTGTAATAAAGAATTCACCTTTCGGAAATCTACAAATAGTAACATTAAAGAAAACTACAAAACTAGAAAGTACAAATTAAAAAATAGAATTAAACTTTTTTTTTGATCTCTTGCAGCTGCAACAATGAAAATCCTAATTTGTTTTTATTTTGTTTGTTTGTTAATCGAAATCTTTCCTTTGAATAAATATTTAAAGTTTATGTGAAGAATTATAAGAGAGAAAATTCTTCCAAACGTAAAAGCAGCTTTGATATTTCAATAAAATTCAAAACTTTTCAAATTGAACTTCTTATCTAACAAAATTCTGAAAATAATTAAAAAAGTAAACAGAAATTGTAGCATCACAAATAAAATGTGTCTTAATTACTAATTTTTTTCTTTTGGTTAATTTTTACTACTTACATGATGATACAAATCAAACTTTCATTCTTGCCACAACAAATATAATAAAAACATAAAAAAAAAGAAAGTAAAAACAGTTTATGAATATCTAATAGTACATTTTGTATAATTATAACATCAATTAAGAAAACAATGAAAATATATGTTGAAATAAAAATCTCCAAACAGAAATTTCTCAAACGTTTCTTTATTGCCCTTTTTTATTTCTTTCAGATCAATAAAACTTGAAGATTTGAAATAATCTAATCAACAATTGATAATTGCACTTAATTCAAAAGTAAAGGCATATTTACTTTATCACTCTTTCCCCCATTAATTTCTTATCATTCTGTAAATATTTTTAATAAATACAAATCTTAAAATTATCTGAGTAAGTATTTTAAAGTGTTTAGTGTTTCATTGAAACTCTTAGAGTGATGACTGCAATTTTGAGAGTGTTATTAATAATTATTTTGACTTTGAATCTTTTCCAAGAAGGTTCATTGAATAATTTTATGAATTTTGGAAAAAGTTATTTTGAAACGAAAATTTTGGATGGAAAAGCTGAGAATGTCGATCGAAAGTGTGGATACGAGGTAGAAAGATGAATGATACGTCAAAACAATTAAATTTAATATTCATTCTTGATCAAGGGATGTCCAATGACTCATCCTGATATGTTGAATGTTCATGTTGTTGCACATACACACGACGATGTTGGATGGTTGAAGACTGTCGATCAATATTATTATGGAAGTATGAATTTGTTATTAGGAAAAGTTAATTAAATCATTCTCATTAAACTTCAAAGGTAAAAGCCAATTCCAAAAAGCTGGCGTTCAATACATAATCGACTCGGTGATTCAAGCTTTGCTTAATAATCCAGAACGACGTTTTATCTATGTTGAATCTGCTTTCTTCTCTAAATGGTGGCAAGAACAAGACGATGAAATGAAAAGCAATGTAAGGATGTTAGTTGATGAAGGAAGACTCGAATTTGTCGGTGGTGCTTGGTCAATGAACGATGAAGCAATCACACATTATCAGAGCTTAATTGATCAATTCACTTGGGGCCTTCGTTTCTTAGATGATAACTTTGGTAAATGTTCACGACCACGAATTGGATGGCAAATTGATCCTTTCGGTCATTCACTTCAACAAGCATCTTTGTTTGCTAAAATGGGTTATGATGGTCTCTTCTTCTCTCGACTTGATTATCAAGATAAAGAAAAACGACAGAAAGAGAAGACAATGGAAATGATTTGGAAAACAAATCAAGATTTAGGTGAGAAAAACTTTTAATTTGTTAAACAAGAAAGTGATTTGAAGTTTCGTAAATGTCTTAGATGAAGCTGATTTGTTCACTGGAGTTCTTTATCAACGTTTTTACAATGCCCCCGATTACTTTTGTTTTGATATTCTTTGCAATGATGAACCGATAATTGACGATATTCACAGCACTGAATACAACGTTGATAAAAGAGTTAAGTTATCAATTTTTAATGTTACGACATTTTTAACGACATTTCTTAACACTCAAGGTGGAAGATTTTGTAAGAACGGTTCGTAATATGTCGGAAAGTTATCAAACCAACAATTTAATGCTTACATTTGGAGGCGATTTTACATTCATGGCTGCTCAAATGTATTTCAAAAACTTAGATAAACTTATAAAGTAATTGATTTGCTTTAATTTTCAATTAATTAAATTTATTTATTGATCAAACTCATTGACTTAGATACACAAATGAACGTCAAGATAATTTTAAAGTCAACACTTTCTACTCAACTCCGTCATGTTATTTAAAGTCACTACATGAAAGTAACACTAAATGGCCTATAAAATCTGATGACTTTTTTCCTTATGCTTCTGACCCACACTCTTATTGGACGGGTTATTACACGTCACGACCGACATCAAAGAGATTTGAACGAATTGGAAATCATTTTCTTCAGATTTGTAAGCAACTGTCAGCTATGGCGGAAGTTGCTGAAGATTTTTATGACGAAAACTTAAAAAGATTGAAGAGTGAAATGGGTGTGATGCAACATCATGATGCAATAACTGGAACTGAGAAGCAGCATGTAACTGAAGATTATCACAGAGAACTTTATGATTCAATTAAAGGTTGTGAAGACAACACAAGATCGTCACTTAATCAACTTATGATTGGACACCATTCGAATGGAACAAATCAATTGGAATTTCAATTCAATTCATGTTTGAATCTTAATATCAGCGTTTGTGAAGTTACAGAAAGTTCTTCAGAGTTTATGGTGACAGTTTACAATCCCATAAGTCATGAAACATATCAGAATGTGAAGATTCCTGTTCATGGAGATTCTTACATCGTTCGTGATTATCTTAACAGAGTTATAGACTCGCAAATTATTCCAATACCGACACCTGTCATGAATCTTCATTACCGAATTAGTAAATCAAGTCACGAGCTGATTTTCCAAGCAAAGAACATTCCAGCTATTGGATACAAATCTTATTATGTGACTAAGACAACCACAGCACCATCGGAAGACAATAAAGAAGTGGAAGAAAATTTAAATGAACCTGAAATTGTCACAATCGGTGATGAAGAATTGAAAATTATTTTCGACTCAAATGGATTAGTATCGGAGATTATTGTCGATGGTGTATCAAGTAAATTATCACAAAATTTCATTTATTATAAAGGTGCTAATATGAATAACGAAATCTTTGCTAATCGATCGTCGGGTGCTTACATTTTTCGACCAGAAATTGATTCAGTTCCAGTTGTTGTCAGTGAAGTGATTAAAATTGAGGTTCACAAAGGTGAAATTGTTGATGAAGTTCATCAAATATTTAATGAATGGATAAGTCAAGTTGTGAGAATTTATAAAACATCAAAATATGTTGAATTTGAATGGCTTGTTGGTCCCATAGCGATTGATGATGGAATTGGTAAAGAAATCGTTTCGATATTTCAAACAGACATCAAGAGTAATGACATTTTCTACACGGATTCAAATGGCCGTAATATGTTGAAAAGAATCAGAAATAAACGTGAGACTTGGGATATTGAAATGAATGAGAAAATATCGGGAAATTATTATCCGATCACTACAAAGATTGCAATTGAAGATGAAAATCATCGACTTGCTATCCTTACCGATAGACCACAAGGAGGTTCGAGTTTGACTGATGGTAGTATTGAGTTAATGGTAAGATTAAAAAAATCATTCAAATAAATTTAAGAATTAAATTTTATTGTCTAAGGTTCATCGTCGATTGCTTCGTGATGACACATTTGGAGTTGGTGAACCATTGAATGAAACTGCTTATGGTGAAGGTCTCATAGTTCGTGGAAAGCATTGGATATTCTTTGGAACTTCTAAAATTAAGAAATTTGAACGAATACATCAGAATGAACTTCATTTACCAAATTGGCTATTTTTTGACAATCTTAACGACATAACGTCATTCGAGTGGGCGTTAACTTACAATCTTATGGTAAGTTTCTCAGCAACCCACGAATTACTCTCAATTTCTTATCCATTAATAGCATTCTGGGTTAAAAACTTCCCTTCCAACAAACGTTCATCTCTTGACTTATGAACCATGGAAAGAAAATTCAATTTTAATTCGATTTGAACACATTTTTGAGAGTAATGAAGACGGAGAACTTTCAAAACCTGCAATTTTTAATATCTCAGAAGTTTTTCACGGTGCGGTTGATTTCACCGAAATGACATTGGCAGCAAATCAGTTAAGGGAAGAATTGAATCGTTTAAATTTCAATGAAGAGGAAGTTTTGTTACAACAAAATGACAAGAAAACTAACCTACAGTTGATAGCGAAAATTTTAGATCCAATGATTGTCTTAGAGCCAATGGAAATCAGAACCTTTATTGTGACTTTTAATTCTGGAAATTCCTTATTGGTTTCTTTTAATTTCATTCTATCAACTTTAATTATATTTTTATTTAAATATTTTTTATGATTTAAATTAATAAAATGAAGCTAATGCTTAACTACTTAAATTAAACATTCAAACGCATACAAAGTTTTAATATAAACGCTTTATGGTCTGTTCCGCTTCCTTAGTTACCTAATTAGCTTAATTTATGAACAACCCCAAAAAAATAAAAGTTTGAGAGTCTTTGGACGAAACATTTGTAAGGTTTTAAATATTCGCTACTTTGTAATGCATTACTCGCTTTCTGAGAAAATAAAATAACATTACACTTTAATTGTACACCTGAAATCGTCACAAGAAAATTCCTTCTATTTTATTTTATTTACTCAGAAGAGCTCTAACGAACTTGACTTATTGTTATCGAGATAGATTGATTGTCATCATGGAAAACATGACATTTCATGATGGAAGGAAATAAATCATTAATTTATATTTTAAATAATAAGCTGAGACAACAAAATGATTACTCTTGTTTCTGCTCTAATATTTTAAAAGTAATTAAAATAATAAAAGAACCTTAGTCATGATTTCAGAGAAATATTTGTATTTATTATCGAGTGAACATGGTTTCCTTCATAAAACAACAGGCTTTTTATATAAAAAAAAACATACAAAAGAAAATATAGATGTAGGTCTTAAAATTGTAATAAAAAGTAAAAGCTTATAGAAATCCTTTACTCAAGATCCACTTCACCTAAGATTTTTTTACTCTATGCTAAGTATTTTATAAGCAAATGTACGCGAAAGTTTTATAAAAAAAATTTGATGAGTGAAATCAATATGGTCAAAGTTTGATATTTAGCGTCACAAATATTTAGCGTTCAAACTATTTTTTGAACATGAGTTCTTTATTAATTTTTCTTCACATTCAGAAAACTCTGACTTGAAAATCAAAACAATTCTCCATTGAACTAACAGAATCGAATTGAAGCATGTAAAGTTTAAAAAAAAAATAAGAGAAGAAAATAACGAACGACGCAGCAAATAACAATGTCATCTTTTAAAAAATTTGCTTTTATAGAGTTGCGGCTTATATTCCTTTTTTTCTTCCATTATTTCCTTTTTTTCTTGCATTCTTCCACTTGTTGTATTTAGCAATTCATTCATTCATTAACATTTTTATGCCATTGTGTATAAGATATTTTTTTGTGATTTTTTTCCGTTGCAAATGTATAAAAAATGTTATCGATATATTATCATTATAACATGTTGTTGCCATTGTAGCGCGAAATTTATTCAATGACTTTCAGCACTTTTCCGATGGCAATAGTTTTATCTGCAAAAAGAAAAAGATTAATCAATTTCAACTCATAATTAAACTTCATTCTTATTCTTACTTTCATCGCGCAATGTGAATCGGCCCATTTGTGGGAAAAGTTTAAACTGTTCGAGACAAATCATTCCTGAGCACTCAATTCGCATTATTGCCACTTGATCTTGCTTGACAAAACGCGGCCGCGTTCTCGACTTTTCACCCGATTTTTTATCCACTAAACAAATAAGAGCCTGAGAATGAAAAACTTACTTATTAATATAAAAATAAAAACTAAAATAATTGACAAATATTCACCTTAACTGTGATTTCTTCGGCGGCACAATGGATGTGCATGACGGCTGAATAACCCGCACAAATAATTGATTTATGCTCTAGAATAACTACTTGGGCATCGAAAATTTTGCCAGTTTTAATAGGATTGGAAGCATCGCATAAAACAAAGCCAGGTGAAACGTCTTCTTCTTCGATGCCCTGATAAAAATACAAGAATGCGTTAGAAAGTTTATCAAATCTTCATAAATTATGTTGCACCACATTTTCGACATGTGTCGAATTTATGAGTCACAACACAACATCAAAACATTGCAATGACGTATCACACGACATGATCATTCTTAGTATTTATTGCCAACTTACTTTGAGTTTAATTTTGACATTTTCTCCAGGCCCCACAGACGTTACTTCTTCTTCATCTGACCAAAGCTGATCGACTGAAACTTGTGTCTATGAAATATAAAAAAGAAAGATATTTAATAAAGCTGTCTCTGTTCATTTAAATCACTTTTACTTACTCTGTTTGGCATAACCAATAGACATTGTCCCTTCTTCGCTGTTCCAGATTCAACTTTTCCCATCACCACCGTTCCCATATCCTTGTATTTGTCGACAATTGGCATGATGAATGGACCGTCAGTTTTGCGATTAAGCGATGGCAGGTCATCGATGAAAGGAATAAAGGCCGGTCCGTCGTACCATGGACATGTTGCACTATCGATAGAATCTTTGATGCCTTGTCCAGTTATTCCTGAGACAGGCATGAAAGTCAAATCTTTCGCTTTGAATCTAAATATTCAAAGAAAATTAATGAGAATTAAATATGATTAAAAGTATTGCTTCACTTACCCAAGCTTTTTAAGATATGGTAGAATTTTATCTTTACATTCGTTGTAGCGATCGACATCCCAATTAACTGTCGGATCATCCATTTTATTAACTAAAACTACCAAATGTTTGACGCCAGCTGTTTTTGCCAGCATTGCATGTTCACGAGTTTGTCCACCTCGATCGAAGCCAGTTTCGAATTCTCCTTTTCTAGCCGAAATGACCTTTGAAGATAATTTTTTGTAATTTAAGCTTTTTTCTTTTAAGACATCTTCTGATTAGTAAACTTACTAAAACTGCTAAATCAGCTTGAGCTGCACCACCAATCATATTAGGCACAAAGCTTTTATGTCCTGGTGCATCGAGAATGGTGAAATGTTTTCTCTCAGTCTCAAAAAAAGCTCGTCCAACTTCAACTGTTTTGCCTTTGTCACGTTCTAGAAATAAAATAAGATTTATTGTTAACACTTTTATTATGAAAACCTTTTTTTCATTCGTCTGACCTTCTTGATTTGTGTCGAGCGCCCATGACAAATACCAACTTTCTCGAGATTTTTCTCTAGCTTCTCGTTCATATTTTTCTAATGTTCTTTTATCAACCATTCCTGTAAGTGACATTATTTGTCCACCGATAGTTGATTTTCCAGCATCTTAAAATTTCAATTGTTATTATTTATTATCAGATGAAAGAAAAAAGAAGAAGTTTGACTCACCAACATGACCGATAAAAACAACATTAACGTGCTCTTTCTTGCTTCTGTTTTCTTCAGCTTTTGGCGGTTTCCGTTTTGATGACGCTTTTGGCAATGGATCACCTTCAATCGCTTCACCGTCATCGACTTCCATATCCTGATTTAAGAATGGAATTTAAATTAGCATTTTAGTTATGACTCATATTGAGATTTTATTTTTTTCTGTACTAACTTCATCATCGGCATCAGGAGTTAGAATTGGTTCCTCCTCATCCCAGGTATCTAATGGTTCGTTTTCAGTTGCTATTATAATAAACATTTTCAAAAAGAAAGATAAAAATATGATTGAATTAAGATTTTAAAGTGAAAGGAACTGGGTCATTACTTTGTTCGTTTTGACCAAGACATTTGATGTGGCAAAAATTTCTCTTGCAAATAAATTAAAATAAACTCGTTCGTTTTCAACTCACCATTTCCATTATTTTCCGGTGTCTCTACAATCGGCTTTGAGATCTCGTCGGTTGTTTCTTCAGGTTCTTTTGCAGTTGTAGCAGCAAAGCTTGGAACAAATTCAACTGCATTAACATTGAGTTTAGAAAAGGTAGAAGGAAACTCTTGCTCGCCTTCCATTACGAATGTAAACTGATTGAAATTCTGAACTTGTTTATCAAACAGTCTAGAATAACAAAGGATAACTTTCACTTGCAGTGAAGCAAAATGAATGGAAAAATCCTCAAATAGAAAAATGTGGTACAGCCAAGGGTATGAAATTAAAATAATCTTGATGTGAGAAGCAAATAGATTAGAAATGATGCGAAAGTTTTTGAATATTTGACAGTTGATGTTTTTTTCCAATGTTGCAATGCTTTAAGTAATTTGAAATAAAACCTTTCGATTATGATAGATGTTGATCAAATTACGCTTGCTTGTATAAAATTCAATGAAAAGAATAAGCAAATAGATAATAAAACTAATTTAATACGTTTGTAAAGATCTCGGCAGTCTTCTTACATAATCTTCGTTCATGTCATATTGAATGCAGCTTCCCATCGAATGATACATTTTAAATGTTCTGAGAAGTTGAAAATCTCACGAGAAATACATAATGATTTTTAAATATCTGAATATGTAAAAAACAATAAAAGTGTCTGGTTTAATGAATCTCATGCGTTATGTATAACGGTTGTGTTGATAATCCAGACGTGCTGCTTTTTTATACGAAGACGTTAAAAAGGTAATCTTGACCACTTTTGTGTCAGTGATGCATCAAACTATTTCAGTTTCATTTGATAAGATTCAGTCACATTGATAATAATTAATAATTAGAAGAACAAAAACTTCTTTAATAGAGTATCTTACATAAAAAGATGACATACCTAATAAATTAAAAAGTTTGATAAAAGATTTCATAACAACCTGAAAGTGTCTTTTTTTCATGTATTTGACTTGGTGACGAAACATTTAATAACTTCAACTAAATGTGTGACATCATTGGTTGCTGAAAATACGAAAAAATCAAAAGAAAATTTTTTTCTTTCAGTAAAATAGCTGTGAAAATCAGTTTAGAACTTTAGAAGACTTAAAGAAAGGAAAATAATTCAATTAATATTGGAAGATGTCGCATTCTACTCGACCACCGCCTCGCATTGACGGGATGATAAGCTTAAAGGTAAATACACGTTTTATTTGAAGCGCTCTTTAACCAAAAGATAATGGGGACATGAGCACTACTAAAATTAATTACTTTTATGCTTATCTATCTTCAATTTTTTTTCCGGGATCATTACAGGTCGACAATTTGACTTATCGAACAACTCCAGAAGATTTGAGGCGTGTTTTTGAAAGATGCGGAGAAGTTGGAGATATTTATATTCCAAGAGATAGACACACTCGAGAAAGCCGTGGATTTGCTTTCGTTCGCTTTTTTGACAAGAGAGATGCTGAAGATGCGTTACAGGAAATGGATGGACGTGTCTTAGATGGTCGTGAGTTGAGGTAAGTTCTAAGTTTTTTGACATCATGATATCAGTTGAAGACCAAATGGAAATAAATTTATTTATAGAGTGCAAATGGCGCGTTATGGAAGACCAACATCTCCTCAACGTCGAGGAGGAAGAGATCGTCGTCGTCGGTGAGTATTTCAATAGAAGATATTTAAATATAAATAAACAATAAAATGTTTGCAGTTCACGTTCTCGTGATCGTCGTCGAAGATCATACAGTCGTGGAAGAAAATCGGATAAGGACAGCCGTTCAAGAAGCAATAGCAAATCTTCTCGCGGCAAGAACTCACGGTCATCGAGAAGTCCAGTTCGTCGCTCTCGTAGCTAAACTAAAAGTAAGGTATGGAAATTATTTCTCATCATTAATTCCACTTAACTCAATTTATTTTTAAATGCTAGAGTCCAAAAACTGAACAAACAAAAGGGAAATGTCAGATTTACACCGACTACAAAAGGTATATTTTCTTCTTTGTAAACTAATATAATTAATCTTATTCTACTTACACATTTTTTCAACAAAAATTGAAAGTAAAAAAAGTTCAACCAACTTCTTTTCATAACAAATTGATAAATATTAGAAATAAGATAAATTGACTGAGACATTTTTTTTTCAAAACTTTTGCATTTTCATGTCTCATTATAAATAACTTTTGTCCCCGAAGAAGAATTAAAAAAAAAGGAATAATGAATTAAATTAACTTTAAAATTTACTGAAAATCATTTTTGCAACGATATCAATCTTTAAGTTCATGAAGTATAAATTAGATAATTAATTAAAGAAAGAACGAATGAAAGTAAAAGAAGAAAAACTTTTGATAATTAGTATTAGATGAAATTTGATTTTAAAAGAGGAAAACACACAGAAAATGAAGGAAACAAATGAAATCTTTAGTTACATAAATCAATCAACAACAACATTTATATATCTATATATAAAAATCACAAGATAACTTGGAATAAAACAATAATACTCTTTTGTTTTTAATATACACGCAGGCTGCGGCTTGTTGGTGCGTTGGTTGCCGTGTTGGCGTTAAAGTCCTGAATTTTGTCCTGTCTCGTGTTATGACTAAGCTGATTCCTGAATTTAGTGCGGCTCCTGCAGAACAAAACAATGCATAATGAAAGTGTTACAAATACATCAAAGAAAGACAAGTTGCTGTTTGCAGGCGCTTCACTTCCTTCTAGGAAAAGATAGAAAAGAAAAATTGTTTAACGGGGGAGGAAGAGGAGTAAGAAAGAAAGGGAGAGAGAGAATGTTGGTGTTTTTGGTGGGAGAAATAAGAAAAAAAGGATTTTTGCTGTTTTGCTGTCTTGCTGTCGTCAACGCCGTGTTTCCAGACATTTTTTCATTTATTTTTTCCTTCTCTTTTTTTCGATAAATTTAACTTGCAGAATCTTTTTTTGGCATTTCAGTGAACTTTGAAAAGTTTATTTAGATAGATAATTGAGACAGGTAAGTTTATTTCATAATCTATGAAAACTTGAAACATTTTTTAATTTAATAATAAAAATCTACGCTTAAAGCGAAAGTTGAAAGAACAAAAGGGTTTAGAAACTGGTTTCAGGACTTGTCGGTCTAGCGACCGGTCTTTGTGTTCTCTGATTCATGTTTTGCGTTAAGTCAATGTATCCACTTGAAACTGAACTTCGACCTGATGTTATTCCTTCTCCATGAATTAACATTTGTGGACGTGTTTGGGATGGCGTCTGAAGACGAAAATCAAATTGTTCACTGTTATTATCAGATGTTAAAGTTTGATTTGGATTTTGATTTGATCGAAGGATTTGAGCGTAAGTGACACCGTTGTTGACATTTTGAATGGGCATCGATTCATTTCCATTATTATTATTATTATTAGAAAGAAGAGCTGTGTTTGATGTGACATTTTCATTGTCATCTCTTCTAATGTTTTCCATTTCAATTGGTCTGAAAATGATGAAAAATTCATTAACAGTTCATCATGTCATCATGATAGTTTTAAAAACCTATAAACATCTTCCGGTTCATCTCCATAAAGTGGCAAATCTCCTACACTAAATAGAAGGAAGACTTCAAAAATTACTCCAATGCCAATTAATGAAGCTGTCACAATATTAAGCCAATCTATGAATAAAATAATTAAATACCTAATAATAAAAATCTTTCATTGATAATTTTTATACCTCCATAATCAGGAGATTCGTGTAGGAAACAGAGAAATTGATCAGGTGCAGCATATTGACAGAAGTTATCTGAAATTGAACTTAATTATTCTATTTCTTTGTTATTCAAATTATGATTGTCAATCTTACTTGCAATAAGTCGATAAGCGATTTTCCCGGGAATGAAAATGATTAATCCTAAAGCGAATAATTCAACACCAATCGCTGTTGCTTTATCTTGTGGCAGAACAGCTCGCAGTGTGATAATCAATTTTCCAATTAAAGTTGATGCTATTAAACCAGCTATAATCACCGAGAAAACCTGATAAGAAATCCAAAACGGTTGACATTCTTCCATTCCACAAGCGCCTTCAGTTGCCATAAGATTTGTCATCGGCATTTGCACATCAACACCACAACTGCAATTGCCAAACATTCGAACGTTGTTGATAAAAATTTCAGCACCACACCCGGCTATGTAAAAAACATTAATTAATATTTTAAATGTGCAGTCATTAACGACTCACCATAACATGGAGAATAGTAAGTTTGAACGCCATTTTCTGGGCAAACAGGCATGAAAGGAACATTCGAAGAACAGAAGCATGATTGAGCACAAAGTGGCATAAGAATCTTGCCACGTTGTGAACCAGCAATTGTTGTGTTCTCACATTCGATGAAAATTGATGCTGAAAAGAAAATCATTTAAAAATTGGAATCTTAATTAAAATAATTTTTTTCTTACTTATAAAGAATGCAGCAACGAGACTTGCTGCAGTAATATTCCAAATCACAAGTTTTCTGCAATGATTAATAGAAGAAAATTATTTACGTAGATATTTTCTAGTTTCTCATAAACTCATTTTTCAATTAACTCAATTGAAAAATTTAATTCAAAATATCAGACAACAAAAGTTCAGTTTAGATTTTGTGAATACTTAAGTAAGTTGAAATGTCTTACCTTGGTCGTGGATTAATTTTTGCGATGCCAAAGCCAGTAACAAGAATTGCTAATGCAACCACTGGTGGCTTCAATAAGCTCGTTATCAATTGCGATGTCCATTCGCGGTGAATTCCGTCAGTTTCCGTTGTTGGCAGGAAGAATCTTGATTGTAAATAATTTGTTTCATGTCGTGAGAAGTTGATGAAAGCTGTTTGAATGAAAACTGCGGCAAGAATATTTAAGATGAGAATTTTGTTCGTAAAAAGTCGAATAATTGTTGGGAAGAAATCAATGTCAGCCATGAATTTCGTATCGGCAAGTGAAGCATGACTTGAATTTGTAGCTCGCTCTAAAATGCTGTTTGCAGCTTGTCTTACGACAGTGGAAAGAAGACGTTTTGGGAAAAGCACAGCAATAAATCCAATAGCGAAAAGAATTGGTGATAAGAAGATCCAACCAGCAAACCATCCCAAAGATGTCAATCCAACAAGAAACGAAATTAAAGTTCCAAATTGATATCCCCAAAACTTCGCTGCCAAAGCACCAGCAAGGAAAGCTGGCGATTCATGTTCATGTAAATTATCATCTAAATAACTGAAACCAAGTGTGTAAAATGCAATCATTCCAAGCGCAATTCCAAATTGTAAAACGAATAAAAGAATTAATGTCGTGAAACCATGAGAGTTGTCAAGCTGTAAAGCACCTGAAGCGAATCTTATGCAAAGAACTGAGTTTTCAATGGCGTCAATTGTGTTGTTTTCAGCAGTACTAATAAGAAAACTTTGTTGAACAACACAAATTAAATTAAATTGAAATAATTTCTTACTTATTTACTATCGTTGGTATGATAACAATGATGCACAAAATTGATTGCAACATGAAAAGTCCACCAAGCCATGCTGTTCGATGAAGTCTATTTCCCCAATGTGCCACGATAATAGCAAAAGTTCCTTGAAAGATTCCACTAGCAACAAGCAGCCAATCTTAAACATTTGAAATTATCAATTGAAGGAATGAAAATTGAAATTCTTTTGAATTTACCAACAATTCTTGGATCGTAATTATGAATCATCGCCGCTTTTTTAGCAGAAATTCTGAAATATGATTCAATGGCGCCTTGCAAGATTGCACATATCCCTAAAACAATCATAAATGTTTTCTTGTTGGCTAATTTTTGACATCTTGGCGTGTTGCAGCATTTCAATACTGAAATTCCGCAGTCAATGGAGTCTAAAGATAGTTCAAATTTATTTTAATTAATTAACACAAAGCATTGAATGTGATTGTATGCTTATCGTATGTGAAAATTTCATCGACAGACACACCTTTGTGAATGTTATTTGCTGACGCTTCTATTGTCGGTTCACGTCGTGAATCTGAACGATAAAGAGACGATGGTCTCAGCATTCTCTAATTCTCCTATTTTTTAATGTTTCTTAAGAGTTTTTATTTAATTGTTACAACTATTTGCTGCGATGTTTATCCTTTTGAGGTTCAAATAACACTGAAGAAAGGAAAGTTGAGTGAGTTGTTATCATGTCTTGCGATTAGATAAGATAAGACAAAATTCTATTCCGAATCTATTCATTCTTCATTTCATGATGAATTTAATTTAGATTTCTTTTCTTATAAAGGGAGCCCTCGCATCATAGGTCAACATTAATCTTATATATCCAACATAATTCCGATTCAATATTAATTTGTTGAAATTTCCTTTTCTTCATACTTTTTCTTGAAGATTCCTTTCAACAAATACTTCTAAAGACAATCACCGTACGTAAATAAATACAGCAAATAAATAAATAAAATCGATCAATGAAAAATTATAGAGATAGTCTAATCAGTCTTTCTTTATGTGTCTTTATTTCGAAAGATTACATTACAACTTCAGTTTGCGTTTGGAAGTCGACAAGGAAGGAGAGGAAAGAAAAAATATTAAAATTCTTTTCAAAAATAAATAAATTAAATTATTTCTTTTTTATGTATTCGAACTGAGGACTTCTAGGTAAAGATTATAATCTTAAATATTGTGATACTATCGGTCAATGCCATAATAGGCGAAAAATTGAAAATTAAACCTTTGATACTAACGATTGATTTGTCGAGTGTTTGATAAAACAAAGCTGAAGTTTTGTTACAAAAGTTTGAAACTGTGAGTGAATTATTGAGAACTTTATCCATTAGACATGTTATTGAATGATGATAATAATTCCGTTTCTCCTTTTGATAATCGAGATAATTTATTTTTATTTCATTGTTTTATCGTCGTCTAACTATGCTGATAACAATTTTGGAATATCAGCAATTTTTATATACCTTGTAACATTGATAATAAATATTTAGCCGTTTGTTGCTTTGTTATAGAAAAAATCTTTGTCTTTAAATCATGTCTTCATCAACAACATCATGTGGTTTGTCATGGCTTGGCTATCCAAAATATCTGCAACGATTTGCAACCACACGATCTTTCATTCTGGTGTATGGAATTTTGGGGATATTTCAAGCTATGGGCTACATATATTTTATCATAACTCTTCAGACAATGGAGAAAAGATTTAAAATTCCAAGTCAAACGACAGGTGAGTGATAAGCTTTGAATATAATCTAAAGTGTCGTAATTGTCATAATATTGACTTTCTTATTGATAAAAACTTTCAATAAGAGAAAAATTGAAAGTCATTGTCTGTAATGAAATTACATATTTTTATGAAAACATTCCAGGACTTATTTTAAGTGGAAACGAGCTATCACAAATTCTTTTATCAGTGATATTGGCTTACTTTGGAGGACAAAGAAATAGGCCAAGATTCATAGCATGGGGCGTCATATTTTGTTCTCTTTCATGTTTTATCCTTGCACTTCCCCATTTTATCTACGGTCCAGGAGAAGACGCTTTGAGACTGACAAAGGAGTTTATGGAATCTTCAAATAGTACAATTGTGAGTTTCATTTAAATATCAAGAAAACAACAAAAAAAATTCTAATAAATATTGTCACAGTTGGATAATTCAGCTGTTGATAAACATTTTCGTGAATCAAATCGATTATGTTTAGAAGGACCAATGGAGCATGAATGCAATGATGAGATTGAGTCAATTCTTCCGCTTGTTTTAATATTCCTATCACAATTTGTATTAGGAATTGGTAATACTTTATATTATGCGTTAGGACAAACATATCTCGATGATAATACAAAGAAAACAAACACTCCACTTTTATTGAGTTATGCTTTTTCATTGAGAACACTTGGACCAGCTATTGGATTTGTATTAGCGTATGGTTCCCTTAAGATGTACATTGATCCGTCAAAAACTCCACTTATCGACAGTCAAGATCCACGATGGGTGAGTCGATGGAAATTTGTTACATTTAAATCATGAAAAGTTAATTATTTAATTTAGATGGGAGCTTGGTGGTTCGGTTGGGTCTTTCTTGGCTTTGCATTGTTGATTGTCTCGTTTCTTGTTGGATTGTTTCCCAAGGAATTACCAAAGAAACGTAATCAAAATGTCAGACCATTATCAGACACAATGCCAAAAGTTATGATATCAGATCGTGACATGTTTTCTGAAGAAAGTCGTCCACTTAAAAGTATTGAAGATCAGCAGTTTGGAGGCAGCATGGCTGAGATTCCCACACTTGCACAGTTCCCATCAGCAATGAAAAGACTCTTCAAGAATAAACTTTTAATGTCCAACATTTTGAGTGGAATTTTTTACATTCTTGGAGCTTCAGCTTATTTCACTTTCATGAGTAAATATTTAGAAGTTCAGTTCCATAAAAGTGCAGCTGATGCGACAATTATCACTGGACCTTTAACAATCATTGGCGTTGTTTGTGGCTTTCTCGCTTCGGGTTATGTGATATCGAAGAAGAAGCCTAAACCAAGCAAGCTTCTTATGTGGAATGTTATTGTTGGCGTTCTTTACATGGGCGGACAAATCTCAAATTTATATTTCGCTTGTCCAGGTATGTTTCATGTAAAGATATCTTAATTAAGTTGATATTAAATTTCAATTTCATTTAGATGGTCAAACACCGATGCAAATACAAAATGGAAAACTGAATTTATCATCAACTTGTAATATGGATTGTCATTGTACTGGAATTGCTTACACTCCTGTTTGTTATGAACCAACTGGTGACACATTCTTTAATCCTTGTGTTGCTGGTTGTAATCAATACTCAGAGGATGAGAAGGTTTGTGTTATATTTTATTTTATTTTCCATTGTAAAAGTTAAAATGTTTTGATCTTTAGTTTTATCACGAATGCGAATGTTTGAGAAATCTTCAGAGAACTACAAGATCACCAACAACATCAACAACATTGTCTTTGATTCATTCGTCTACATTGGATGTTTTAACTACTCGAACATCTTCGTTATTAACAACAGAATCACTCACTGAAGAAACAACACGACAAAGTTCATCGTCTACAACACCTTCATTTACTCAAACTCAAACGAATAACATTTCAGACTTAATTGTTCTTGCGAAACAAGAAATGAAGCAAGATTTCCAAGACGAAGTTGAAATGATAAATGTTGAGACTGAAGATAGAAAGGAATTGAAAGATGAAGTGAAAAATATTGAAGATGAAGAAGAAGATTATGACGATTATGCAATTGAAGAAGAAAATTTAGTTAAGGAGTCAAAATATCGTGAGAAACGGGAAGAACCTGAAGATATTTGGGGAAAACTTGTGCCAGGTGCATGTGTCAAAGGATGTGCTTTTGGTTTTTACGCTTTCTCAATCGTCTCATCAATAATCAACTGCTTCGGCGCTTCAGGTCGTATTGGAAATCTTTTAGTTAATTATCGTTGTGTTAGCAATCAAGATAAAAGTGTTACTCAGGGACTGATTTTAATGTTGGTCAGTTTGTTCGCACTCATTCCTGGTCCAATAATGTTTGGTAAGTGTCATCTGTTTTTTTACCTATATTTAAACTTTCTTCAAGTGGTTTAAACTTTAATCCGGATTTATAGGGAAAATTAATTCGACATAAAAAATTCATTTTTTGATTATAGGTAGAATAATTGATCAAACGTGTCTTGTATGGACGGAGCAATGTTCTGGGCGAAGAGGAAATTGTCAACTTTATGATCAAAGACTCTTTCGTTATTACATCAATCTTACGGCGTTAGCTCTTACAAGCATTGGAGTCTTCTTCGACATTCTTGTGTGGAAATATGGAAAGAATTTGGATCTTTACGGCGAAAGAGAGCAAGAAATGCTACAGAGAAAGCAGAAAGAAGCTAGAAATGGAAGAAATCAGTTGTGACATAGAAACGAAAAGCACAATTTAGAGAACTTTTAGTTAGACATTTCATCATTTCATGCTTTGTTGACAAATTTAAGAATAAAAAGACTTTTTTTTGCGTTTTCAATTATGTTATTTTTAAATCTTTCTTATTTATGAAAAGTTAGGACTTCGTGTATCTACCTGAGTGGGTAAATGTTCTCAGAAGTTCATTTAAGTTGATTGTGTTTTAATATTAACGTTTGTCAGAAGTTTGGAATTTATTTCAGGTAGATCTTTGTCAAGTAGACATTTTGGGTAGATATAAACTTGAGAGTTTATGCACAAACTTTTATAAAACAATATTGACAAAATTAGCTGAGATATGGAAAAACATGTAGATGAAAGTGAGATAAACGTGCTCAACACTGACACCTTGCTGAATATATTTGATTATCTGGACTCGGAAACGTTGAGAACTGCAACTCTAGTTTGCAAAAAGTAAGATTTTTTGAGGTTATGTAATATTTTATCAAATTATTTGAAACTTACAGATGGAACGAAATCATAGGAACAAATGCCTTAACAATGCGCAGACTTCCCTTAATAATCCAAAATTGGGAGCTTAATTGTAACGACATTCTTCAAATTAATCGAAATGTTCATACAATTATTGTGGAAAATTCAGAAGTAGATGATGCTCTTACACAAAGTATCATAAACAACTCCTATTATGTGCAACACTTCCTGATAATGAATATGCTTATGATGCGCAATGAACTCACAAAAATCTTCAACTCTTTAAAAAAGTGTGAAAAACTAACTGTTCTTGGAAACATTGTTGCTGATAATTCACATACGGTAACAGATCCTATCCATGGCCCTAAAATGTTGAAATTGCTGTCGTTGAAATTTTGTGACTACGGTATTGTGGAGTTTTTAATAGATTCTAAAGTTCAAGTTCGCAACTTAATATTGGAGGAAGATAAATTTTATGAGAATGAAATGAAAGATTTAAAATGTTTTCTTACATTACAAACATGTCTAGAAAGTTTGGCCATTTCTTATTTCAATACGAATGTTATTAAAATGATTGTTAATAATAACACTCAATGTCCATTGAAAAAACTGATAGCAATTTGGCCATATAGCCAAAGAACTAATGCCGAAGAAAACTATTTCTTTATACTTTTGAATAAGCACAGATCCACAATTGAAGAGCTAGAAATTGTAAACTTGATGAACGACGATATCCTTCATCTTATCTTCAATGAATTAAAACTTAAAAAATTGAGCATCGGCTTTGAAAATTTGGATCATTTTATTTTCAATGAAATAATTCGTAGGAATTCAAATTTGACCATTTTTTCTGAACATGTCAAATCATTAGTAGTCTCACCTGAAATGAGCATCAATAATAACTTGAAAGTTCTTGCTATTAAGCGCTTCAGTCACATTTCCTATATAGAAGATCTTGTTCAATACTTACCAGCTTTGGAAGAGTTCATTTTATGGTCCCAAGAAAACCTCAAAGATATCTTAAAAGCAGTAGCAAACAACTGCAAGCGGTTGCGCTATTTAGAGATTGGATTCTACGACAGCAGCTTATCAGTACTTCAATTTCCAAATCTTCAAACTTTTTGTGTTCAGAGATCTGAAAATCTCGATGTGATGAGTTGGAAATCTTTTCTGATCAACAATCCTTCAATTGAAAATGTCCATTTAGGAAGAATATTCCAAAAAGATTTGTTGAAAAAGATGACACTTAAAATTCCTGGTTCCCTCATCACACGACCACTCACTTTTAAATGTTTGAAACTTTTTATGTACTTTAAACTTACCACGAAGAGATTGGATATGATTAGTGAAGCTTTTCCAAATTTAAAAGAACTGGACATATTTCACAAAATAACAAAACTGGAAATATATTCAAGAATAAATTCCCCTAACATTAAATTAACTTATCACGAATGGACATATAGCAAACGATTTTCCAACAAGGAAGCAACCTTGGAGTTATCAACTTTTTAATTGAAAGAAAATCTAAATATACAATTGCTTGTTTGCTTGAACATCAATACCAATATGCAAAGAAAAGTGATTGGTAATAAAACAGACCACAAATCTGAAATGTAAAGCTTAACTTTTATCTTCCTTTTTCGTTGAAGTCATTAATAAAAACTTTTTTTGTGTTTTCAATTTTTTATTTCTAATTTAAGTTTGATTTCATCAAATTATAGAAGTTTTACCCATTCCTTATCTCATCAAATCATCTTGTTTGTTTGCACAGCACAGCCAACTTTTAATGGGTTTTATTAAATTTTTGATCTTAATTAAGTAGGTATAATACAAAATAATAGTGAGAGTAAAGAAAATGAAAATGCAGTTGATATTAAATTGAAAGTTGAAAATATTGCGACGACAGTGCATTGTCGTGAGTAACTTAAGGGACAACACTTGGCGTGTCATAACCTTACATGTTGCTTATTCAATGCTTTAAGGTCAAGTTGCGAGGTCTTATCATATGAATGCAACTAACCACACGTGTCACATAAGATCATTAAAATGTTGCATTGGAAAAATAAACAGCATGACGCTGCAACTTAAATTAAACTTTAAATATAAAAAGAAGAAAAATTCTGAAATAAATAATCAATAAAAAAAGAATAAAAATAATAATTCAACTAATCAGTTTATTTAATTTAAAAAAGGGAATAATTTCATCATGAGATAGATAAAAAATATTATACAAGCATATAAGCTTGAAAGTGCATCAACACGATGATGATTATGATCACGAAATATGAAATATTCTTTGGAAATAAAAATAAAAATCTTTCTGATCATAAATATTTAGGAACGACATCGTTATGTTGCAATGTCTTCAGCCTAAAACTGATAATTGTTAGGTTTTAATGTCAAGTAAATAGATAATTAATTTATCATTTAAAATGAGTCATGAAAATCATAGTTTTTGATCATCATTATCATCATCAGGAAACTTTTCATTTTACAAAAGAAACTTCCTTAATTTTTCGTTATTATTTACACTCATTTTCATTGAACATTCATCTTCAACATAATTTAAACATATATGTACAATTTTATATTCTCTTTTAATATTTGTTTTCAAGACTAATACTTGTTTGAAGCTTTTCACTTAAAAATAAGAGTAATCTTTTATGTTTTTGACTTTAGAAGTCTTCAACGAGAGATTAATCAAAATCCAGATTGATCTGATTTTTCATGCTGTTTTTCTTTTGAATTTCTTTAGCTCAGCAAGATTCTTAAAGTTAATTTTCTTTACAGTAATAAAGTGATGTTTGCATTTACGGTTTATGCTTGCTTTTTGAGGAAGTTTAGATGAAGAAAATAAAATCTAAAAGCATCATTTAGTGAATTAAAAGCCAGCTAATCAATCACATCCCCGTGAAGATTTCTCTCTTTTTTATTCTTTCAGATAATTAAATTCTGCATTGACTTATGTTTCTCTTGCTGTTCACAAAAGTTTGATGCAAATATCTTGTTAGTCATTAATAAGCTTAGAAAAATATCAGCAAGCGATCATCTTAACAAAAACTTTTTCTTTTTTGTTTTTACTTTTCCGTCTTTCTTCAAAGTTCATAATTAGTCAACATCTTCATCTTCAACTCCAGTCTCATCACAGAGCTTTAAGCATTTTTTAACATCTAATATTAGCTTCTACTTCTTCTTCCTTTTCTTTTTTATCATGTCAAGTTTTAGTTATGAAGATACAAATCACAATATAATCTTCTTTTCCTCTCAAAAGTTTCATATTTAAGTCGAATGTCACAATCGTTACATAAGACAATGACATATGTTGTTTGAAGCTTCTGCGAATCAACAGCTTTAAGTTGACATAATTAAATAATTTTTTGATTTTTTTATATTCCTTCAACCCATTTTTCCTTTAATAAGAACGACCAACGTCCCGTTGTTTGATAAAAAAGGAAAAAATGAAGGAATTCTTAAAACTTGCTTAGCAGTCCCAATAGTTTATCTATCTAGGAAGTGGCCGTTGGATTTTGTGTTGGTGGGGTGGTTGAGGGCTGCTGTGAAGTTTGACTTGATGGACTTGCAGCAGCAGCAGCATTTGCAGCTTGTAGAACTGAGACGTCAATGTTTATTTTGCTAAGTGCAGGAGAGCTTTGTGGTTGTGCTGGTGATGTTTGAATCGTTGATTGAGTTGAAGCAGTCGTTGCTGCTGTTGAGAGTTGTGAAAGTGTTTCTTGACTTGCATTGGCCTTCAATATCGTGTTCTCCACTTCTAATTGATTTATACGATCCATAAGCTCTGCAATTTTCTCTTTTAAAACTTCTACTTCTTCTCGGACGGCAAACATTAAATGTGACTTGACAAGATCCTAAAAAAGACACAAAAACAAAGATTCATTTAGTGATATATGAAGCTGAAGCAGAGAGCAGCAGATTGATGTCTACAACGTGATTCGTTACATATTTATTTCTTTTCAATTTATTTGCAATACCATTAAATTCTCGGTAAATCCGTCAACAACTCGTTTTGGTTTCGATTTCATTAGCAACATTGATGTTTATGTATGTATTTATTTATTTATGTATTTGAAACAAGCAGACGATGTGGTTTCTCTACAAACTTTCATTGAATAAAAATTGCAAAACTTTAATTTGCATTTAATGATTAGTTATGTTGACAAATGCCACCTACTTATGTTGTTGTATAAAAGGCATAAATGCATCTGTTTGCTAAGATTCAACAGAAGTTCATTTACATTTAGGCATGCAATGCAATTTCTAAATAAAAGCGAAACGTGGTCGACGTTTGTCGAGTTGAATAGAAGAAGAATCGATTAAAAACTGTGTCACATGAATGGATTTATAGTTAGTTAAACTAGAATCTAGGTAAAATGAGATTTTTGAACCTTTTGGAAATGAAAATATTTGTAAAATTTCTACTTGCAGATTTACGAGTATTTTTATAAACAGACGTTTCATATGAACATGCCCAAATATATCTAACTCTTTAATTACTAACACTTGCTTCATTACTTATCTAAGTACTTAGTATGTTAATTATATACGTTACAATTCTTTTTATCGTAAAAAATGAAAATATCAGTCATCGTCAGCATGAATCATCGAGGTAATTGTAAACTAATTTGAGTCGATGTCGATTATAAAACAATTCGAGTTGATTTATGCAAATTCTTTTTGAAATTCCTATCGAAGTAATTAAAGTTTATATTTTTTGTTGATGTTTGACTTTTGTTATTGTTAACAAAAAAAAGGAATTCTTCTTGCTTCTTTGTTTCTATTTACGAAAGAAATTTGAAGGAAAATCTGTTTGATTTCAATTCTTTTCGCTTAAATATTTCATTGAGATTCCTACAAATGTGGAAAAGTTTTCCCCCGACATCATCATAGACACAAACAACGTAGCGCAAAACGAGAAAGATTAAAATCGTCAAACGATTTCGTTGTTTACAAGTTTTTCTTTTTCTTCAACCATGAGACAGAAACGTGAAAGCTTGAGAATAATATTTAATTCCAATATGATGCAGAAGTAGTAACATCAGTTCCCTTAATTGCCTTTTTTATTTATTTACTTTTATTTTTATATTTTCTATTTATTTAATTTTTTTTGCTTCATACTTTGTGCGTTTACGAGTGTCGGGAGTCGAGTGTTCGAGAAACAAAGACAAAGTTTACGTCCGTTCTGCCTTTTCAACCGCTGATTAAATCATCGCAGTCGCTTAAAGTGAGTATTTATAAAATGTCGACGGAAAAAACCGCCACATTGAACTAAGGAGAATAAAATTCACGTATTTAGTGTAATTAAAATAACATCCATTGAATTGTGTTGTGTTTAAGTGATTCGAAGTCATTCATCTGTCTCGTTTTGGCAAGACCCCAAAGAATCGTTCACGAATGAATTTGAACACAGGTTTTAAAGCGAAGAACAGTCATAGAATCAACCACACGTGTCATCTGAGAACTTTCGACTCTCGGCATTTAAAGTTCATTTTAAATTTTATTTACGTAAAAAAATTTGTCTGTTGAATGTTTCTCGCCAAATAATAATCATTATTAATTTGCAATATCTAATTATCTTTTACGTCAGGTGAATAGTTTAATAAAAAGGCGCAGAATGCGATACGATAGGAACATCTACGTCAATAGATCAGGTTTTTGCTTGCTGTCAGACTCGAATCATCTCATTTTATGATAAATTATTTAATAATCTTTTAAGGCATTTAAACTCATTCTTCAGGATATTCGATTGTTGTTCTCGAGTCAACATCGATAATTTAAAATTCTACTTCAATCAACCAACTTAAGAAGATTGAAAAGCACTTAATATGAAAAGAAAACAAAAAATCAAGAAATGGAAGAAGAAAAAAAGTCTCAAAGTAAACACAACCACGAACAAAACTTTGCAAAGTTTTCTTCATTTTGAAGGCTTTTCATGAGACTTTAATTAAGAAAACTGAATTCTTGTTTTTCTCGTCTATTTTTGGATGCAAACGTTGAGAAATAAAAAAATTTAGTTTATTTTATGTGCTGTCGACTGTCAAGAAAGAAAGAAATATTTTTTAACTTAACCAGCGAGATAAGATAAAATAATTGTTCATTTAAAACATCAATCAAAAATTCTGTTTTTTAATTCAATTTAATTCTTGTTTTGTTATTAAACCGATCAATCAACGAATGTAATATTGAAATATGCAATTAAAAATAAATTTGCTTATCTTAACAACGATGTCCAATAACAGAATTAATAGGAAAGAAATTTATAAGAAAAAAACAAGTAAATAACATGGAAGTGACACGAATTTATCTCCCTGGAAGCTTACTGTGGTTATCGCTATATTCGTTGTTTTGAGAGAAAACACTTGAATAAAGTTAGTCAAGTGCGACGTTAAAAAACGAGTATCTGAAGCCGTCATGGAGCCGTCGTATCAGACAATAAAGCCAAAAATAGAAAGTGTCGTCATATTGTAAGAGTTTGCGGTAACGAAAACTGGTTATATTGCAGTCAAAATGAATTTATGATGAGATTATCAGAAAAATAAAAAGAAGAAACTTCTTACATTTACATTTTGCACCATAACATAGCATGTTTGAGACTTTCCCTTCTGTTTAATCTCGTAAAGCCAATTTTCCGGTCGATGTTGACGATGTTGATATGTCAAAGTCTCCATTCTTGACTATGCTTTTATTTTTTGATTAAATTAAATAAAAATTTACAAGTCTCGACTATTCACCTTTGCCGAAATATAAACAACAAAACGAAGGTCTTTATAAATTTATTTTTTTTATTATCACACAAAGATTCGTTCGACTTTCAAGTATTCTTTTTTTCCTGTTTTTTAAAATAATCTAATCTTATTTTGATGCCTTCGGCTTTTTGTTTTAAACGTTTTATTATTCTTCAATGTTAATATAAAATTCACTTGGACTTTGATTGTTCCTTTCTTTTGTCTATTACGATAATTTCTTTTGTAGTCTCCCTTAATTTCTTTGATATGAAATTAACTGGAAAACTTTTATTTGATCTTATCTGTGTCAGAGTAAAACTGTGAATGTCGCGATCAGTTCATAAATCGATGTTTTATAAATGCAAAATGAATTCAAATGAATAACAGGAAAATTCCCTTTAAATTATTTTTCCTTTTGATCATGAAAGGCACGCACTCGGAAATCATTTATTCACTTGATCATGAAACTTATAATAGCAAGCAGGCATTGAATAATTTTTTTCTCTTTTTCTTTTAATTATTATGGATTTGTATTTTATTTTCATTTAATCGATGTTGACAAGCTTCACACAAACGGGCGACTGATTGTCTGCTTCGAACTACATTAACTTTTATAATTTCAAATAACAAAATGTTCTTTTTCTCATTTTCCTTTCTTTTCTTTTTATTTTATTAGAGTTGTATGCTCGGCTCGAAGTATTCACATGATTCTTTCCTGAGCAGCAAACCGAAAGCACGAAATAATATAATACCGATTGAATAAAACATTCTCACATGTGTAATAAGAATTGGCAAAAGAAAAAAAGCGAATAACAATAGCAGCAGCAAGAGCAGGCTCGTGAGTAGTAAAGTTAAAGTCACAACTCAAATGTGTTTCGCACACATTGAAAATGATGAAAAAAAGAAGTGAAACGAAGCAATTGATGATGGGGTGAAGCCATCAACAAATCATCTGTGTGTGTGTGTGTGACTTCTATAAAACTTCGCTTAATTATCATATTATTGCAACATTAATTCGTCATTTAATGACATCATATAAATATTTTATAACGAAACGTCATTATCATGCATTGAAATTTAATAAATCATCAGTATAATGTTACTCTCAGATGCTCATCACTGAACTTCGTCTTTGAAGGTTTTTATTGACTGTTTACAACGTGATGAGAGACTTGATTAAGTTAAAAGGGAATTTTGTGGCTATGACACTTGCCAAAATATCTTACTGAGGACTAAAAGTCTACTTCAACCTTGCCAAGTTCTTTGTAAAAAGTTTATTGTTGTTGACAATGACTCACTTAAATCAATTAAGATGAACGTGTTTTCTATCGTCATCATCATGATTTGTGTCATCCAACAAACAGCTAATTATGAGTAAATCTTCTTCTATGTCATCTCATTCGAAACATTCGTGATTTTTAAGGAAGTGGAAAAAATGAAGTTTTATTTTCGTCGTCTGACGTCATCTTTTTCGCTTGTTTCTCTTTGTGGAATGCTTTTTACTTTTTCTTTAACTTTTTGTTTTTGCTGTTTCCATTCGACCTCAAGTCGTGGTGATTTTATTTGTTTACTAATGAATGGAATCTTTTGTCCTGTTGAAATTATTTTGAAGTTTGAATGAAGCCGATATTCAGTTTATTGAAGACAATAAAAAACATTTAAAAGTCATTGTTGACAAGCATATAAAACTAGCTTGAAGCAGTTGTTTACTGGTAAAATCAATTTCTTACTTTCGATAGCAGAATAACAAACGGTGTTGTTTTGTTCTTTTTTGATTAAGAGATTTTAAATGGAACTAAGTGTTATAATAAAAAACGACTTTTATCAGTTATCAAAAACAGCAGACAATGATAAGCATTTGATATCGAAATGTTAACTTGTTTACTTCTAACAACGAACATAAAAACAGTTTCGAAAGTCTAAATAAGGTCTAGAAGTACAAAATGAAAATGAATTTAAAAAATTTAGAACAATTACACAACACAACAATAAATTAAGTGAGAAATTTAATAAATTGTTTTGAAACGAAAGAATTAATTGGAATTCTTATCACCATTTGCGTGTGACAAATCAATCGACGTTGGAATGTGTCATCATGACATCGCTTATGCTTACGTCTCTTTGAGCTTACGATTACATTACTGCTTGCTTCTTTTTTATGATTATTTCTGTTCTTTTTTATTTTTCTTCGTTTTTAATATTTCAGCTGACGTTGATTGAGTCAAAATGTCGCAAATTTTATGGCTGGCATCTTTAAAATTCTTATTGACTTCTATTTATAAGTACGATGGAATCTTTTTTGACTTTTAAAAAGAAAGATTCATTCATTCAGATTGTCGGGAGCCATTAAGGTCATTTGGCAAGACACTCGGGACATCATGACATGTCCTAAAAGTATCACATTATCCGACACAATGAGATCATTTGACCAGAAGTTTCACATCATTCTGTCTGCTTTTGTATTATAATATAAACTAATATCGAAAGAAATCAAGTTAATTTTGTGTACTTACCATAGCTTGTTCAATTTTGTTATCGATTGCTACTGCACTTGTACCAGACGCACTATAAATAAAAGAAATAAAAGAAACATAAAGAATTAGTCATTTTTTCTCCATGAACTTCCGTCGTTTAAACGGACACAAAGAAATGTCGATGAAAATATCTGAAAAGGAAAATTCGCCTAGCAACTTGGAACAAAGTTATTTACGACTGACCTCTTTAAATGTCTTCCTACAAAATAATTGATTAAAAGCCTTTCAGTCAAGTCAAGTCTTTTGTTGTTTTGCCTTTGAAAAATTATCCCAAAATTTTTTTATTTATAAATATTGACCGAGTTCTTAAACTTTTTATAACGTTATCTCGTAATCCAGATCTCGTGCTCTATATATTTTCGTCTTTATTTATTCTGACAACATGTTAATTCATCTTTCAAACATGACAAAATAAAATAATAATAAAAGAAAGACGTTAAAAGCAGATACTTTCCTACGAGCGGTTGTACATTTAGAAATCGAAAATTTAAAGAAAATGAAAAATGTTTGCGTAAGTGAAGATTCATTTTAAAATTAGATCAATTTATCTTTCATTCTATTTCTATTAATAGCATTGATTTCTTTTCGTTTTGATACAATCACGAATGTTAATTGTTTGTGATCAAAGTCAAAGCAAAGCTATGTCGTTTCGTTCAGTTCTTTCAATCTTCTCGATAACGAAAATAAACAAGTCATAAAAATATTTATTTATGTTCACGTGTACGGCGGGGGATCGTGTTTAAGTCACGTCTAAGATAATTAAAATTCTTGTTTCCGCGATGGTTTAAATTCTTCATGGTCTTCTTCAAATCAAATATTCCACATAAAATGAGTTCACGTTCGCGAGACGAAAAACATTTAAAATCATTTTATGTTTTTATCGTTTTCAAAGGCAAATGGTCTGCCAATGCATTGGAATAAGGCGTAAGCACGTGGACGATTCGCATTGCTTTCAACGAGACAAAAAAAAATAATCTGAGTGATAATCATCATTCAATGAACTTGACCATTTTCTACGAATATGACTCGGAAAGCAACCTTCAGTTTATTTTAGGATTGTTTTAAATATTTTTTGCTAAATTCTTATGAAATTTTTTTCTGTCGTTCTCCAACTGAGTGTCACTGTTCATGCCATGCCATGTGTTGGTCTGATCAGAAAAATATTTTTCTTGCAATCTCCTGAATTAATTTTCTTTGTTAGATATCTACCAGCTTTCATATTCGATTCACTTTATGATTGCTTCAAGGCTACTTGGGCTGCTCAGAGCAACATTGAACGCATACACGCACACATAGATACATGAATGAAGTGTTAGTATGAGAAATCTTTCTGTGACTATCGACATTGCCTATTTCTAAACTCGAACGAATAGCGTGCACTTTTTTTTTGATTCGCGTCTCGTGTCTTTTTTCATTATATTTCTTTTATCAGATTTTATAAAATCTGGTATTGAAAGTGACGTTAACTTTATGCTGTTCCATATCAATGAAATTTTTCGAATCAACGGCCACCATTTTATTTTTCTTCTGCTGCTTACATGGCGATATTTTCTTTTCTTGGACTTTTTTAAATTCGTTCTCAATTTTATTTATGTTATTGCGTTTAAATGAAACGAAAAACAAAATAAGTTAAAGACACTTACTCAGGATAGAAATGATCAATGTATTTTATAACAACATCTCTTAGAATATCTTTTTTTCCACCAACTGAATGAATTTGATGAACGGCCATCATGTCTGTTTTCATACTTTTTTGTTTTCGTTCTTAAATTTTTTGCTGTTTTGGTTTAACTCTTAATTTGGAAGTAGTTTCTATATATTTATTGAGCTCTTTAAACGAATGCTGAGTTCTTTTTTAAATTCACAAGTTCTATACAGATATTTGGTTTTTTCTCTTTTCTATCTTTATCGCAAATTCAGTTTCTTCCCTTTTTTTTTGCGATTTAATATTTCTCTTAAGGAAAAATTTTGCTGCGAAAACTTTTGATCTCTTTTATTTCACTTAAAAATCAAATTTTCAAGTTCATTGCACAATGTTTCACTCAAATACTCTTTTCAGATGAAACTGAAGTAAAAAAATTCACTTTTTTAAAAGAAAAAATGCAGCTTTTTGCAAATTAAAACTAAGAATGAACAGATGATGTCTAAAGCCTATGAAAGACTGAGTGCTGCCTTGCGAGTTTTTTTCTCAATTTCACGAATGGGATTTGATAGTGTTAGTAGAACCACTTGAAAAGCATGACAGTGTGAGTGAGCGAGAGCTGCAACATTTTCTCTTCTGCTGTAAATACATAAATATCGTTCGATCCATTTTATGCTAGTGTTGCCTTGCTAGCTTGCGTTCGCTTCAAATTTTATGATTTTGTTCAAAGCATGAAATGTGCTTATTTTGATCGAATAATACAAAAAAAATTGTTACAATTAAAAATGATTTGCTTTGCCACTACACTTCACACAATTTCAATAAACTCGATTGCATAATAGTCTATTATGTATATAAGCTAGCGTAAAACTTGCAGATTTACTTGAATTAAAGCTCAGCTCAATAATCTCTACTGGGGATTTCTCTTGGGATTTTTGTTTGAGCTTGAGAAAAGAGACAAGAAGACAAGTGAGAGATCAAAGAAAGTGCAGGAAAGATTTCTTCATAAGAGAGCGATAATTGCTGACACTTCCTTGAGTTTGACAATAGTTTTACTTCCATTTTTCTCTTTCTTTCTTTGTTTGTTTATCGAGAAAATCATTCGATTTCAGGGACATTGATTGCATCCACTTCTCTCAAATCGATGTCAATGAGAATGAAATAAAATTTATGGTTTGCTACTGTTCGTTTCGTTCATTCATTTATTGCAATTTTCAATAAATAATGACATCGTGATTTAGTTTCTATGACCAATTATTGGTTTTGTAAGATACAATGTATGATTATAATATAATGAAACTCTTGCTCAAGTATTATGCAACTTACATGATTTTTATATTTCTATGCAAGTAGGAATTTAGCTTCTTTTCTGCTGATTCAGCTCGAACCTTTTTGTGATTCAACATACTTTGATTACCTTTCCTTTAAATATTTTATAAACAAAGTTCGCAAATCAACTAGCTTCAATGATTTTCTTTTTCAATATAGAAAGAAATGAATATAATAACTTAAAACGAAATAATATAAAATGAAGAGAATAAATCAAGATCGTGAATATTATTCAAAAATAAATGAATAAACAATTACAGAGAGTAAATCGTTGGTTTTATAATTAATTTTTAAAAACGTTAACTACGTCAATCATTTTTTATAAATCCACCCAAGCAATGCCATTTTAAGTCTACCTAGTAATTACCAAATGTTAATTTTCTTTCATTTTTTCTGACTTATGAGCCATGATGCCATAATGACATACACCACCAAGTGTGAACACATTTTGTGCGAACTTTTTATTTACATTTCTATTCTTTCTTTTTTTTAAGTTACCTATTGCTTTTTATTGACCTTGAATGTTATTCACGAATGAGATCACTGACATGATTTACTGTCTCTCTCACGAAATTTTACTTTTCTTTCATATTTTATAATAATAATAATAACAATAATAGTAATATCAACCGTAGAAATAATCTAACACGCACTTTTGTTCGTGTTTATAATCGGTAAAGATGAACTACTAAGAAGCAGGTGGTGGGAAATTTTTGACGAGCTATATCATATAATTATATCATCATTTCAGTTTCTTTATTCGAACACTTACCCGATGAAGTTTTTGATGAAGCAATAAACAGCAACTAATGAACGATCATTCAGAAAAAATTCTGGTTTAATCATTGGCAATGCAGATGGCATTTCATCCTTACGATTTGCACTTTCAGTTAGGCCGCTTTCATTTGTGTGAACGATTTTAGTTAAATAATTATTGCTACAGCAATTTAATGCAGTTGCGTTCATTTTAAAAGCTGATTTTAATATTTTTTTGTGTTTTCAGTTTTTTTGTATTTTTAGATAACTCAAATTTGAAGAAATTAAAAAATTCGCTTGTCATAACCGAGTTCTGAGAACTGCGAAATAAAAAAGTGCGTGTCGTGTTGTTGTCTACTGATCTATCACACTACAATTCGTGCAGAGTTACCTTTTAATTAAAATAATGAAACTTCAAATCTTTAATTTTCCTTTTTCAAGCTTCTCTGACGACATCACATTTAAACTCTCAACAACTTGCTAATTGTTGAAATATTTCTGCTTCAAACTCTTCTTTGATGCTATCAACATATTTCCTATGATTCCTTTTCCTTTTTCTGCTTCTTTTGCACTTTATAACAGTCATTCGAGAAGTTATTTTTACAACTTTCAATGTATAAAAATATTTTAAGTCAAGTTCACTGATTTTCGTTATTCACGATTGTTCTCTCTCCTTAATCTTATCACACAACTTAAACCTTTCAAAACACCGAATATGAGATATGAAGAAATGCTTACAATTTCCCAACTTTAACTCTTTTGTGTCAAAATGAAAATGATTTCGACAATAAAAACATAAAAGGAGTATAAACAAAATGTTTTCCTTTTAAAAGCTATTGATTGAAAGATCTGCGCATGATTGTGATATGAATTTACATTTCCCGAAGTCCAAGGCTTTTCCGTCACTCTCTCACTCTTTTTCTATTCGAAGTCATTCGAAACAAAGAATGAGAGTTTCATGAAATAACAACAGAACATAATAAGAAAAGAAATTGAGAGTCGAAGTCAATTGAATTAAATGCACATGCGTTAATATGTTTCCTTGCATTTTATTTCATTTTCGCAATCTTTACTCACAATTTACATTTAAAAGTGAGAGTAAAATGAATTCTATACTGTTGCACTCATGCTTTCTTTTAACCGTTTGTTTTTGTCTCATCAAGGTTTAAGAATTTTAAATAAACAGAAAATGATTACAAGAATTCAAATCGTCGTGGTTTAAACACAAAGTTAATGAACTTTCTTTTCCCTTCTGCCAAAATCTTCTTTAAAACTGAAACTCGATATGTATGCTTGCGAAAAGAAAACAAAAACTAAACTAATTCGCATTGAGAAACTTTACACAGCATAAAAACTTGACGCTAATGTTTCTTGAAATTCTTGTTGTTCATATTTATTGTGTAAGTAAATAAGTACTTGAGGCTACAACCACAAGAATAATTAATGACTTTTGAAAACCTAGTGGAGTATCACGTGAGACGTAAATCAAAAAAAGAACAAATTGTATTTCGGCGGGTGAACAACCTGTTTGAAAGTATGTCCTTGAAATGTCATTAGATAGAGGAAATGATGACCGACACAATCATTGCGCTGAGTGATTATTATTGTGGAATGACGCAACATGTGCGTGTATGATTGATAACTGTATAACTTTTATTACATTACCACCCTTTGCTATCACATACTGTGATTGTGAAGTTACTTTATGAAGAACATTGTAAGCAAGATGTATAAAGTGCACAAGATCCAAGGGCACAAAATATAAAAGCAAAAGAAATCTAACATTTTTTTCATTAACACTTTTTTTAATAACAATTCGCTTCACTTAATGATTTTTAAGACCGCGACCGTCTTTCGCGAAATTTGTTTGAAACTTTTTCAAGATCAATCGTAAATTCACGAGCAGCAAGATCGCAACAGCAGCAGAAGAAACAAAATTAAAAAACGATTTTTGTTTTTCGCCAACAACTAACTTTTTCACACCGAACGTGAGCGACTACATTAAAGAAATAAGAAAAAATATGAAATCCATCAAGCTTGATCGTTTGTTGGGTATGAAATGAAACGAAATATAAAAAGCGAAATTTGTGAGTGTGTTACGAGTCGATGTTTTACATAAACCTAAAGCGACTGTCAATTATTCACTTTTTTAAGTTTTCATTGTCGTCGATAACTAAGTTGCTTGTATTATTTAATTATAATTGTCTTAAGTAAAAGTATTTTTATAAATGAATTTAAAAGCCGTAAATTACGCATGGGAAATTTCGCTAACATTTATCAGATGTTCGGTAATTCATTTGGAAAATGCGAGTTTTGTTGTATTTCTTATGCTTATGACGTAATATTTTATATTAGATACTTGAAATGAATGCATGAATGTGACTGCCTATTTTCTTTCTGAAATTATTTTAAACAAATAAAATCGTTATTTTGTCACAGCAACAACACTTCATTGATTTATGAAACCCTTTAAATCAGTTTTTGGTGAAAATATTTATGTATACTCACAGTTACCGCATATGTTTCATTTTTATTATTATTATTAAGTCTTACTTCGACCGAAGATGAAAATGAGATCATATCTCGATGAATTATTTTTATTTTCATTTTGACATACCTGAAAGTAGAGAAAAACAGAAGGCATAAGAATGTGTATGGCAAACATTGATCCATCTTGAATTTATGTAAACTTTAACTGGGATCTATTGTATATGTCAGTGTCTATTGAAAGCCTTAAAATACTACATCAAAAAAGTAACTCCACTAATGATTCCCTCTTTGAAATTCTACGTCGTTTGTTTACGTAATCACAAACATTTTCAATCGACAATAAATATAAAAGTAAAAACAGCAAACAAAATGAATACCAAAAAAAATTCATGCAGTCATGCAAGTTAACATCAGCATTGCTTATTTTTCGATGATAATACCAGACAAGCTTTATTTTGTTTTAAATTTATTTACTTTAGAGGCATGACATCACCTTTCACCAACATTAGCAAACATTTTTCTTTTTATTAATTTTGTGCCTTCTACAAAAAAAATTTAAACTTTTTTTCTCTTTCTTTAAATGAAGCAAAAGAGAAACACAACAAACAAAATAAGCCAAATACTTAAGCAAATCTTTCATTCATACAAGAAACAAAAATCATGCAAAATAAAATACTCAGTGCGTAGTAATAAATAAAGAAGAAAAAGCCTTAGAAATAAATAAAAAATATTTCTCTTACGCATAAATGAATCAGTGTTAATGACTTTTTGGGAATGTAATAAAGTTTTCTCAACATTTATAGCGGTTTATCTCTTTTTTTCTTTTTGATGAACCTTAATAACACAGCAATACGGCGAAAAGTATTATGTATAAAGCCTTTTTTTATTCAATAAATAATTTGGGCATCGCCTAAACTTTCGAAATAAGTGAGAGAAAAATCTTTCGTCGTAAGTACATATTATTATTATTATTATTATTGTAAATGAAAAGGGTCGATGGTCTTACAAACAGACTACAACTTCACTATTGGAATGAAATTTTTAATGAGCGTTTTTTATTTTTGACGGATGTGGTTTTCTTTTACTTATTCCCAAGTGACAAGTCAATTTTATTTAATTTTTTTGAAACACGGAAATGATTTTTAGTTCATTTTCTTTAAACGTGAAAATGAACTGAGAAAACTAAGCGATGAAAAACAAGTTTAAAACAAAACAACAAACGAAACGATGCAAGCCAATTGATAAATGTCTCATTAAAACTAAAATTAGAAGGAAAAAAGAAAACTTCCTTGAGCTAGATGAGTTTGATCTACCAATTTCAAACAAAACATTATGAACTGCTCCTTGGATTTAATTATTTAGTATGACGAGAAATAAAATGAAAGAAACAAAAATAATTGAAAGCCGACAAAAAAAACGAACAGAAAACTTCAAATTTTGGAAATATAAATAAATCTTTATCGTATATATCAGAACCTGTTACTATCAGCTGAATTCCCAGGGGCAGGAGAAGCAGCTCGGCTGACTCGATTACTAGAATTGCTTTCTTTGTTACGACTCCTAATAGTTGAGTATAAAGGACCCAAAGAAGACAGATTTATGCTTAAACCGGCAACACTTAAGCCTGATGATGACGATTCTGTGTGAGATTTAACAGCAGCTGACGTTGTTGACTTACTAAATTGGTCAAATAACATTAAATTTGATTTTTCAGTATTCATTTCGGATTCCAATTGTTTTTCATCTAAGTTAAGGAAATCTGTCTTCAATAAGTTGGTAAAAATATCACGCGGCACATTTTCAAAAAATTTCATTGACGATTTCATTCCATTTAAACTTCTATTGCTATAATTACTTTCCGAAACTTCATCCAACTTTCTCTTTGACTCTCCCGAAGATGCAATTTTAACTTTTTGATATGGCAAGTAAGCCGTTCGTTTCGCATTCTTATTATATTTGACATTTAATGTCATTGTAATATTTCTGTAAAATTTCATTTTATTGACGAAAGAAAAGAAATCGAAAAAATTTAATCAGTTGAATCGTGCACGATCGTGGAGGGAACAAAAAAAGAGGGAAAACGGTACAGAAAATGAAATTTTTCCAAGTCTTTATTATGTTAGTAGTACGATGGGCAATAGACATAAATAGTGATCATTAGTTTTCTCACTTTCCCTACCTCAATTGCTTTCATTACAACATAGATGTTTGCAACTATTCAATTGAAAACAAGTTGAAATCTTTTTTTTTTCATCATCATTACATGAGTAAAGAGTCGATTTTTCCCACCCAAATAGGTCAGTTTTACTTGTGCGTGATGAAAGTTCATCAACATCAATTTGTCGTTCTGGTAATCAATCATTCATAAAGTTAGAATTTTCAATCAACTTGACAGTTCCTTTTTCGGTGAATGAAATGGCATTTCTTCGGTATAGAAACATTTTAAATACAAACTATAAGGCATGTTTGAAAGTTCATCGTCATTAGACTTCAATATCGTAGGCATTTTTATTTGTCCTTGGACTCGATGCTACCACATAGGCAATTTAGTTTTTGCAAATTGCTTGCCACATCTAATAACGTGTAGTTTCGATTAATAGTATTTTACATGTAAAGTTCAATGATACTTTAGCTGTCATTTATAAGTAGATGAAAATACATAAAGTTTACAAATGCTTGAACATGCTTGAGTTGAGGGGATATTTTTGTGCATTGTGTCTTTGATGCATTCAAAGTTGTTGGTGTCTTCGCTAGTTTCAAAAAAATCAAATTTTCAAAATACGTTATTTTCTCGTTATTTCTTATTTCACTTTCTCAGTTTACCTTCTCTGCAGAAAAGGTTTCTGTTTGTATGATAAATTGTCAGCCTTTTTAGCAAAGCGAAATTTATTTTTATCTGTCATTGCTAACTAGTTTAGATTCAGGAGGCAATGAATTATTATTATGTCTTTGAAATAATACAATATCTTGAATCCAAATAAGTCTTTGCATGACACAAGATATTCTCACATCTGCAAAAACTGATTTGATTATTTTTCAATGTAAGCAAAATCCAAATTTGTTCATTCTCTTAACAAGTAAATGCTCAATAATAACAAAAGTAAACACTATATTATAGAAAGAGAATAGATTATGACGACGGTAATCGATTAAAAAGAAAATCGTTTCAATTTTTCTTTTAAAAACTTCAATAAAATATTTCACGGTTTAAATTGAATCGACAACTAAATTTTATCACACGTTGCTTCTCAAAAAACATGGATAAACTGAATTAATAAAATAAATTAACGAAAATTAAATGAATACCGAGTAACGTTGTGTATATAATTTTTTTGTGTTTAGAGAACAAAAGAAAAATGGAAGCAACAAGCAACTTTACTTGTTAAATTTCCTTTCAAATAGAATAATTGAGAAGTAGATATATATTTAATTTAAATAGATTAGCAATTTACATGTCACATATATTTTTATGTATGTAGAACTTTAGACGCAAGGTCAAGGTGAATACTTTCAAAACAAAATTATAAGAAAATTGTCAATATCTTAAATGACATTCACATGGAACATTTTTCAGTCATTGCTTTGACTTTCATTGATAAATACAAAAGAAGTATATAAGGTAATTGGGCATTGACTTCAAAAATTAACAGAAGAAATATTCTTTTCATATTGTTGACTCAACTCAAGTCATGATTCAAAAGCGTTTCTTTCAAATGTCTAAAATAATTATTTTTCATCATAATAACAATAAAGATAAGAAAATACATCGCTAATAATGTACTTGCTTGCACATAAAGTAAAGCATACAATAATGTGCAGAAATAATAAACATTTTCTTTTTCTTACTTTTTTGCTTTTGCATTTACGATGGGTGGTGAATAAAAAAAGGTTACTTACGACATGGTAGATAAATAAAGGAGAAGAAAAAGTAAAAAAATCAATATTTTTTGAACTCACCTTTCACTATCCTCGTTCAATGATTGTCCGTCATCACCAATTGCTGTTGTATTATTTGAATTACTGCTTAGTTCACTTGCAACACTTAAAGCACCACCACCATCCGCAACAGTTCCAAGACCGGCCGAACTGGACGGAGATGAAGTGTTTTGCGTTCCATCATTATTGTTACTATTATTATTATTTATATTATTATTATCACTAACACTACTGTTGATTATGTTATTATTATCGTTCGTTGATGTGGTTACTGATAGCTGCTGGTCAATTTCACTCATCTGCTGTTGCATATTATTATTATCACCATTTCCTCCAATCTGCGTTTGATTATTATGAAACTGGCTTGTCATTGTTAAATCTTGTTGTGACTGTTGTTGCTGTTGATCCACTAAATTATTATTATCAGTTTTAGATGACATCGGAGACACTAATGTTGGTGGTAAGTTGTTATTAATATTGGAAGAAGCGTTTATAGATTGAGATTGCTGTTCTGGTTGTTGTTGTTGTGATTGTGGTTGCTGCTGTTGATCAATTCCCAAATTTTGCATAAGAATATTTGTTGGTAATGTCACTCCTTGCTGTTGAATTTGCTGTTGTTGAGTCTCTTGATGTAAACTTCGTTGTATCATGTCAGGCGTCATTGAATGTGCATGATGTGGATGATTCATAGCAAATGAGTTGTTGTCTGTCGTCAATTGATTTGCCTGAATGCTGCTACCAACATTTGCTTGGTTTATATGTGATGCTTGCCTTGGTAATGTATCTGAAGAAGAAGAAGAAGAAGTATTCTCGGTGTGATTTGGTGGTGAATCATTGACATTGATAGCGTTCGATAATGAACTCTGCTGCGTAATGGAATTTTCCTGTGTGATGAGCTGCTCAAGTTGTGATCGAGGCATTGTTTGTGCCTGATTTTGCACCACTGTTTGATGCTCATTATGAGTAGGAATTGAAGCCACTGTATGATGAGTTTGACTAGCTAATTTCGAAGATGTTATACCATCTCCATGGTGGTTCATCATCTCAGCTCTCAAGACCTCTTGATCGAATGCTTCATTATCGTTCATCTGATCATTGTGATGTTGATGATGATCTCCATTATTATCATTCATCATTGACTCATTGCCATCAACACCACCATCCAGATCTGATCCAATATCTTTGGTTTTAATTGCTGTATGCTCATCGCCATCTTCTTTTGTTGGCGTTCCATCTGTTCCATCGTCTTGAGCCTGAAGCGTTGTATGATCTAAATAATCCATACACATCCATCGTCCTCTCTTAAAAGGCTCCGTACTTTCAATTTTGACTACTTTGAACCGTTCATTTTTATGATCTACGTCTTGTTTATTAGGAATTTGTCCCATTATGTTAATTCCAGCATCTGTAACACTGACATGAACATCTGTCAAATTCGATCCATTTCCACCTAAATCCGGTCCTACAATTGCTAGTCCATATTGTGAGCTTGTTGGAATCACAGGCGCTGTACCAAATGCATTTGGTTGGGTAAAGAAAACATCTTCCCTTGAAAAAGTGTCTTCAGAAAAGCTCGGTGTCTCATAATCTGTAATTCGACTTATGTTATCATCAGTATGTGATTCATCTAAATCATCAGCAGAATCGTCACCATTGTTATTTTCTGAACTATTACGTTGTTGTTGCTGGTTCTGTTGTTGTTGTTGTTGATTATTTCCGGAACTTACAGAAACTGAAGTAATTTGAAAAGAAGTTCCCTTTCTTTTAGACATATTGTTCATAGAATTGATAATTGAGTTAGTGCTCATAGGTATATGACCAGGAGTTGATGACGAGTTCTTATCTAGCAATAATAATTTTTTATCATTATTAGAAGAAGCAGTAGAAGAAGATTTTTTTTCACAAATTATTCGCAAATAACTTTCACTTGTGAATTTATGGATTACTTTACCATGTTTATTTTTCGTATCCGATTTGGCGTGACCCGTCTTTTCTTTTGCATTTGTTGAATTTGTGCTATTTGATGATGATGATTGGTTATTGAGCATTTGCGACGAATTTTGCCTTGAAGCCATTCTTTCTTTTAAGAGAAGAAGAGACAATGGAGTGAAATTTTTTTCCAATTTCCAACGAGATTTTGTCAGCAATTCGTCGTTTCTACACAATCAATTTCATTCACTTGATAATATTAAAGACTCGAATAATAAAATCACATCGACATATCGCGAAATAAAGCACTGTTTATTGATTTAAAAAGATTTAAAAACTTAAGTTTCGATCGAAATCTATTCAAATTTTTTTCGGACCTAATTCCTAAGTAACGTCACATTCGTTTCTTCAATTGACTTTGTCCTTCAAACTTAAAATGCGTTGCCAACGATTTTTGAGCAATTGCTGCTTCATTTTCAAAACAGATTTTTACTTATGTTGCATCTCATCACTTACGATTGAACCCCGCACACTTATGGGGTACTCAAGTAATAACGAAAAAGAAAAGTCTACCGATGAATATATCGCACGTTCATTACTTCTAAACATCATGTTGCTATCAACAAAGATTTTTCGTTTTTCCCGATATTTATCAACTACAACTCGAGTTTGGTCCCAACAACTCAAATCAGAAGAGAAAGTAAAAGATTCTGGAAAAATACATCAAAAAGAGAAAGATCCAAATATAATCTTTCATAAACCACTTAACATCAATTTCACAAAATTACCGCTCAAGAGCAAGGAACTTTCAAAATTGATTTTTTTGGTGTAAGTTATTAATTTCTTCATCACGACATATTCTCATTACTTTATTACTCTTTCAAGGAAATAAAAAAAACACTCAAACGTCAAGATCAGATTATTGTAGAAGGAAATCAGCTGATTAAAGAAGCAATTCAGTCGAATATAAAGTTGAATTATCTGCTCTTTAGTCATGTTGATAAAATAACTGACATTGTTAATGTTATGGGAACTAATACGAAACATGTAAACTTTTTGAAGGCCCCTCAACATGATTTAACATTCTATTCAGTTCTCACAACATGTCCAGGTGTGATTGGAATCTTCGACAAACCAAAAGAGATACAACCGAAGACAAATCCTTTACCAATTACAATCATTTGTGATAACTTGAGAGAACCAAATAATCTTGGATCTGTCATAAGATTAGCAAATGCATTGCCTGTAACTAAAGTTCTTCTCCCTAAAGGAAACGCTGATCCTTGGGATGTTAAAGCTATTAGAGGAAGTAGTGGATCAATTTTCTATATACCAACAGAACATTCACTCGAATGGAAGCAAATTGAAGAGGACCAGACAATCGACGATTCAATTATTTTGATAGCTGACAATAATGCTTCCAAATATCCTTCAAATTCAATTCTATGTTATGACAAGATTCCAAAAGAATTAATTGAGAACAAGCAAATTTATGTTTTGCTTGGTGGTGAAACTCATGGCATTAGTGAAGAAGCGAAAGATTTCGCTTTCAAACGAAATTGGAAAGTTATTCATATTCCGATTGATTCAATAGTTGATAGTCTTAATACATCAAATGCTTTAGCAATTATTTTATTCGAATTAAGAAGAATGTTATCAAATAGTTATTAATTTAAAATAAAATATAGAACTTTTACAAATTTTCCTTTTTCTCGTCACTAAACGTTTCAATTTGTTCAGTTGATTTTAGGTTTTCACCAGCAGTGTCAACAAATCCAATATTTCTGTCATTAATTTGATTAGTTCTTTCATATTTTAATTCAATACCATGATGTGACTTCAAGTGACGTTTTAAGCCATCTCTTTGGCGAAATGATGCAGTGCATTCAGAACAAAGGAATGGTTTCTCCTCTGTATGTCTCCTTAGATGAAATTTAAGCGTTTTTCCTTGAGTAAATGCACGATCGCAATACTGACATTTATATGGTCGTTCCCCACTATAAAAATATAATTATTTGAGATCAAATGAGTCGTTAAATGAAATCAAAAACAAACCTATGAATATACATGTGTTGTTTTAAACTTCCTGATTGTGTGAATCCTTTTTACAGACCGGGCAAACGTAAGCTTTATATCCATCATGAGACTGGATATGACGAATAAGATTTGTTCTAGTTGAGAATACTTTGACACACTTTTTGCACATATGTTGATTGTTATCAGTTGATTGCGCATATTTTTCAATTATCTCTCTCGGCATTCGATTAACATGCTTTTTACGAGGTGAACCTGTTCTTCCAACTTGGAACTCTTCATCAATTAATTCTTCAACAACAAATTGTTGATCTTTCTCACTTAGGTCGTCATTAGATGATTTAAAATTCACAAGAATGAATTCTTCATCACCATCAGTCATCGCTTGTTTTCCTCCTGATTCATCAGCGTAGATATTATCAGTACTTTCATTTTCTATTTCCATGATATCATAAGTCTCCTCTCCAAAAAGATTTTCATCATTATCAAGTTGATCGTCTTCATCTTCGCTATACATAGCTGATGATTCCATTTCAATATATTCCTTCGTATTAGAGTCTTTGTCATTCCAATCAACTGCTTCAATCTTCACTTGTTGAGATCGTGGCTTTTCATTTCTCTTAGCCACAGAAGGTTGAGTTTTGTTTTCTTGAAATTTTTCAATTTTCGGCTTTAACAATGATGAACTCTTTGAGATAGTTTTTTCTTTTGTAGCCGTTGACTCAATTGATGCATCTTTGTTCTCATCAACAGCTTCTTGAAGTAATTGCTCGATATCAGGATCTTCTTTATCAGACTCATTTTTATTCAATAAGCTATTTGATGGAAGAGATTTGGCAAATTCCTGACTGATTTTCACAACAAATGATTTCAAATATGTTTCTGAATTTGTTGACGATTTTTTGAAGCTGGATAAAAGTTTAATCTTTGTCACACACTTGTCACAAAAAGTTCGTGGTAAACCTGTTGTGAGCTTAATATGAAAAATCATGGTTAGCTTATGAGTGAGATTCAAAATTTTGTAATAGTAGAAAAATCTAGTAAACAAAATAAAATCTATAAATTTTTTTGAAAACAAACCTCAGACTTGATAAGTTCACAATAATTTTTTAAAATATCACTGCCCTGGCTGTATTCTACTAGTTTGGTGTTCTCCGACGAGACTAAACATGCTCGACATACTTGAATTTGTATTTGAATATTCATTTTTATTGAGGAAAATGCATTAAATCACTTTTGAAATGCTGATAAAGAACTGTAAGCTTTAAATATTTTTCGGGGATTTCCAAGATTCTACTTTAATTTTAAATTAAAAAAATCCGTTACAAAACCGTTGAAAAATTATACGCACAAAGTACAAAGGCCAATACTTTATAAATATATTTTACCTAGATTAGGTACCTAGAATGCTTCGTAATAAAAAATGAAACACAATTGACGCTACCATTTTGTTCAGTTTATTTGGAAAAAACCTTTAAGAAACAAAATTTGTTCTCAATTCTACGACAAAATTTTCTGAATTAAAAAAATCTTAAATCTTAAAATGTTAAATGAAAATTGAAAAGAGAAAGAAAGAAAAATAAAAAGTCACAAATGAAACAGTCTTTAAACCAATGGATAACTGGCTTGTGTGGCTACTCCACATGCATTTTCCATGTTTCTGGCCATTTTGATGAATCCTTTATCACCCCAAGAAGTACCTGAAGAGAGAAAACATATTAAATCTATTTATAAATTAAAATGTAATAAGTTTATCTACCCCATGAATTTTTGACAATCCAATAATCTTGTTGACTTTCCTCATCAGTACCATAACCGACGATTAAAACTCCGTGATCCAATTCTTGGCTACTGCACTGCGGTTCTTGATAAACTCCTTCTGAGTAGAATTGGAATGATTCATGACTTGCATCGATAGCGATACTGACTGGTCCGATAGTGGCAACAGCTTTCTTCAAAGCATCTTCATCGCCTGATGGAATGTCAACGAATCCTTTGTCGGTAGCTCCAACAGTTTTCTTACTGAAACGGCAACTGTCATCGATAGCTTCATAAGGATAAGCAGATTCAGTGTCGATGCCACCATTATCTTTAATATATTGGAATGCATTGTCCATAAGACCACCATTACATCCATTGTTGCCATAAGATCCTGAACAATCAACAAGATTCTGTTCGGACAATGAGACGAGTTTTCCAGATTTTCTGAAATGTTGTCCTTCAAGTGCACCAGTTGCTGAGAAACTCCAACATGAGCCTGGTAAATTTATCATCGAAAATTTAATTGAAATCATAAAAGAAGATTAAATTACTTACCGCAATGTCCTTGATCCTTAATTGCTGTAACTGCTCCCTTTGTTCTCCAATCAACTTCTTTTGGAAGTTCAACATTAGCTGCTCCAATGAAAGTTATCGGCTCTTCAATCTTAGAGAAAGTCTTATAAACAGAATTCTCTCTTGTTCCCGTACGATTAAAGCCATTTAATGTTTGAACGAACTCAGTGTGCAACATATCAGCATATTTATTGAGATCGAGTTTAAAACTCACATCTTTTTGATGATAGCGAGAGTTATGTTTTGCAATTTTGTGACGGTTTTCAAGATAGATTTTGTAGCGCATTTTTTCTTCGCCAGCATCACTGTATTGCTTATTATGTTTAATCTATGCGAAAAGCGAAATATAATTAATTTATTCATAAATGCAACTGAAATTAATCTATGCTTCAGTAAAAAAACGTTTAATATGTCTTGGAAAAAAATATAAACAAAATTAAGAATCTTATCACATTATGGCTTTGTGATTTGTTTGTGTTTGATGATATTCTGCGCTTCCTTATAAATTTATTCGCACAATCATATTCTTTCTAATCAGTAAAAAGGTTTAATAAAGACGTCTGTTTATAAGCATTTTAGTGTAACTATTGCCCTGATTACATCATCTTTTCTCAGTATAATGACGGTTCAGAATAAAAAGAAAGACAAACGAGTTCTTTTCAACAAAGTTTGAAGTTGAAGTAAGTTTTCTGTTCTCATTTGGAAATTACGCTGGACATTTCAACATAATTTTTAATTCACTCTTTCGTTGATAAGATATTTCGATTATTCTGACGCGATGGGTTTTTATTTCGTTTGTGGTGTTTAAAATTTATTTTCAAGGTTCAATGAGCGACAGCATTTTGTTAGATGTAAACAGCTGATTTTTTCATGTTAATGTGTGAGTCTCTTTGTGAATCACTTGAAGGATCATATTTCGCTTAATCATTCGATTGAGTTTAAACAAATGTTATTCTATAATCATCAAAAAAATATTCTTTTGTATCTGTTAAGAATTAAACCGAATTAAACAAATAAATTAGTCATTTCATGGAATCCTATCTTGTTTTCATTTTTCTTATGAAAATAAATAAATAAAAGTATATGTTTCAACGTTACGGTTGATAATTTATCACGATAAAAAAAGATTATGGAAGCGTTTTTCGTTTAAACATGTTTTTGCGACTTTACGGTTATTTTGAAAAAATAAATATTTTCGAGAATGGAAAAATAATTTTCATTAAATTTATCTCTAAATTACGCCTCTCTTGAATAATTAGAACAAATGAATCAAAAGTTCTAGGAAACGAGATTGTTTATTACCGCATATTGTGCGGCATACAATTCAATATGTAACAATAGAACGTATCCAATGAAGATTGCTTTCTCTAAAAATCTACAAACCTTAAAATCGTTCCATTCTTCTTTCGAAACTTCTAAAAATGAAACTGCACTTGCAACTGCGACAAGCCCGAGAAGAATCAACAACTTCATGATTAATGAGTTACTTTCCAAAGATTTTTAATTAATCTCACTACTATGTTAATTAACTTGATTGATATCTTTGAAATAAAAATGCGTTTTAAAGTAAAAGCCAACTTTTAGAACTTTACGCTACAAAAGCTGAAGTGAATATGCGAAAAAAACTGTTTTTTCTTTATAAAGAAAACAGCTCTGATCACTAACACCACAACACAAATGTGCGGAATACAAAATTGAAAACAAAGGGAAACGTTATAGGTGCTGACAAAAGTGCTGAATAGGGGAAAAAGAGAATTTTAATAAGATCAAAACTTCCAGTACGGGATCATCCCTAATTTATTATTTATAAATGATCTGTGAAGATAGAAGATTAATAATGACTTAGATAAATTATTACTAAATTTTTCTTTTTATTACCAGAATCAGGAGGAAAGTTTTGCTTCTACAAAATTTTTTATAAATCTATTACTGGTGCCCGACGTTGCGCTTTTGTATCTGATCTCTCTCGCTTGATTCTGAGCCTTTCTCTAGCTAATCGTTCATGACTGAAATGAAAAATTTTATTTCAATGTTAAAAAAACTGATTAAAATTATGAAAATCTGAATCAGGTATTAGATATTTACTTTTCTCTTATTTGAATAATTTTCTCATGAGAAAGTTCAACTTTTGTGGGTTTCTCAGCTTCTCGAATGATGTTTCGAAGTTTTTCTAATGCATCTGCTAAATTCATTTGCTGATAACGAGTTACTTCGCTTTTAATAACAAAAAAACCGTCACGAGTGATCCTTGTTTTATGCTGAAATTTATTTTGATTAAATTTCCATTAAAGAGTAATTTTATATCTTGATATATTACCTGTTCAAAAAGCCGTTCTTTAACTTTATCACTTATCCAATTTGCATCTTTTATAGAGAAACGTAAATCAACTTTAGTCGCAACTTTGTTAACATTTTGTCCTCCAGGTCCCGATGATCTATCATATTTTATTTTGAGTTGATCGATTGGTATGAATCCATTAAACTTTTCCTTGTTTATTGGAGACTGAGAATATAGAAATAAATTTAGTCATCGTTTTTAAAATATTAAATTAAACTTACCGCTGGAGGAGTAAAAATGTGTTGTTTACTATTTGGATATAATTGCGTCAAAGATAGATCACTCTCAAAGAATCGAATCGAAAGGATTGAAACAGCTTTTAGTGGCTGACTAATAGTTGTTGATTTTAATAAACATTTTCCGATTTGTAACATATTTTTTTATTCTTTTATACAAAAAAAGGAATTTTTTTTTCAATCGTGAAAGAACTTCACCGCAAGGGATTTTGAAAGATTTGGGGATTAAATTGTGGGTGAGAAGCTTTGATACTTCAGTAATCCACAAAAAAGTAAACACACGTGAAAATAAAAACAAAAACAAACTTTTAATTTTAATATTATGGAGAGTAATGTAAGTTTCAAATTTTGAGTTAAAGCCATCGTACATTAATGAAACAATTTACAGATTGAACCAAAAATTATCAACGAAGGATCAGCTAAAATATTCGAAGAAGGACATGTTTTTTATAATCCGGTTCAAGAAGTATTTTTTATTTTTAAATTTATTATTTCTTTTATTAAAGAACTAACACCATTCCAATATTGTAGTTCAATCGAGATATTTCAATTTGTGTCATCAACACATTCTTGGAAAATTATGAACAAAAGGAAGTGAATAAAAATGTTAAAGTTAGCGGAAAAATTCGTATTCTTGAAGCATTATCAGCAACAGGTCTTCGAAGTATCAGGTATGCAAAAGAAGTGTCTGGTGTTGATGAAATTATAGCAAATGACTTGATGAAAGAAGCTGTAGAAATGATTAAAAGAAATGTAAAAATGAATCAAGTTGAAAATATTGTGATCCCAAACGAAGCTGATGCAATGTAAGTGAAACGATTTCAATGTTATAAACAAAGAATTTAATTAATAATATGATTTTTCTTTTAGGACATTAATGTATAGTTCAACAGCTTCATCAAAACGATTTACAATCATTGATTTAGATCCGTATGGGGGTCCAAATAAGTTTTTGGATGCTGCCATTCAAAGTATAGAAGAAGGCGGCTTACTCTTGGTCACCGCAACAGATATGGCAGTATTAGCTGGAAATACTCCTGAAGCATGTAATTTTTTTTAATTATTTATTAGCATTACACTACATTAGAACGTTTTTATAGGTATTGTGAAGTATGGATCAGTTCCCTTGAAATCTAAAGCCTGTCATGAAATGGCTCTTCGAATACTTCTTCGATGCATTGAAGGACATGCTAATCGTTATGGGCGTTATATCAAACCTCTTCTAAGTTTATCAGTTGATTTCTATGCAAGAGTTTTCGTAAGAGTGTACAGTGGACAATTTCAATGCAAAGAAAGCAGCACGTAAGTAACTTAAAATAATTGATTCAATTCATACTCTAAAATTTAATATTCCAGAAAGCAATCAATGGTTTTTCAATGTACTGGATGTGAGGCTTTAACACTTCAACCACTTGCAGTGAGAAAGAGAAATCCAGATAATCCAAAGTCAGTCAAATTCGGTATTCCAACGGGTCCATTTGTGTCAGCGCAATGTGAACATTGTGGACACAAACATCATGTAAGTGTCACTTATAGAGAAATATTGTTTTATATAATCAATTATTTAATTAAAGATGGGAGGTCCAATATATTCTGACCCGATTCATGATCCTGAATTTTTGAAGTCACTCATGAAATTTGTAAGTTCTGAGAAAGGATCAAAATTAGGAACATACAACAGAATTCTTGGGATTTTGTCGGTGGTTCAAGAAGAGCTTCATGAAATTCCACTCTATTACACAATTGATAAATTATGTTGTGTTTTGAAATTGGAAATGATTCCACAATTAAAAATGAGATCAGCAATTTTAAAAGAAGGTTATCGAGTATCTTTGTCACATGCATGTAGAAATTCATTGAAAACTGACGCACCGATTAGTGTTTTATGGGACATTCTTCGTTACTGGTCGAAATCTCATCCAGTCAATCGATCTCGTTTCCTAGAAGGATCAGCTTTAAAAGCGATTCTCTCGAAAGCTCCAAGTAAAGAATATGATTTAAATAATATTCACCCTGATGCTGATCCACCTAGTCGTAAAGAAGCTCTTCAAAGGTTTCCCGAGAATCCAGCTGCACATTGGGGTCCAGGTACACGTTCCACTTTAATGTAAGTTTTAATGAGATTACAAATTAATTTTAATTATTTATCATGCTTTTCTCTCCCAGGGTTGACAAAGAGAAAATTACTAAAAGCATCAGAAATCAAAACAAAAACAAAATTAAACGAGAAAAGAAGAAAGAATCATCTTTTACGAATTCAGACAATGAGCAAAATTCTGCTAAGCAGAGAAAACTTGACACTGACAAAGAAATCTCTGCTTGAATCAAAATATGTAATAAATAAAGATAATATTTTATGTTGAAGTGAAATATCCGTTTCTGATCACTTTGACTTGTGAAAAAGTTATTCAAGCGTAATCCTTTTTCCCATTTTCCCTCGCCTCATTTTCTTTGATACTTAATGAATAAAATAATGGAAATAGTTTCTCATGAAACGCCAAAGTGACAGTATAATCTCTGATAAAATCCATCAAATGAGATGAATTAATTATACGACCATTTTCGTCTCCGGCAACGCGGCAGAAAAAAATCAATTAAAACTTTTCCAATTACCCTATTATGACAAAAAAAAATGAATGAATGAATGAATAGTAAAGTTTTCACCGTTGTGAACTTTATTTTCAAGTCGCTTCTCGTCTTTTGTGATGCAGTGCCATTAATGCAAAAGTTTTACTAAAGAAAAAAAGTTTTCCATCGATTTTCTATTGAATGAGATATTTCTTCTATTCCACCCCCAACTGATGGAACGGTCTAACGATTTATCCATTCGGACCATTTTTTCAGTAAATTGAATTCTTGGAAATGGCAGGAGATGCTAATTTATTTCTCTCTCATTTTTCCACTTCATTTAATCATTGCTGTTGGTATGTTAAGAACTTTCTCTGCTAAATTTATCAGTTTCGATTTTTGTTTGTTCAATTTCCTTTTCTCATCTTTTGTCTTTCGTCTCAAGACGTCTCAAGAAAGGTGCATTTTATCGAAGTGGCAAAAAAAAATAAATAAAGAAGTGAACATCCCTCTTAACCATAGATGCTTATCAAACAAAAACGAAATTGTAACGAAGCAAAGATATTTACTACCCTGAGAGCAAACAAACAAAGCAAAGAAAAAGTTTTCAATTTCTTCCCATGTCTACTCTTGATTTTTTCTGGTTTACATTTCTTTAAATTTCCTTTTCTCGACAAGATTCTACGATGCTCACGAAGTCATAATAAAAGCAGCAAGCAACCTTCTAATCCTGATAATGCCCTGTTATTTTTTATGGTTTCAAAAACTTCCTGCTTCCTCAATTGATATTTCCCCATCCACGCAACAACCTATCCGCAAGTCTCATATTTAAGCTCCCCATTTCTTTACAGATACCATGAGAAGGCTTTTCTTAAGGGATATTTTATGCAATAAAATTTTCCATCATGTGCGCCTTCTTTAAATATCAAAAGAGAAAAAAAACGAGTAAGAAAAACTGAAGACAGAATGGAAATTGATGAAGGAAATTGTTGAAATTGATTAATGATTGAGTGCCTTCGTTTTAACTCAGTTTATGTTTCCTTAAGGATTTTTTTCTTTGCTTTCAATGTTCATACTTTCAAGTTATATGACTTAAATTGCCCATTGGGTGTAAATGATTGAAGTTAGCTCACTTGAAATTGAATAATTTTCTCGGTGAGAAATTTTTATAAGCCAACATAAGTGTAAGTATTTAGATGTGACATGTTTACTCCATCAATATTGACTTGCAAGAATGTCATGTTTGTTGAAGGAAGATGAAGCATCTCAGTATAAGACGAATGTTCAAATATTTGTGCTTTATTGGAATTTCTCACCATCATTAATTTACGAATTTATCCGATGAACATTTGTATGACATAGCTGTGTAATTAACTTGATGTGACTGGAATGAATCTTTTCTGATGCTGTTTTCTATTAAGATTTTCTTGTAAAGTGAAGATCAAATTAACTGTCGAAGAAGAAACTCTGCTATTAAATAAACGACTGTGATAGAAAGAAGGATAAAGAAGTTATTGAAATGGGGGAAAAAGTTAAATGATAGAGAAGAAGTACAAAAAAAGTCAAGAGACATCTGCGATGAAAAAACCTGATGAAAATCCCATCCACATATTTTCGCCAATAAACTCTTTCAACAACATTTAATTTTATTATTTGTTCTCTTCTTCCGTTGGCGTCTCTCACTTATTGATTGTGTCAACAACATTATGAAGTGTCTCTTTTGTTTTCAAGACATTTTTTCAAGCATCTTCTGTCTTCAACAAATTCTCGATATTTTTTTTCCTTCTTTTTTTTTATTATTTTTCTTTTCCTCCCATTATCAATTTAACATAAATGTTCTCTTCGTTGAAGGCGAAAGTTTTATCAATAGACTGTCTCATAATTTATTGCTTCTTAGCAAATTTCATGTCATTCATTTTGGACAGCATCGTTGTGCTTTTACTTTCGACATAAGCACAAGAACATCCTCATATCATTGGGGGGTTTTATTTTTCAGCAACAGAATTATTGATTAAACTTGTGAGATTACGTGAGAAGACTGGAAATTTTCGAAAAAAAAGGAAGTAATTTATCATTCTGGAAAGCTTGGGATGCAGCATAAAATATTCATCAATCTGGGCATGAAATTACGAGCGAGAAAAGGACAAAAAATTGTTTGATGGAAATAAAATCACCAGAGAGTCCTTGTTTCAGTAATCAACTTAATTTTGTTGTCGATCGATATTACGAAATTCTTCATTTTCCTTTTTATCTTATTTAAGTGTTTTATCACAGCTTTCAAAGCTTTAAATTTAGAAACTTATTTGTTATTTATAAATTCTAAATATTTCAAGAAATAAACAAATGATTTGAAAAGCTTTACAATTTCTAGCATTTGGTAATTGGATAATCAAAAGATGCTCGATCATTCGCCTCTAATCCATTTTTTTGTGATTTACTATACTTATTTCATTGTACAGATTCATTCTTTTGCACACGAATTACTTTGATAACCACAATCGTATGAGAAACACCTGGTGCTGGCATTCGTTTCCAATTCATTTTGTCTGCATGTAAAGAGATAAAATTAGAAATTTTCGAACTAAACTTTACTTCGATTCTACATACAGTCGAATAAATCGCTCGACCGATGATTATTTATACACATTGAAGTTTTCATTGGAGTCGAAGCTTTATAGAGAAAGATTTATCGAAACCACAGTAGGACAATCCCCTTTGCTTAAGTTACTTAGGCGAATATGTAGTCGCTATTAAAGGATGTTGAACTTCATTTTGTTCCGAAAAAATTAATTAATTAATTTTCAATGGAATCGTTTTTCAACATATTAGTTCCCTTGGATTTTACTCCTAGCCACTGAATATGTTACCAAACACATTGTGTCATAGATGTGAATTTGGATATATTTATTCAAATACGAAGCATCGTAAGAATCCTGGTTTAATTAAATTACTGAATCTTGCTGTCGATATTCCAAACCAGACTACTTCAGGTTTCATTTTCAATAATAAATGTGAGAAAATTGATTATGCTATGAATGTTTCATTGCGAAATTTTCTCGAAAATGTAAATTTCCTTTTGATAATCGAAAATAAAAGGAAACTTATTTTTGTTATTCATGTCAGATTTTTAATCAAGGAAGATAAAAAAGAAATGTTCATAAAAATGAATGTAAATTACTTTTTTGCTCTTTTTGAGCTTCCGGATTTTTATGCTTGGATAAATTGAACCGTCATTTTATATTCTTTTTTTGCAATAAATATTCATGTATAAATTCATGAAATAATTGTTGAACGGAATTTATGTTTGTCGTATAAGATTAAAGTCATGTAAAGTGAAATGAAGGGTCTCTTTAATCTGATAATTGAAATTTGCAATGCAATGCAATCAAAAAAACCATGCAGGAACACGCAAAATGAGATTTAAACATCATTTTCATGAAATGAAACTACGAAGATTTACTTTGTGTAAATCTGATAAAATGTGGATACAAATAAATATCTTTAATGTTAACATTGCGGAAGTTTCATTACCAAAAAATTATTCTCTTCCGTTTCCTTCAGCTATTCAAATCGTTCTTATTCACACATGAATGGATGAATATATTAGAGACCATTTAGATCTCGTTCGATGTGATATCCGAACCCAAAGCCGTGAATGTAATTTTTTATGACCCACTTGAGGTTATTATTACAACGGATTAAGATTAATTCACATCATTTCATGATAAAAAGGCAACAAAAAAAAACTTCAGATGTGGGTGGACAGTGAAAAAGAGAAATGTGACAATAAATCAAAAAAAAAGTTGCTACCAAGTTAAATTAGGAGCTCGTGGCTAGATGAAATTTACTCTTTTTGTCAACTTTTCAAATGAGAACATTGCCGCCTGTCAGATTAAAGTAAAGAAAGACAATTTAGAAAAGTGGAAGTTATAGAAATCCGGAAGTTGTACAAGGCAATAAATTATTAAATTGACAATGATAGCTGTCACGTGCAGATGAAAATTTAACAACTAATTATTTTCTAAACAAATATGTGTGATGTTCAATGAAACGTGTATGAGGTCTTACCGCTTCTGCTGCTGCTGATACTGCTTGTTAAACGAAGTCTTTCCGCATATAAATTCCGTTGGGAATAAAGAAACCCTCACTTTATATTCAGCACAAAAAAAGCATACAAAGTATTCAGTAGAGAAAAATTAATGGTACATTGAAGGGGAAGCAATATTTGGTTTACGAAGAAAGGAAAAGTAATGATATACAAACTGACAAATGAAGGGGGCAAAGACATGAAAGTTCGTCTGCGTGAAAATCTGGGAAATCTTTCATTAGTTTTCATCGTGTATCTTTACTAAAGGAACTAAATTAAGCAAGGCTTTGTACGTATATATGAAAAGTGCATTAGAAGTGGATAAAGGCAAAGGCTTGGGTATACCCAGGAATAACATAAAAAAACTGTGGTAAATTTGGTTTTATAGCCCAAAGAAAAGGTAGTGGGAAGGGATCTCATGAAATGGATTTTCTAAGACACGTAAACTTTAAATTAGTTTCAAAGGGAATTGAATTGAGAAATGTTTGCAAATGATTAAGTGATGTTTGTGGTATAGCTTTGATAAAGAGGGTTCAATTGAAGGGCAGAAAACGAGAAAAGTAAATGAGCATGACCTATTCTCATGTAGGCATCTTGATACATTCATATATTTATTCCAACATCAGCACAAATCACCGTAACTTAATAGCATTCATTACAACTTTATTGACTTATAACGAATCAGCCAATTATTTTGTGGAAGTTTTTTATTTGCGGATCAATTTAACAGCAAAATGATTATCAGAAAATAATTTATTAGAAATTCAGACTATAAATTATGTTTATCAAGATAATAATGTTTCGAGAGTCACATCCTGAAATTGAATTAATTTACAAATTTTCAATAAAGTTACACCTAAATAGAAGTATGAGTATGAAAGTTGTACACTTATAATCTATCTACCAATTTTGATTTTGAAATTCGAGATGGATTTCCATTTATTTTTATGAATACATGTTAAGACTTATTGCGAACTCTAACATGTTGTCATTTGTTTAAATTTTTTTGAAACCATTAGTCTCCTTCAAGTTTTAAGAGCTGCGAGAAATGATAATATCACTTGTTGTTCATAATTGAATATTTTTATGTCGTAACTATCGTCAGCATCTCTGACAAATGGATAACCTGTTGCGATAAGTATGCATAAATAATGAATGATACGACGTCGGGCCAGAAATAATTAATCTCAATTTTTTTCTACTTCATGATTATCTACAATTGTCTTGCCAATGGCTAGTCAAAGTTCTTGATGTGAAAATTACAGAAAGACGCTGCTTTCAATCATAACTTGACTGTGATGAGAAAGCAAGTCATGGAGAAGTGAAAACCATACTCACACTCAATGTTAAATTAATTTAGTATTTGACATAGATGGATGATGTTGATTCAGATTAATACACCTTTTAATGAAATGTGCATACTTAATTATTTTGCTATTATTAAATTTAGATGCACATTGTCTCGATATTCATGGTTTTGTAAACTGTCTCTATAAGTCATTCTTTGTCACACATGGTATGATTTTATTTATCTTTTCTGCGTGTAAAAAGTACTTTGCTTATTGAATTAACGTTTCATTCAACTCGGCGCCAAGTGATATTTGCATATCGGCTTTTTGTTTTTAAGAGATTAATATTAAAACCTGTTAGTATGAGAAGCATTTTGTTTTTTTTTTTGTTTTGTTTTTGTAGGCAAAGCTATTATAGCTTCAAGCGCTGACGATAATGAAAGGCAATTTTCCCCACGATTCTGTTTTTTCCTCTCTCCATCTTTTTGTTATTTGCTTACTTGGAATTTATATGATCAATTGCACAGTATAATCTCCAACCTGACAAAGCCAATCAATACATGAACTCAGAAACAAATTTTTTGCGAAGGTGAAACTCAATAAATATTCTCCAGGGTCTTGTAGTTGCTTTAGTTACCTTTAATTCTCAATTCAAAATGAACTGTCTGGACCGAAAATATATAAATTTATCAATTTATTAGCATGTATGTAGGTGCTTTGCTCTCGTATTGACGCCCATCATTTAATTATAAAGCATGTTATGTTGTTTCGAAAGGTGTCTCTTGATGCCAGTAAAATGAAAATTCTCTTTCATGTAAACTTTTGTGCTGATATTTTTGTATCATTTTTATGCTGCATTTCATGTTTAAGAAGTGTAAATATAAAAAGCAATAATTTTTACAAGATTATGTCATGTTTTATAGCTTCGCATTATGTTTTTTGCTTCAACCATTTAATAAGTGTTGAATTCAACAAGTTTCTGAATGCCGTTGTAGTCTTTCGATTTGTGAAACTTGAACTGAAAGGAAAGAAGAAAGAAATGTGTTTGTTAAATTACATTACTTGAACGCCTTCAAGGAAGCGACATTTATTTTCACAAACCTTGGAAGTGGAAGTCTACATTTAATAATTTTTGTCCCGTGTAATATCATACTTTGACATGAAATGATTTGTAATTTTTTAATAAGAAAGGCTGAATGCAATCACAAAGAAAAACTTTAGACTAGACATGAAATAAATAAGCCATTTAGATTCAATAACTTCAAATATCTCTTTCTTTAAAGGTGTTTAATGGCTACATTCTTTGTATAATAATTCAGAATTTATAGAAGGTTTTAGAGTCACATTGCCAGAGAAAATAGAATAATAAATGTTGCAATTTTCTTGGGCGAAATTACGTCTATAAAAATTTAGAATTCAAGAAATGATCTTTCTTACTTATTCAAATATTAAAACTCTATTGAGTTTTTGATCTCGTGCCTAATTTGTGTATCGTGCTTGAAATATAACAACTCCCATGTTGATTTCTTCTTTTAGCTTTCTTCAACGTGATGATAATAAATATTTTAAGAAGATTTTTCAATAAGTATCACGCAAATGTAACATTATGGAGAGAATAAATAAATTTTTCTACCATTTAGACTATCTTTACAAGCTTTAAGCATGCCGCACAATAAAATCTTAATATTTAACAACTGAGATTTCCTTACAGCAAACACAATAAAACAATCCCCCCACTTCTGCCATCTCAATCAAATCTTCTAACTCTTGGTTCGATAAGTGAGAAAACTATAAACTGTTTGGTTCAATCATGTTTTACCCATTTAACTCATTGTTTTATCGTGACTCTGTGATGACAGCTATAAATAAAACGAGCCTGTCTAACTCGATATTTTTATATCTTTTTCATGACTGATAACACGTCCAATCGAAGGATTTGTAGAAAAAAGGGGAGAAATTTATATTTTTTTCTCTCGTTCATAGCTGATATTTCGAGAATCGGTTCATGGTTGAAATAGTTTGGACACTAACTCGAGAAGTACAAACTTTGAAGAGGAGAATTCAAAACTGTCATAAAAGTTTTTGATGGCTACACACATATAATAATCGAAAGAATAAATAAGGAAATCACATAAAAGTCAAATAAAAACCAAAGTTGTATCGACATTTAAGGATGAGGCATGAAAGCAAATAGAGTAAAAATTCGTCTAATGGGTAATGATTCGAAATTTCGACTTTGCGAGTCAATAACTTCTTTCTGTTTCAATTTCTTTCTAATTTTAAGGTTTTAAAATATCAATCAACTAATCAAGAGTTGATTTATCTTGATAGAAAAAATATTCGACAGAAACTTTCATTACACGAGAATGAAAAGTAAACACTTTAATGTGGTCATACAAAATCGAATTTGGACACATTAGTCGATCGTTTGTGGTCAGTGCTTGAACTCGACAACAACTTTAAAAAAATTGTTTCTAGTGTTGTTTTTATCAAGTCAGAAGGCAACAGAATACAATTAATCTTGTTTTTAATTAAAAGAAAATAAATTTACAAATGCGACTCCATATAAAAATGATATGACCAAATTCGATCACGAAAATGTGTGAGCAAATGTTTTAATAGTTTATTTAATAGAAACTATTATGAAATTCTCTTTCATCAATCCTCTTCTGCACATGATTACCTATCTTTTTGTGCAGGTGGATGAATAAAATAACTTAAATTAATATATTTTTTTGCCTGTTGAAAATTCGAAGCGAGAAGAAAAAATGGCTGATTTCGAAACAGAATTTCTACGATGA